CGCAGTAGCTGTACAGGACAGAGTTTGGACACCCGTGCAATATGACATCCTTCTACTGCAAATACTAACCTAATGTTTCATGCTTGGCCAATTCTGATATCACTCATATTGGGAGACGGATCGTTTCCCCCTCACCTCCTTCACTTCTTCCTGCTTCTCTGCGGTGCGTGAGGTCTGGAGCATGCCCATAATAATTAATGATTTGATAGCACAAACACTTAAGAAATAATCAATGTGCGCATTGTAAAATGCAGACTTTTATTTGGTCTATTAGCCAAAGCGCACAGGAGCAAGGAAGAGAAAGAACACAAGTACAAAAACACGCACAAAGCAAGCAATATTCATGCTGTCATTTCAGATTTATCTCAAAATGCACAAAATGTTCCTTCTGGGGAGTCCTGATCTACAGGGAGCATAGAAAAAAACATCACTAAAAGTCCCATATCATATTCATTTCCCATTTTTCATTATATTCAGGGCTGGAAATGGGGAGGAACAGGGCTGGAAATGGGGAGGAACAGGGCTGGAAATGGGGAGGAACAGGGCTGGAAATGGGGAGGAACAGGGCTGGAAATGTAGCGGAACCCAGGGGAACTGAGTTCTAAAAGTGAAAAAATTATTGGCCTGTAAAAATTAGATTTTTAAGGTAAATTCAAGGATTTTACATTGATGGTTCCCCAATGTCAAATTTTCACACAAAGAAATCACTATAATGGTGTGAATATTTCTGTATATCTGACCTGACACTTGGAGATCAGGTCGATATCCACCACACAGTTGAGAGACAGTCAATTTCTGCCTAAAATAGAGCCTTGTAGAGTAGGGGCTATCGTCGTGCTTTATCTGCAGGTGTAACTCACCCCTCTCTGCTACGAATTGTCTGGTGATGAAGCTGTAGCCATCAAATAACAGACCATTTAGAATACTTTTTTTTTTTAAATGGGAAATAAATACTGAATGTCAACAGAGGTAGTTATATTATTCAATTCAAAATATGTAGCCTAACAGTAACACTTTATAATAACTTAAATTAATACGCTATTAATACATAATTTATAAGGAATGTGTTAATGACTTATAATAATATGCCATTTAGCGGACGCTTTTATCCAAAGCGACTTACAGTCTTGTGTGCATACATTTTTACGTATGGGTGGTCCCGGGGATCGAACCCACTACCTTGGCGTTACAAGCACCGTGCTCTACCAGCTGAGCTACAGAGGACCACCCGACTTGCTGGAAAGAAAAGCCATCTATTAATGGCTTATAAATTAAAGTTATTATGAAGTGTCACCATAAAAATGCACTTAAGAATGTACTGTATGATTTATCATTCAATTCGTTCTCACCAATGCATTCGGGATTACAAAGCTGATGATCCATCTGAAGGCAATCACCTACTACAGAAAAACATTTTTAAAAACACAATCTACACACAAACCCTTTAAACAAGCTTAAAAACTCAGTGAAAACCCCAGATTCAATGTTTAATTCACTCAATCGCAATGTCTAATTTGCAAATGCCAGTAGACATAATGTAGGAACTAATTTTCTGCTCTTTCAAAAAGTATCAACTGTCCATTCTTCACTGAAAAACACAGTCAGTCATCCCTGTCTGAAATGAGAACAAACTTTATGAATAAGTCAAATCACAAATCCAATCACAAACCATAGATCATTTACTGTGTAGTAGAATGAGAGCCGTGGAGATAAGAGAGAGTCGTAATCCAAGCTGAGACGTGGCCATATAGCAGTCTCAAGTCATTGCAGCAGCCATGGCTTCCAAGACTCCACATGTACAGTGGGGAAAAAAAGTATTTAGTCAGCCACCAATTGTGCAAGTTCTCCCACTTAAAAAGATGAGAGAGGCCTGTAATTTTCATCATAGGTACACGTCAACTATGACAGACAAATTGAGATGTTCTTTTCCAGAAAATCACATTGTAGGATTTTTTATTAATTAATTTGCAAATTATGGTGGAAAATAAGTATTTGGTCACCTACAAACAAGCAAGATTTCTGGCTCTCACAGACCTGTAACTTCTTCTTTAAGAGGCTCCTCTGTCCTCCACTCGTTACCTGTATTAATGGCACCTGTTTGAACTTGTTATCAGTATAAAAGACACCTGTCCACAACCTCAAACAGTCACAATCCAAACTCCACTATGGCCAAGACCAAAGAGCTGTCAAAGGACACCAGAAACAAAATTGTAGACCTGCACCAGGCTGGGAAGACTGAATCTGCAATAGGTAAGCAGCTTGGTTTGAAGAAATCAACTGTGGGAGCAATTATTAGGAAATGGAAGACATACAAGACCACTGATAATCTCCCTCGATCTGGGGCTCCACGCAAGATCTCACCCCGTGGGGTCAAAATGATCACAAGAACGGTGAGCAAAAATCCCAGAACCACACGGGGGGACCTAGTGAATGACCTGCAGAGAGCTGGGACCAAAGTAACAAAGCCTACCATCAGTAACACACTCCGCCGCCAGGGACTCAAATCCTGCAGTGCCAGACGTGTCCCCCTGCTTAAGCCAGTACATGTCCAGGCCCGTCTGAAGTTTGCTAGAGTGCATGTGGATGATCCAGAAGAGGATTGGGAGAATGTCATATGGTCAGATGAAACCAAAATAGAACTTTTTGGTAAAAACTCAACTCGTCGTGTTTGGAGGACAAAGAATGCTGAGTTGCATCCAAAGAACACCATACCTACTGTGAAGCATGGGGGTGGAAACATCATGCTTTGGGGCTGTTTTTCTGCAAAGGGACAAGGACGACTGATCCGTGTAAAGGAAAGAATGAATGGGGCCATGTATCGTGAGATTTTGAGTGAAAACCTCCTTCCATCAGCAAGGGCATTGAAGATGAAACGTGGCTGGGTCTTTCAGCATGACAATGATCCCAAACACACCGCCCGGGCAACGAAGGAGTGGCTTCGTAAGAAGCATTTCAAGGTCCTGGAGTGGCCTAGCCAGTCTCCAGATCTCAACCCCATAGAAAATCTTTGGAGGGAGTTGAAAGTCCGTGTTGCCCAGCGACAGCCCCAAAACATCACTGCTCTAGAGGAGATCTGCATGGAGGAATGGGTCAAAATACCAGCAACAGTGTGTGAAAACCTTGTGAAGACTTACAGAAAATGTTTGACCTGTGTCATTGCCAACAAAGGGTATATAACAAAGTATTGAGAAACTTTTGTTATTGACCAAATACTTATTTTCCACCATAATTTGCAAATAAATTCATAAAAAATCCTACAATGTGATTTTATGGATTTTTTTCCCTCATTTTGTCTGTCATAGTTGACGTGTACCTATGATGAAAATTACAGGCCTCTCTCATCTTTTTAAGTGGGAGAACTTGCACAAATGGTGGCTGACTAAATACTTTTTTCCCCCACTGTAAATACAGTAGTTGGACTGAAGAAAATTCCCTTTTCTCACGCAGGCAGGTGAATGGCCATGCTCGTGCCTGCTGCTGTTTCCACAGTGACCCACACTGCTCACAGCGTCCAATCAGGAAATACCTTCCAGCCTCGAGCTACAAACATCCACTGAGCCAGTCACTTGACACAACATTGCCCCTACCCCCCCCCCCCCCGTCCCTCAATGCAAAGCCTCTCTATGGTATATAAACCGCCCTATGGCTAAAGAAGGGTTCCTTCCAGCCATAAAAGCACAGCACACATTTGGGATTTAAAGTTTTATGTTTGTTGCTTTTTAGTGAGAATCGACAATGTTATGGCAACTTGGTTGTCATAGTGTTGCAAATACAATACAATAGATGTATGTTCTGTGACCCAAGTATTCTATGCATCTTTACCCTTATAACCCACCCATAACACTGTAACCAAGGGTTGTCCATGTTATTATTTTATGATGGGAGTGCACATAATGGTCATTTTGATTAATCGTATTGCCTATGGGCTCTATTGCGTCTCTATTACGGCACGATTATATCCACCAGTTCATTATTGGGGTCAGATTTGGTTAAGCCTCCAAGTGAGTAATTATGGTGTGACAGATGGCTTCACAAACAGCCAGCCAGAGAAAATGGGGTGTGCCTGTATATGTGAAGCTATATCTGGAAGAGAACAGAGGCTAAAGAAGAAGAGGGACTAGAGAGACATCTAGTGTCTTTGTCTAGCCTCTGCTCTTAGGTAATAGACCTTCAATTAGAATAACGACTTTCAAAAGAGTAAAAGAAACCATACGTCTAATATACATTTACATTTTAGTCATTTAGCAGACGCTCTTATCCAGAGCAACTTACAGTTAGTGAATACCATTTTTTTTCTATTTTCTTTTTTTTCATACTGCCCCCCGTGGGAATCGAACCCACAACCCAGGAGTTGCAAGCGCCATGCTCTACCAACTGAGCTACACCGGACCATATACAGCGTATAAATTATTTACTATTGCAATGTCCAAAAAAAATAACAAAAAATGTAATTATTGCTGAAATCGCACACTTATTTTTAGTCCTTCATAAATATGCTGTTGACAAAGGAGAAATAGAGTGTAAGAGGAAATCGTTAAATGTGATAAGCCATTTACAGTAGGGCTACACCCTCAACTCAACAGCCGAGCACCACATTTCCACGCTGCTGTATCGGTCGCTTCCACCCACTGAGATACGAATCCACCACGCCCGCTTTTCACGTCAGTCCGCAACGTCAGATTGTGCGTGTTGCTCTGTATCTATCGGGTAGGTTTGACCGGCTTTTCAGAGTCAGACACAATGAACCCTCGGATGATGTAAAGCATGCTTGTGGGGCTGGAGGCACGGGCACGTTTTGGTAGTATCGTTTTTTGCTTTGGTTTTATATAATTTGATGTTTTCGAGCACACATATCGACAAGACTTTGTGACGGTATAGGGATAGCTGGAAAAGGACGGTTCAACGAGTTCGTCTGACAACGAAGTCGACATTTCTGTCTCCTTCGAAAACAAAACTGTATTTTACAAAGGACTTGCTAAAGTCAACGAGATAAAAGAAGAATGTCGATGGTTGCGTATTCGGATTACTTAGCCGCCGAATGTCTGATGTCGATCTCTAGCGGTCCCGTCCTACACCGACCCACCACGGTTGTCCCCGCCGCACAGCCCCCTCCCCAGGCCCTTCATCCTGGGGAGCCAGAAGTGTCGAACGAGGACAGGGAGGTGCTCGAGACGCTGAGACTCGAAGGGGCCAACATGATCACGGTGGCCGGGATCCTCACGGACCTCCACGGCAAGTTCCGGTCCATGTCGGCCTACTCGGAGAGCAGCAACTCCTCATGTGGGGAGAGCGGCTACACCACGTTGTCTGACTCAACTACCCCAACCATGACCCCCTCTGCTACTCCAATTCCTGGACAGTTCAATGCCACTCAACAGCAGTGGGGAGGAGGGGCGCCTCGGTCCCCAGTAAAGCGACATCAGTGCATTTACGACGGCTGTGACAGAGTTTATGGAAAATCGTCTCATCTGAAAGCCCATATCAGAACCCATACAGGTACAATTATATAGCTGGCTGTTATACTGCTTTAACTTTATAAATTGTTTGGGAATTAGCTATAGTATCAACAAATGTCATTTTATTAAGCAAGTTGTTCCAGAACTTCAAGTTTGTCCATACTAACTAAGCACTCCCCCCTTTGTGAGTCACTCCTAGCTACAATTATCATATTTTTGCCTGAAGAAATGTGTTTTTCTTCACAGGGATACACTGTCGATTGGGTGGGCGAGACAAGTCGTTTACCCGCGCGTTAGTAACGTTACAATACTCCCCGAACAAAAGGGGGAAAAACTCAGGGCTCATAACAAAGAAGTAAACGAACAAAAGAATGGGGCTGGACGAAAAAGCCTAGTGACGAACATGCTACATCTAGGTTGGATTTGCATACGAAGTAAGTTCGAGATTAAATGTAACGTTCGGGGCGTTTGCGCAGATTCGGTAGTTCGTTTAGCTCAAACTGCCAAATCTTTTAATCCCAGCTCGCATAAATGTGGCCATCATGTAACAGTCACGTCTTTCTCGAAAAACTCAATTTTCTTGAAATCAGCCATAGCTGTCATAGTTTTCCCAGTCAAAATGGTATGTTTAGCGCTGCTACTTTGTATACATGCATCAGGTGTCCATTGCCCAGGTGTCCGCAGAGTCGGGGGGGGGGTGTTCAGGGTCAGTGAACAACAGGCGCGGTTGGGTTAGAACAGGAAAGCGTGCTGAATAGAACAAATCGTTAGGGAACGCCCACAAAACGCGAGTGAGTGGGTCATTGCTAGAAGGCATACCGGTTTTGTAAAAGTTACGTCATAGTCACGTTCACTACAACGAGAGTTTGCGTCTTAACAGCGTCGAGTTCTACAGCAGACTGGACTTGATTTGCTTTCCACAGAATCACTTACTAGCTAAAGTCGGTATCCCTTCTAGACATGACCAGTGAGTGGGAGTGTGGCGTGTTGCAAAACGCAGATCCGCTTTGCGGTCTTGAATATAGCTCCTGGCACCCTCTCGCCTGTACTGGGTTGACTCCTATTAGCTATGTTACTGTATTGTACTAGGGCCACAAAATAGGCGTAGGAGGCTGCACATTGTGGATACCCTCATGAATAAAAGTCGAGTCAACATAAAGGTTGTCCTCAACGGTGGAAAATCCTTTATGCGCAAAAATGTATATAATAACATCACATCGATGTGAGCTTGTAGTCCCACTACGACTCGGGAAAGCATGCAGTTTATTTGTCTACATATTAAATAAATTATGATTAACTTCACAGGGTGGTGAAAGTGCCAGGTGTTGAGCTTGATGTTCCGTCCCAATAAATAACGAGGGTCTTATTCTGTTAACATGATGATCGATGCTTGGCTATTGCTCTTATCCATATCATCATCTAGGTAGCGTATCTGCGAGGTGTTGGCTAGAGCGCATGTGCCAAGACCAGAGTGGGCACATTTGCTATATAAAGCAACAGTTTTTGTGACAAAACCATAAGTAGAACTGAAAATGCGATGGAAACCCATTGACCTTGTATTTTTTATTTGGTGCACCACAAGTTATTTTTATGTGCACTACCTCATCACGCACAGACTTTTATCCGTAATAAATCAGTTTGTTGGAAACATCTCTGGTGAGAAAATGTTTTATGCCGATTTTAGAATATTCACATGAAAACCGGTAATTGGATGGAAACCTAGCTTGGGAGCTCCATTTATCCTTTGTAGCTCAATAGTGTATGGTGCTTGTAAAGCCAGGGTAGTGGGTTCGATTCCTGGGACCACCCATAAGTAAAATGTATGCACGCATGACTTTGGATAAAAGTGTCTGCTTTATTGAGGCCATCTCCATTTTGAAGTAGTCAATTTTCTTCTTCTACCACTTCTGAGTTGGCAAACAAACTCAAAGGGTGCACACTGCCACCTGGAGTGTGTTGTTTGACCAGGTGTAAAGCCAAGGTTGGCGATTTACTGCCACCTACAGTTATGGAATGTTTCCTCACAAGTATAATTCATAGGCTGATCTCTCCTGGTGACCTGGATGGAATTATGTGATTCTTCCTTGACCCATAGGAAGTCCTACCCAGTTGACTACTTGTACCCCCCCTCAATGACTCGGTACCAGTACCCCCTGTATATAGCCTCGTTATTTTATTGTGTAACTTATTGTACAGAAATACAATTTTATTTGATACTTCAAAATGGTGAAAGTCCTCAATGGCGCTGCCCATGCTAAAATAGGCTTTTGGGCACTAGAGTCCTCTATCTATCTCTATGCGATGTGTTGAGGGCGCCTCTCTAAGATGGCCTTATTCTGCCCTACGAGTGTCAATATCTATTGCCGTCTACGTTTTGCATTCACTTTTCAAAATGTCTCTCTTCAATACCCATATGAACCATGACCGGAGTATAATTTTCTTTTTAACATAGGTTGTTTTTGGTGCATTAAATAGAGCAGAGGAGTGGATGAACTTTTTGAGTTATAAAAAAAATGGCTGCTGATAATATTATACACTTTCTACTAACTTGATGGGTATACAGGGGTCTGCCAAGAATCTAGCTTACTACCGATGTCTGTATATCTTTTACAGGGGTCTGCCAAGAATCTAGCTTACTACCGATGTCTGTATATCTTTTACAGGGGTCTGCCAAGAATCTAGCTTACTACCGATGTCTGTATATCTTTTACAGGGGTCTGCCAAGAATCTAGCTTACTACCGATGTCTGTATATCTTTTACAGGGGTCTGCCAAGAATCTAGCTTACTACCGATGTCTATATATATGGTGTTAGTGACTGGAACGAGCAGGGCGATACTTGCCAGTCTGACATTTGTGCCATACTCAGTATGTTCAGTTGAATGTCTCTCTTTCTGTCTCCCTTCATCAGGTGAACGACCCTTTCCCTGTACCTGGCCCGACTGCCAGAAGAAATTTGCCCGTTCGGACGAACTGGCTCGCCACACGCGCACCCACACTGGCGAGAAGCGCTTCCTGTGCCCGCTGTGCGACAAGCGCTTCATGCGCAGCGACCACCTGATCAAGCACGCCCGCCGCCACCCTGACTTCCAGCCGTCCATGTTGGGCCGCAAGGCCTCGTCCCCAGGGGGACAGGGGGCGTTCAGCCCCACCATGGGCCAGTAGAGTGCAGGGGTCAGTGGGTTCACTCCCACGTCTAGGGCTGGGGTCAGCAAGGGTCACAGGGAGTGGTTCTAACCAGAGGTCCTAACCAATCAGATCCACTAGCCAGGCCTCAGCCTGTCCGTCACAACTCACCACACAACAGGATCTGGGTGGGGGCACATTCACCACCCACCCACCCCGATGGATGAAGACGACACCAGTCTCAACACAACCTAACCTCCAAACCTTTAACTGAAAAACACTCACACATGCAGGGAATTCTCAACGTCTTCACTCCGCAGTCTCAGCACACGCATCAGCCAAATGTTTTCCTCCTTTCTCTGCTTTTTTTAGAGAGATGGTGCTCCATGCTTTTTTACTGTGGCTGTTTCCTTTCTTGCTAGCGCCATTTAGTGATATTTAGCTAGAGGTGTAGAGAGGCTGAGGTCAACTAGAAGTGTAGCAGCTTTGCTGATGACATGTTCTCCGTTTCTAGAGGTTGCACATTCCATGCATTTTTGTCATTTGAATTTAGTTGGCTTAGTTTTATGTATATTTTTTTTGCAATATCGTATTTGCTGCATCATTATAATTTGAAATGCAGGTCAACTTCACTTTCAGTACTGATGATGAATGGTTTAAACCGCTAAAGACAAGCAGGTTGCACACCATCCTTATTCATTGTAGATCAACTTTTCTTTTTACCATCCATTAAACGTTGACGCATGATACACGTAGTATTATGGCCGATACGGATGCAAATGTATATAACTTTTAAGCTTCTATTGTAGAGAATATCGTAAAAAAAAATATTATTAGAGGAAGTAATACTTGTGATGAATTGTAGTCCTTATATTAGGGGTGACAGAGTATACGCTTGGATAGGATAGCGCTGCTTGTGAGTATGCGCGTGTCTCTAATGACATTTTTGTTAGAGAGAGAGAAGAAACTTTCTACTGTTTCCACTGTCTGTCCAGCTAAATGGACACAATTACTTTATTATCTCAGTGAACGACACTTCAGGAAATTCAGAAAGCCTTAAACTATTTCATACTTATTTTTGCACCATGTTTACAGTTTGAATCATTTCTACAGGTTTACGCCGACTCGTCGGCACATTACAAATACACATATGTAATATGGCACTTTTTCTTAGAGGTTGTTTTTAATGCTAGCTACTTGGCAAATTTTTGTGATAGGTATTCACTGTATTAATATGCTTCTACAGTTGAACACTGTGGAATTTGATAAAGATACATGTGATCTCATTATACTTATTATAACCAATGGTTAGGTTAGTAAGCCAGATTTGTCCAAGTGCTTTAGGAAAGTGCGATAAAGGATAGATTGGGGTTATTACGTGTTTGTTTTTTAATTGCTTCTTTGCTGGTCATAATGTCTTGGTTCTATGTTATCGTGTCTTAGAAAAGCCACATACAACATACTCTATGCTCTCAGACCCTTGTTATAATTGTCATTGCTTCCACAGAATGATTGAATTGCATGACTAAGGCACCTCCCCCGTCATACAGTCCCTCCAATATCTTCCTTCTCTCATGTCTTTACTAACAAACTGACTTTAATTGATCATTCTTGCTGCATCATTTGATCACTGATAGTTCCATTGTAATGGGATGTACCTGTATTCAACTTTTACATTGAAACGCTTTTTCCATTTGTACACATTTTCACAAGTTCTTATAATCTGTTGACAGCTCTTGGTAACTGCTGGCAGTTATCGAACAAAAATGGACTATTTCAAACAAAGCCACAATATGACTTAGTAAGAGTATTTGCTATGTTTTCAAATGAATTGAAAATGTCTCCATGGATCTCATCATTCTCCAAATGTATTTGTTTAATTTTTTGACAGCAAGTCTGCTCGCGCCAAAAGTATGATTATTTCACAAAGGGTAACAATTTACCTCACCATTTTTGTGTAATATTTGTCTTCCCTTGGAAACTCACCCTTTCTCATGAACTGCTTCTAAACACAATCAAGCCTTAGGTTTGAACTTCTTCTGTTCTTCAACTGAAAACTACACTCTGCCAGGGAAACATCTCTTTAGTTGTCTTGTCTATATTCCCATGTTTGCTCTGTGTACAGAGTTTTGACTGTGCTTAACACTTTTTCATAGTATATTATGTACCCGTGGTGTTCAGTAGTGCTGATCGTCAGTTTTGGCATCTCACAAGTGTGCAGTTTGTATCACTACCCTTCATGTTGCACAATGCTACTGATATCAGTTTAGTTTGGACCTACTGCGTTAGAGATGTATCAATAGATACATTTTGTAACACTTCATTTCAGTGATACCTACATAAGGACTTAAACACATTCATAAGCAGTACATGAACATTGCATAAATGCTTATGTTAACAAGTTGATATTTCAGTTATGTCACTATTTGCAGTTGTTAACAAACATAAGCATTTGTGCAATGTTCATTAACTGCTTATAAATGTGTACTGTATGGGTTATAAAGTCTGTATGTAGGTACCCTTCAGATAAAGTTACCAATCAACCAATATACATTTTACAAAGTAGAAAATCTGGCTTGGAGGGGGGCACAACCATATCTCAAACAATTTAATTCATTACGCTGAACACCTTATAGGGTATGCTATGCTAATTGTTACCCACTGTACACTAATTAAACAAATATACACAGCTGCATTGTTTGTATAGAACCAATGTTTTTAGAATTTTTTTAAGCCACATTTTTACATCAATAACTCTTTAAGAAACCTCTTATTCGAGCTTTGGTTAGGTCGATAAGAGGAACTGTGGAACTAATTTAATAAATGCTGCGACATGCTCTTTGATATTTATACTCAGGTGTCTTTTAAAAATTGAGCGCTGGAACTTCCATATTTCCTGTGCAACACCCAAGTGTAATCATGTATTGTTTCTATTATTTAATGGATTAATTTATTACGATTTATCATTTCCGTGGTTTAATTCTTTATTTTTTCATAGCTTATTATTTTGTGATATGGAACATATACTAATAATTTGGTTCCATTGTTTGCTTGATACAAAACTGCCAGTGCTTTTTAGTAATAAATAAAAACCTTAAGTTGAATGTTTTGTGTGTGGCATTTTCTTGTTAACAGGTGACATTCATTTGTATCTGTATTTAAATGTTGAGTTATACTTGATATATCCACTTTTTTTGTGAATATTGTTAAGTTAAAGGGAAGGTTGTCTGTAGATGGCTTTCAAAGTAAGGACAATTTGATCAATCCCTTTAAAATAATATTTCACCCAAATTACAAAATGACATTGATTTCCTTACCCTGTAAGCAGGTTATGGACAAGGTATGACCACAATCCATGATTTGGTTTGTTTACTTGGCCACTGCTTACAGTTTTTAGCATCTGTGGCACAAATCCAATGCAAGTCAATGGTACCTATGTAAGCATTTTATCGCGCCTCATGTCCAAATGATCTATAAGTAACTTCATTGAGAGTTTTAGATACTTTAGGATGATTTGGACATTCAGCTACAAAAATGCTAATATCAGTACCATTGACTTGCACTGGATTTGTGCCACAGATGCAAAATAGTTAGCATTTGGAAACAGTGGCCAGGTAAACAAAACCAAAACATGGATTGCTGTCATACCTTGTCCATAGACTGCTTACATGGTAAGGAATCCAATATGTAATTTGGGTGAACTATCCCTATAAAATATTGAATATGTGTGTATCCCATAAACTAATACAATCAGCTGGAATGTTTGCAGACAGCTAAAAGGCATCATTCTTTAATCCCAATTATACAACGGGTGTGTCTAATCCTGAATGCTGATTGGTTAAAAGCGCATTCCAGCCGCATTACCTCCGCTAAATCTATGACGTTAAAATGCCTATTTACTCTGTTCCATCTGACTGCGCAATCCACTGTCACATCAACCCAGCCAGGCAAGTTATAAACTTGATATCCACTATAAAAAGCATCTAGACAATATCTCACATTACTTTTAGACTAACATTTCGTTTTCAACAGCGGAGATTTGTATAAACCTTGCTGTCTGTCTCCGACATTTGCAACATTGTTTCAATATTCAAATTCGATCTCCAGCTGTCCCATAGTAATGAACGTGTAGGGGTCGGGACCAGACAGACAGGCAGGCAGCGTTTCTCAGCCAGTCGAAATCATGAATCAGCTGGCATCATTTTTATGGATACATACAAAGAAATGTCCATTGAAAAACGAAACGAAGTGCAGCTAGTTTGCAGTCTTTCCAGCTTCCGTTTGAAGTGACTGTGTTAGCTGTGCTGTTGGCTAGCTCATCTGAACAACAGTGTCCTCTACGAGAGAGCACAATCTCATTTTATATGCCAGGCGAAATCGCGCCTCATTAGCTCATTGTTATGGATGTATCACTATAAATGTCACTATAAAAACTGCTTAAACAAATGCAAATGCAGGTACTGTTGTTATTCTGTCTGCACTGTTTGACGTGACTGTAAGTTAGCTGTAGTTGGCTAGCTAGCAAGCAAGGGATAAGAACGTTGCCAGCCAGTATGGCAATGGAAGATTTAGAACGGACGACTGGGTCATGTCCATAGATACAAAACAAAAAGACTGAACGACTGGGTCGCATCTCTGCAACCCAATAGAACGAACGTCCAGCCGGCTTTGTATCGGGACTATATCTTGTGGAAGGATGAAATAGTATGAATAAATTCATCAAAATAACGTTTTTAATGAAAATATGTCAATCATTATTTGAATATGTTGGTAACCCGTTGTATAAAAGTGATAATGCCCTCGAAGCCGGTGTTTGGAGGATATATTGGCATGGTTTGCCGGCCCTCAACTTCGTCTCGGGCCTAACAACACCCGTGCCAATTTATCCTCCAAACACCGGCTTCACGGGTATTATCACTTAATTAACTTGCAGTATACTTTCACATTCCATTTGTAGCTTTCTTTCAAATCCAAACATTCTATAAAATAAAATACAAACATTCTTGCCTTTTTCACCACAAGCTTCCCCTCCTCAATAATTTAGGAAATGCCAATCGGCACTGTGGGGAGAAAAGCATGGTACAAATAACATGACCAAGAATTGAGACAAGTGGGCCATGTGTGTCTGCATGGGAGAGAAAATACAGTGAAACATTTTTCTTCTCTTGGCTCTATACTCAAAAAGTTTGGATTTGAAATCAAACAATGACTATGAGGTTAAAGTGAATACTGTCAGCTTTAATTTGATAGTATCATAGTATCATCCATATCAGGTGAACGGTTTAGAAATTACAGCACTTTTTGTACATATTCCCCCCATTTTAGGGCACCAAAAGTATTGTGTATTAAAAAGTGAAGTATGTAGCACGCAATGACTACATCAAGTTTTTGGCTCTACAAATTTGTTACATTTTAGTCATTTAGCAGACGCTCTTATCCAGAGCGACTTACAGTTAGTGAATGCATACATGTTTTTTTTTTGTTTTGTTTTTTTCATACTGGCCCCCCGTGGGAAACGAACCCACATCCCTGCCGGCCAAACCCTCCCCTACCTTGGACGACGCTGGACCAATTGTGCGCCGCCCATGGGTCTCCCGGTCGCAGCGACAGAGCCTGGACTCGAACCAGGATCTCTAGTGGCACAGCTAGCACTGCGATGCAGTGCCTTAGACCACTGCGCCACTCGGATGTTAGATGCATTTGCTGTTGGTTTTGGTTGTGTTTCAGATTATTTTGTGCCCAATAGAAATGAATGGTAAATTATGTATTGTGCCAATTTGGAGTCACTTTTATTGTAAATAAGAATATAATATGTTTCTAAACTCTTCTACATTAATGTGGATGCTACCATGATTACGGATAATCCTGAATGAATCGTGAATAATGATGAGTGAGAAAGTTAGACGCACAAGTATCATATTTGATTTCAAATCCAAACTTTTGAAATATAGAGCCCAATAATTACGTCTTTCAGAGAGAGGGTGATGTAGAATATATTAGCCTGTTCCTGGTTCAGTTTGTGCTGTATTGCCAACTTCTATGATCGTTGTCATACAATAATCATAGGAGTAACGTGTGTGTTTGTGTGAACTCAACTCATCAGAGTTCATCTCTTTGTTTGCTGGCAGACGAGGGTGGGGGCACGCCTCCTCCTTCCTTGACGATGCCTGGGGGCATAGGCCGTCCCTGGCCGTCCTGCTTGCTGCTTCGCTGGGTGTTCTGCCGGTCCCAGTCGGTGGTTGTGGCCTCATCGTCCCAGATGGTGGAGGTCTCTGTGTCGCTGAAGTAGCCCGGCTCGCCAGTATAGTGGGTGGGGAAGAGGAGCAGCGGCTCCACAGAGAACGCCAGCAGGTCCCTCTGCTCAAACTGGGCCATGTACTCCTCCCTGAGGGCAAGGAGAGTTGAGGAGAGTTAAGAAACAACAACACATGCCCGGTCTGAAAACAACCCCTTCCCTTAGATCTGCCTGGAACCATCACCATATTGTTTGCACTGTTTTGGTCGCTACCTGGTCTCTTCAGATCAGCAAACACTGGGTTTGCAGGGACAAATGTCACTCAACAAGCATGTGCTTGCTAAATAAGGTGCTTGCGGGAGAGAGATAGCGTGAGAGAGTGGACACTGCAGTTAAAAGAGCAAAAGCCTGTATGCAAATTCACTTTGACCATTGGAACTCACCTTGGGTGCTTGTTGAACATGACAGGCAGGTACTCATCCACAGGTAGCATCTTGCCCAGGGGCCGGGCTCCCAGGAGCCTCTTGGCCCCCTGCAGGGAGAGGGCGTAACCCAGGGTCCAGTAGGAATAGTCAGGGTGTACCAGGTTACTGACCCCCTCCACCCAGCGCTCCGGCTGCTTCACCTGCAGCCGTTTACGCCCCACGTAGCTGAGAGAGAGAGGGAGAAGGAGAGAGAAACATCAACCTCTTTCCGTTCGTTTTATAAAGCATTCCTAGAAAAATAAGCTATTTTAGACTATTAAGCTGCATCCTAAGATCAGACACACGTTGGCATCCTGTCTGTCTGTCTGTCTGTCTGTCTGTCTGTCTGTCTGTCTGTCTGTCTGTCTGTCTGTCTGTCTGTCTGTCTGTCTGTCTGTCTGTCTGTCTGTCTGTCTGTCTGTCTACCAGCCTGCCTGCCTGCCTGCCTGCCTATGTTCAAGTGTGTGTGTGTGTGCAGCCAATCAGCCCTCACATCAGATCCCAGTCCAGTCCCACTCGGTCCACGTTCTCCATGATGGTCACCAGTCTGCTGCGGAACCGTGGCTCAAACCTCACATCGTCCTCCAGCACCAGCACAAGCTGCAGTCCCTGTTCCACCACCTAGGGGGAGCCAGGGTTTGAATCTCCAAATACTTGATACATTAAAACAAATGACATTGCCTTCTATCTTCTATCTTTACATCTATCAAGCAACAAACTAGTTGTAGTAAAATAGTTTGAGCACTGTTACAGATCGTTAACCTTTTACGGCAGTGGGCTAAATCAGGGTCACACAGAGTGATTTTTGGTAGTCTTAAACAAATCTACTTTGAAACAAAAGTATACACCTCACACACATGGTTATGGGCTTTAAAAGAAGAAGACACATGTACCATGTCAGATATAGAGTTGTAATGTATTAAGTTTTCAGTTTATATCCCAATATTAAACTTTATATACATCAAAGAAGACTTAAATGCAACAAAACCGTTTCACATAAAAACACTGGATTTTCGTCCAAAAAATAAAAACTTTTATTAATTATGAAATTATGAAAAATATTACTAACATTCCACCCATGAGGCCACTAGAGGGCGATTTGGTCATTTGACTGCAGGAAAGGATATACCATTATCAATAAAAGTGGCAGCTATCAAGATTTATTAGGATTTTTATGCAACGTTTTGCAGGTGTATAGAATCGATTTTCATGTATAGACTAGATGTGCACCTGTTTCCAGATGTTGTAGTGACTGAGGAAGCAGCCGATCTCCCCTCGCGTCAGTACGCGCCCCGAATACGGGTCTTTGTACCCAGGCAACATGTCTATGCCCATCGCTTGCAGCTGGGAGGAGTTCAGGGCTCTGAAGAAAAGAGAAGAAAAGAAAAGATGAATAAAACATAATTAAATGTTCAACCCCAGCCCAGGTGCTTAGGGCTAGATTAACTACAAGTTTGCACCTGTGCAGTGTTGGAACCTGTTCTTTTTCGGACTAAATTCAGAACGGTAGAACAAAATATCAAAGGAAAATTAAGATACAGATAATATATAGAAGTTTCATGTTTGATGAATCCATGCTCACTAAGTGGAACAATAGTGGAGTGGAGTGAGGATTCAGTTTGGATAACAGGCATTGTATTTTATACCCTTCTGAAATAACAGGTGCAGACGTTATGTAAAGTGCTTTTGGATTGTTGTGTCGTACTTGCCATCCACCGCCTCTGTCAGTGTGATATCGATTCCCAGAACGGAAAGGGTGCTCAGCATTCGATCCCGCCGGTCAATGCGATGCTTCAGATTAATCAGAAAGATCTAGAATGAAGGTGGGGAGAACAAGTTACTAAAATCAGACTATTCCATCCATTATCAACTTTCTCATGATTTGTATGAAATCTGTGATTTCTTTCAAACAATGACAGTGGATGACTAAAGATATACTGTAGATATACTGTAGATTTACTGTAAGTGCATTCTCAGTACCTCATCAAATCCCATCTTTTCCAGAGGTTTAGGTGTATGGTGCATGTATTTGGACGGCTTCATGAGGTAATCGACTGAAGACAAATACCTGTATTAGACTCTTATTACTAGATAAAAGATAAAAGCAGATCACACTGTGTTAAGACATTTGCCATCTATGATTTGTAAGGGAATTCCTCAGTCATTAATGACCAGTTTGGGGATACTCTAAAGAGAGAGGGAGTGATGGAGGAGCGAAAGAGATAGCGAGTGAGCTATCACGGAGAAGTGAGAATTCTGACAAGGCTGTGAAAGTGAAAGTCTAACGGCATCACAGAGACTGGTCTGTAGGAGAGGGAACAGCAGGAAAGAAAGTCAAGGGTGTGTGGGTGTGTTGGTGTGGGTGGGTGTGTGGGTGTGTGGGTGTGGGTGGGTGTGTTTGTATGTGGGTGTGGGTGTGTGGGTGTGTGTGTGTGTTTGTAGGTGTGGGTGTGTGTGGGTGTGTGTGGGTGTGTGTATGTGGGTGTGGGGGTGTGGGTGTGTGTGTGTTTGTAGGTGTGTGTGGGTGTGTGTGGGTGGGTGTGTGGGTGTGTGTGTTTGTAGGTAGGTGTGCGTGGGTGTGTGTGTGTGTGTGTGTGTGGGGGTGTGTGTTTGTAGGTAGGTGTGTGTGGGTGTGTGTGTGTGTGTGTGTGTGTGGTGTGTGTTTGTAGGTGTGTGTGGGTGTGTGTGTTTGTAGGTGTGTGGGTGTGTGTGTTTGTAGGTGTGTGTGGGTGTGTGTGTTTGTAGGTAGGTGTGTGTGGGTGTGTGTGTGTGCATCAGAGTACTCACTCAGAGCCTCAGTCATGGTGTGACTAAAGCTCTCCACCTCCTCCTCCAGACTCTGCTCTTGCTTCAGGGGCAGTGGCAGATACCCATAATGCTCTCTGTTACATATGTACATCTGCACATCTGTATGGAGTCACAGGTTTAACATTAGACACATAAAACATAATACATATAAATAATAATTGAGTGTTTGATTGAACCTGCCTGGAGTGCCACATAGCCTGGCTATTCCACTGGTTCCATTGCGCCAGGCAAGCTCAATCAAGCGCAACTAAAGTATTTGAAAGAAAACAAATACTATTTGAACCCAGATCTGACACCCATTCAATACACAGTAAGGAAACTGCGCATTTAAACACAATTCATTATGACTCTATGTCTGACCTGCCCGCCGTGCAGAGAAGGCGAAGACCATGATGTCATCCAGGGGGAAGGTGTAATCGTGGTGTGGAGGATGGAAGACCAGCGCCCGGGTGGCGCTCCGCCTCAGGTCCACCAGGAAGGTAGAGTGCACCATGGGAACAGCAAAGCAGCCCTGGCGTTTCCAGTTCCTGATGGGGATGTACTCAGGGGTGCGCTTGTAGTAACCCTAAGAGGGCAGGGAGAGACACAGTGGATCAGGGTAACTTAAATAGAGTCCCCAGGGACAGCTGGTGGCGGTGGAAGACTTGAATTATTTAAGTCTTCAAATACAATGGTGAGCGAACACAAAAGCAAGATGGTATAATACAATTAATGAACAAAAGAAAACACATTTAATAAGCATTAATTGTATAAATCATCATGGGTTACAAAGATTCTTGACATCTACACTCTGTGGCCAGTTTATTAGGTATGCCCATCTAGTAGCGGGTCAGAAACATTGCTTAATTGGTATCAAAGGACCTAACGTGTGGCAGGAAAACATTTCCCACACCATTACACCACTGCCACCAGCCTGTACCGTTGACACCAGGCAGGATTCTTGCCATTCTCCTTCGACCTCTCATCAACGAGCTGTTTTTGCCCACAGGACTGCCACTGACTGGATGTTTTTTGTTTTTCGCACCATTCTCGGTAAACCCTAGACACTGTCGTGCGTGAAAAGTCCAGGAGGCCGGCCGTTTCTGAGATACTGGAACTGGCTAGCCTGGCTCCAACGATCATACCACGCTCAAAGTCACTTAGGTCACTCATTTTGCCCATTCTAACGTTCAACCAAACAGTCTCTGAATGCCTCGATGCCTTTCTGCCTGCTTTATATAGCAAGCCAAGGCCACGTGACTCACTGTCTGTAGGAGCGATCAATTTTCATGAACAGGGTGGTGTACCTAATAAACTGGCCTATATCTAATAAAGACACACTCGCTAATTAAATTGACTGTCAATGCCATAGAAAACTGTGAATGCTAATTGAATTGACTATCAATGCCATAGAAAAATGTGAATGCTAATTGAATTGACTATCAATGCCATAGAAAAATGTGAATGCTAATTGAATTGACTATCAATGCCATAGAAAAATGTGAATGCAAATGACACTGAAGTGGCAGACAAACCAGAAGAAAAAAATGGGAAAGAACAGAAGGGCCAATCATACGGTCATATATCACTAAGGGAAAGTGGCTAGGGGAGTGGTGGTGCGAAGCAACAAGATGGCAGAAGGCAAATCATCACAGAGGAATGGCTCCATCTGTTTCCCTGCCCCTACCAAAACCCTTTTCACCATGACACTGACAGAGCCAGGCAGCCAGACAGACAAACTTGGCAGACAGGAAGACAGACTGACAAGCTTGGCAGACAGACAGAGAGATGAGCTTGGCAGACAGGCAGACAGACAGACAAGCTTGACAGACAGGCAGACAGACAAACAAGCTTGGCATGGCAGACAGACAGACAAGCTTGACAGACAGGCAGACAGACAGGCAGACAAGCATGGCATGGCAGACAGACAGACAGACAAGCTTGGCAGACAGACAGAAGGACAGACAGACAAGCTTGGCAGACAGACAGACAGACAAGCTTGGCAGACAAACAGACAGACAGGCAGACAGACAGGCAGACAAGCTTGGCATGGCAGACAGACAGACAAGCTTGGCAGACAGACAGACAGACAGACAGACAAGCTTGGCAGACAGACAGACAAGCAGACAGACAAGTGCAATGCTTCAGATTGAATAAACATTCGGATGGGAACTAAACAATAAAGTTGTCTTCTGAGAAGGGGGCCAGTTGTGGGCCAAATAAAGTTGGAGAAGTTTCACAATGTGTGAAATAAATAGAAATGAAGGAAGGGTGTACCTGTGGGGTCACGCCACACCAGAAGTTGGAGTAGAGGACGCGGGACTCCAACATGGGCGCTACCACCGTTAGATTCTCTGCCATCATCTCAGTCAGCACCCGCCGGTTGGTCAGCAAGTTGTCAGTGTCCACAAACTGGGTGAAGAAGAAATCATCTCAGTGGAAATTCTGTAGTTCTGGGGGCTGGCTCAAGTGAAGTGAGGTGAATTCACATTCGGCTATTTGTGGTACTTTCGTCCAGTTACAGCTTGTGAAGAAAATGAAGGTGTCGTTACTGTAACAGTAAACAGTGCCTAAACAAAACAGTTTGCCATCTCAGAATTTGACGCCTCTGCACCTAATACCACCTCCTACTGAGTGTTGTTATCCCACTGGGTTGAGTTGTGGGTGACCTCACCAGTATGTAGTCAGCCCAGAGAGCCCTGGCTGATCTGAGAGCAGCCTGTTTTAGCTTCATCACGTGGGTGAACCGAGAGTTAGGCCAGTGCTTCGGCCCCAACTCACCCACATGCGAGCTAGGGGAGAGGGGGAGATGGAAGGAGAGAGATGAGTGGAGAGGCCTTTATTCTTGACTTTTGTTGACATAGATATTGAATGACAAGAGTGCACAATATGGGTCCTTGATAGCTATGGACCCCATCTTTACAGGGAAAGGGTGGTCGTCTGAGAAGAAAACATGTAAAGTGAATGTGGAGAAAATGGAAGCATGTATTTCAGAGTGTGCTCACCTTGGTTCCTCCACGGGTGTCCACTTCACAGAGTGGTACTGGCTCTGCACCCCTCTGATCCACTCCTGCAGCATGGCTGTGGTGTTGTCCACACTGTGGTCTGCAGCAGCACTGTAACAAAGTGGCTAGAGCATCAGCCCACTAGAGCAACTGGCTGGATCAGATAGCTCAGTTGGTTGGAGCATGGTGCTTTCCACACCATGGTTTTAAGTTTGATTCCCACATGAGCCTTGGGCCGGTTTCCCGGACACAGATTAAACCTAGATTTAAGCATGACGAACAGAGATTCTCTGTGTCCAGGACACCAGACTTCTACATAGCATGTAGATAAAACCTGACTGTATTACATCAGCATATACTTCTTTATTCTCTTATTCTCTCTCTCTGCCTGGTCGCTGTCATTCACAGTGCTGTGCCACTCCACCTCACATCTCACCCTCTCTCTCTGCTCCAAGACCACTATTTGCTCTTCTCACATCTCTGAATATTTCGGTAGAGAGGTAGAACTCAGGTCACTTAATCCACTGACAGCAACTGGTTTTGAATAGGTTTTGCCCAAATGAAAGTGCCCTCCATTCAGGGATTGATACATATTTTATTAATTTATTATGGTAAAATGCAGTTACCATTAGCCTATAGGGCTGGGTAATAAATAATCTATCGAACTCCAGCTCAGTAACATCCTTAGTGGAACTGAGGAATTTTTCAGTTCAAAATTAAAATCTGGTGTCTTCTGGAACTGATGGGCACCAATGTGACAATATGTGACTGCTTTAGTTTACATCACTTAATGAGCTAGCCATAGATATGATAAATAATTTAAAGGGTTTTCAAAAGGTTAAATATCTAAAAGTAAGAAACAATGTGGAACAAAATATTAAATTGCACGTGTTTTACCAGATGGCGATACGATCCTTAGGATACTCCAGCCTGTCGATGCACCCCAAAAAGTAGGGAAGACTGTGCTCCGCATTGCGCGCAAGGATACTGATCAATACTTTGGGCTTCAGCAACGAAGACTCAGGCAGGACAGGTTCTAGGGGTTCAGTTATCAAGTCTTCTGTACAGGTGTTGTATGGGAGTATCCCGGTCAAAATCACGAAAAGCAATCCGAAACCCACAATTTCAAACGGCATTATTTCCTTAAGTGTGCTCTATCTCCCTCCTGAACTCCACGTACTGCAGCTGAGAATGGGTAAATGGTGCAAGTCGAGTATGTGGCACTGATCTGGTAGGTGAGATGCAGACAGTGTGAAGACAACCGGTGAACGGCTGGTAAACCGACTATCCATCCACCCAAATATTTGAATTATTTATGTTTTCTGGGGGGTTTCTTTGCAGGGTAGGGCTATCAAATTATTAGGCATATTCCAGCTAACAACAAATGTTCCCACAACTTTAGAGAACGTTCCCTAAAGAGTCTCATTAGGTCATTACCTAACGTTTTCATAGGACATTTCCAGTGATGTGCAAGGACCATTTCCAAGAGACCATTCCCTCAATGTCAAATAGAATTTACCTAGAACGTGGTTACCATGTTCTCAGAATATAATATATTAATGTTCTAGACATGTTTCATGGGAACATTGCAAGAACAGTCCTGTGTTCATGATGTTGAAAAAGTAGGATGTTCGGTTATGGTCCTCTGGAGGTTTTTGTCTAGTTCCCAGCTTGTTCCTGCAACGTCCCTAAATACATTTTTACAATGTCTCCAGGTGGTCCCAAAGAAACATTCTCGCCCCCCAAAAAAACATCTCTTCACATGCCACCCCTTGTTACTGTTGCCAAGCTGATCAAGGCCCTGATTGGTGAACCACTGATCCACCCACAGCTTGTAACTTACAATGTTTTCAACTTACATATTTAACACACTTTGACATACATGATTACATTGTGCATGTTCATGTGTACACAGTACATTTTATTCAACATGTCCTCACCTGGGATTTGAACTCAGAACCTCTTGGTTCACGGTATTCCGATCTTCCTGCTACACCACCATGTCTGTGTCAGTTATCAGTTAATCTCACTATTATCTAATTGATTATATATACTTATTTCAGCAATTTTAGGGTTGTCTAATGTTGGTGGGCTATTGTAAAGCGGATTTTCAGTTGAATAAAAGAGAAGAGCAGTCGTGGATATTGTTAATCATAAATCACGTTTAATAACAAGTTGCAAGAGGGAGACACCTCCAGCACAGAAGCAGAGAAAATGTCTAGCGGTCCTTCTCTGAGAAGGCACTTTATATTTTAATCAGACAGTAACAAATGTTCTGTAAACACCAACTCGGGAGGCTGGGAGGAAGACACAACATCAGCGGCTACAGAATCACACAGTGTCACATTATCAGTGTGCCCTCGGCTCAGTGTGGCGTCAAACTTTAACCATAACATTCAACACTGGCTGATATTTGATACTGACAGTTTAACAGGTCAAAGGTACCAACATCAGTACTTAGTTAGTTAGTACTCCTGAGTGGCGCAGTGGTCTAAGGCACTGCATCGCAGTGCTAACTGTGCCACTAGAGATCCTGGTTCGAATCCAGGCTCTGTCGCAGCCGGCCGTGACCGGGAGACTCATGGGCGGCGCACAATTGGCCCAGGGTAGGGGAGGGAATGGCCGGCAGGGATGTAGCTCAGTTGATAGAGCATGGCGTTTGCAACGCCAGGGTTGTGGGTTCGATTCCCACGGGGGGCCAGTATAAAAAAAAATATGTATCACTAACTGTAAGTCGCTCTGGATAAGAGCGTCTGCTAAATGACTAAAATGTAAAATGTTATAGTACATCAAATACAGGAGAGGAATTAATCAAATAATTCCCCATTACAGGCATATTACTATGTTTTAAAGGGATAGTTCATTAATTACAAAATGGCACATTGGTTTCCTTACCCTGTAAGCAGTCTATGGACAAGGTATGACAGCAATCCATGCTTTGGTTTAGTTTCCACATGCTAACATTTTAGCATGTGTGGCACAAATCCCATTCAAGTCATGGGACCGATATTAGCTTTTTCGCTAATCATGTCCAAATCATCCGAAAGTATCTACAATTGATTGTGAAGCTCAACAAAGTCACTTATAGGTGATTTGAACGGTTCCCTCCATCTCCCCTGGAGAGCTGCCAGTGGGCCCTCAGGATGGCACACTTCTGGCTGTGAACAACGGTACCCCTAGTAAGCTGCCTATCAGTAATGAGGTGCTGACCACCAGAAACACTTTGCTTCTTCAAGTAGAGTCCTCCACCAGCCTCTCCACTGCTACAGGTGGGAGGAAGAAGGCTGGAGGAACCGGCTGCTTCCAGGGACTCTGGAGAGCACTGAGAGGGGGGCAGAGGAAAGGAGAAGGAGCCTGTAAGGAGCCTGTATTACTAGTCACTTTTACAGTTCCCTAATATTGTAGCAAGACATCCTGTAAACACAGAATGTTGAAAAGACGAAGTTGTGAATAACTGTTTTATCCCCTTCTTTTTTTGTCTTTCTTTTTCAGGCTCACTGAGTTGCTCAGGCAGATGAAAAACAGATACCCCTTCCAAGCAAAAGTTTATTTACTTTTTATCATTGTTTCTAGCATGTTTTGAACATTAAATGTGTCATTTCTTTGCAAATGTGTTCTGTTTTTCACTGAAACCATAAGTATTGACTATCTAATAAGAGAAAGCACACTTACTAAAATAAATAAATTGGCAAGTAGAATAGCAATGCAGGTTTTCAGTAAGAAGTTACACTCCCAAGGCATAAATTGAACTAAAGAGACTCAGATCTATGAGAAGAAGCACCTGCCTGTCTGGTGCTGCAGACCAGGGCCATGATTAGGTTGTCCATACTAACCGCTTACTGAAGTTTTACACCTAATCAAATATTTGTTTTAGTTAGTTTAACTTTTTTCTTCACACAGTTTATCATAATTCAAACACATCTCCATATCTACCTAAAGAAAGGGAGTTAGAAGTGCCCCGGAACTTATAATACCGGCAAAAAAACATTTCCCCGGACACTTTACATTGCAGTACCATAGCGTCCTAAATGACAGTGAGGCATTTTCACGTTGTCAAACTCACAGTGGGTGTGTGGGATTTAAAGTGATTTACAAAATATAGACGAGGAAATATGTCGGAGTTAACGAAGAAAACAGACGAGGATGTAATTGAGAAACCACTTCCCCCTAACTGGATTTTACAGCATCCAATGGTAAGTGCCAAATGCGATCAACAAACATAATGACCTAGCTAACGTTAGGCATGAGCAACAATAATAACTGATGCAGTACTAGCTAACGTTTTAAACTTTTACCCTCATGCTCATAGTACCATCATCTGATAAACCTAGATGTTGGAGACAGTGCTCAAGTGCATGCAGCTTTCTTGGTGTACCTGGATCTTGCTGAAGGTGAGTTAACCATTAATTGGATCCACAATCAACTCTGTTTTGCATCATCACAAGCTAGCTACTAGACCTTTCAGGTGAGTGCTACCGTAGCTCTCGAGAACCCAAGGGGGCTTACAGCCGGCCCCACTTTTGGGTTCTCAGCTGAAGGTATGGAGGACAGCTGGCTCAATGTGAACTACAATCCCGACGCTCTGTTTTAACGTTTCAAAATGCTTGCAATACGGTTTTGGAAACATTTGTAACTTAACTTTCATACCACCAAGAAATAATCTTTCAAATACAAAAGATACACATACTGTACGGAGTTTAGCAAAGTGACACCCGGCTGTAAGAGCCTCCAGCCGATATACGACACATCCTCTCCCCTTGCGCTCACATTTCCATTGGACCATTCCATTCCACATTTCCGGCCAGAAGTAGGTGTTACTCCTTGATCACACCGACAGTCGATTTTGCAACCAAAGTTCAACATTCACCTTCTGCTACCATTTCTGTCAAGCACTCTACGCATACAGTTTGACATAGGTTCGATAAATCCAACGTATGCACCACACACTGCAATTGCCTCTACAACGCAACACTGCAGTGTAAACGCAAAGTTCCATTGGAAATGAATGTACTTCTGGTGTACCAAAATGCAATAATGCGGTCAGTGTGATCGAGGCGTTACTCAAAGCACAGTCGGGTGCAACTTTGCTAAACTGTGTGCAGTAAGTGTATCTTTTGCATTAAAATAAAAATATTTCTCACTCATATGAAAGTTAAGTTCCACATGTTTACAAAATCATACTGTGGGCGAGGCGTATTTGCGTTTAGTCAGAGCATTTGGGTAGCGTCGGGGCGTTTCCCTCACAAGGCAAAAGGGGACATGCAATGACCCAATGCAATGGAATCAGGGTCATGATAAGGGCTAGTGCTACAGATGACATCAGTTGGATAAACCTACCTAGGCTACATAAAATGTCAACTAAGTTCTTTACAATGACAACCTATTATTCGCCAGGTGTACCAAGTGTATAGCTAGCTACGTATCATGCTCCTGACTGTGCCCACATTAGCTAGCCAGAAAGTAATCTCTGTCCTTTCCACTCCAGTGCGTCAATGGAAGGAGGTGAGTGGAGTGGGGTGCTCTGAGCTGCGACTGGTGTTGCTGGAGGGACGGGAGAAGGAGGGAGAGCCCGCTCAGACGGTGCTCCCACTACCTGTACACAGAGGCCTGAGCCACAGAAGGTGAGAGAAGACTGGGTCTCCTTATTGAATACCCACTCCGCTATAAGACCTCCAGATGCATTTAAAGGAATTAATTTAATGTACAAAAAGACAACAGACTGATGCTATGCTACGCTACAGGGTTGCGTTCAATTCCATTTAAATTCCAGTCAGTTCAGGAAGTACCCTACTTTTTAATGAGGAATATTTGGAATTTGTTTTACTGTCCGAATTGACTGTCATTGAAATGGAATTGACCCAACATTAGATTACGCCACAAATCAACATTTTGCAACACTTGCGGATAATGAACGCAGCCGGCTCCAAAGAATGTAGGCGAACTGAAACTGGAGTGTGATTACTGTGTATTTTCTTCAATGTAAGATAATTTCTTTACACATATCTATGATTTGGTCCATCTCGGACCTCTTCTCCTCCCTCTCCCAGTGTGCGGTCAGTGCTGGCCAGAGGCTCACCCATGCTGCTGTGTGTGGTGGCGTCTGACTCCAGCCTGGTCTACCAGAGGATGTGTGACGGCCTGCTGACCCCTGACCCCCCAGTGGGCATCCAGGACCAGGGCCGCCGGCAGCACCGCAAAAGACGCCAGCAACATTGAACCGCAGAAGAACCACAGTGAACGTTAGTAGACCACTATGGTCTGAACTCTGCAGTGACCAGGAGACAACCACAGACTGAATGGCAGGCTGTTGTGGTCTCGTAATGATGAACCAAAGTGCACCCGGGATACTATTTATTTAGAATTTGCCAGTGTCTTCCTACCTTAAAATTGGCAGGGCGTGCCTATCTTCGTTGCTCCCTTCCCGAACTGTTTTTGGGAACCTGGGCATAGTGACTTTCATATGGCTCAACAGCTAGCCTACATTAAGTATGACAGACACTGAGAGACTGCGTAAAGAGAAATGACAAATATTACGATGGCTGTAACTACCTTTACAAGGTGCTACAGTCTCTGTGGGCCAGAGGGTTTGTGTTATAGCTTCTCGGACAATTGACAGACAATCGATCATCAGACACTGGTTTGCAATTGGACATAAACTTGCCAGAGAGGATACATAAGTTGCATTGAATTAAATGTCCATACAGTACATCCATGAAGCAATACATGTTTATGTAGCAGACTGCAGTAGGCTACTTACATATGGCACCACTCAGAACTCGTTCAGCTGGTTATTGTTAATGTAACACTGTTTTGTTTCGTGATGACTCCATACCCATTTACTTTAAATGCAGTTGTGATTTTTTTACTGTAGAGGGCAGCACGAAAGCTACCATGAATGCCTCATTGATATCATTGCTACGCCATCATTTGACATTGACAGATAAAGACTACAGTAAACACAATGTTGGCTGTGCCTGTGCATTGTTAGGTAATAGTAACAACACAAGGACTGTATGAGCAACCATTTTGTTTTGACAAATTATATTAGTGACCTGAAAACACGTATTATTTTACTAGAAAAACTAAAATTGAAAATGAAAAACAAACAAGCAAAAATGAGCATGACAACAAATGCGAAGAGCACTACATAATCTGGCTATGCTCCTTATACAGTATATTGTCTTTAGATTTAACACTGATGTGGTCTTACTAACAGGTAAGAACAGATACTGACAGCAGGGTGCTGTGTGTGTGTGTACAACAAAGCCTAATGAAGAGGTAGGCTCGACTACAAAACGACAATGACTAGAACACTTCAACCCTGAGCATTGACATTAAACAAGAATACCCTACATGGTAAAGTAAGGAGACGTAGGCCAACTATGAGTCACATACAGTGCATTCGGAAAGTATTCAGACCCCTTGACTTTTTCCACATTTTGTTACGTTACAGCCTTATTCTAAAATTGATTACATTGTTTCCCCCCCCTCATCAATCTAGACACAATACCCCATAATGACAAAGCAAAAACAGGTTTTTAGAAATTTGTTGCAAATTTATACAAAATAAAAAACGGTATTTAGACCCTTTACTCAGTACTTTGTTGAAGCACATTTGGCAGCGATTACAGCCTCGAGTCTTCTTAGGTATGACGCTACAAGCTTGGCACACTTGTATTTTGGGAGTTTCTCCCATTCTTCTCTGCAGATCTTCTCAAGTTCTGTCAGGTTGGATGGGGAGCGTCGCTGTACAGCTATTTTCAGGTCTCCAGAGATGTTAGATCGGGTTCAAGTCTGGGCTCTTTGGCCAGGTGATGAGTGGTGCCTGGTTTCCTCCAGACGTGACGCTTGGCATTCAAGCCAAAGAGTTCAATCTTGGTTTCATCAGATCAGAGAATCTTGTTTCTCATGGTCTGAGAGTCCTTTAGGCGCCTTTTGGCAAACTCCAAGCGGGCTGTCGTGCCTTTTACTGAGGAGTGGCTTCCGTCTGGCCACTCTACCATAAAGGCCTGATTGGTGGAGTGCTGCAGAGATGGTTGTCCTTCTGGAAGGTTCTCCCATCCCTACAGAGGAACTCTGGGAGCTCTGTCAGAGTGACCATTGGGTTCTTGATCACCTCCCTGACCAAGGCCCTTCTCCCCCGATTGCTCAGTTTGGCCGGGCGGCCAGCTCTAGGAAGAGTCTTGGTGGTTCCAAACTAATTCCATTTAAAGAATGATGGAGCCCACTGCGTTCTTGGGGACCTTCAATGCTACAGAAATGTTTCGGTAACCTTCCCCAGGTCTGTGCCTCGACACAATCCTGTCTCGGAGCTCTACGGACAATTCTTTCGACCTCATGGCTTGGTTTTTGCTCTGACATGCACTGTCAACTGTGTGGGACCTTATTTAGACAGGTGTATGCCTTTCCAAATCATGTCCAATCAATTGAATTTGCCACAGGTGGACTCCAACCACGTTGTAGAAACATCTCAAGGATGATCAGTGGAAACAGGATGCATCTGAGCTCAATTTCAAATCTCATAGCAAAGGGTCTGAATACTTATGTAAATAAGGTATCCGTTTTTTATTTTCAATAAATTTGGTAAAATGTCAAAACCTGTTTTCGCTTTGTCATTATGGGGTATTGTGTGTTGATTGATGAGGAACATGTTTTACTTAATCAATTTTAGAAGAAGGCTGTAACGTAACAAAATGTGGAAAATAAGATTCAAAAAGTGTCTTGGAATGCAGGAAGTAAGTAACCGCGGTTTCCCGTCCAGGGTGTGTTCATTGGAGTGACACGCACGCTCATAACATTGCAGATAGAAATACGCTACATAGAGAGAACTGATAAGAGAATCAATGATACAATACATTGATGGGAGAATCCCCAGCTCTATTACTTAAAAGTTTCTATCTGCAATGCGCAGAACGTTTGAGCCACCTGGATTGCATTCATTAAGGCACACCGTAGCAAAATGTTTACAACGGAAAACGTCAACTAGCGTTTCTTATTGGAAGTTCTTCCCTGTTTCAGTCTGTTTTCTTCCATTTGATGCCTAATGAATACCACCCAGGAATAATTCCCAGATTCATTTTCCTCTGCCCCCCAATGACCTCCACTGTTCATCATCCAATCAGATGAGGAATGACAAATGTTCCTTTAAGCCACTACAAATAACCATGATGGACTGGTGGTACTGGTCTCAGTCAATCCATGAGTTCAAAATGACTGGACCGCCAGTGTCTTTTAATAGACCACAGTCACAGAGTCGAGCGGCCGCTGTACTTATTGTCCATGGTAACCATGGCGACATACTTGGAGAGCCGTTCCGTATTATAGGCCTGGTGCTGGAAGAAGTCCCGGCCATGTCTTGTAACATGCTCCTTTGGGGGAAAAACATTGTCGCATTGGACTCGTACATCTGTTACGGGGAGACAGGGTTGTAGATATAGACATGGGCTAGGCAAATGTGCTTGGTTTGGGTCAATGTGTCTCCCCCTCCATCCTCGAAATAGTCCAAAAGGAAGAGGGCCCTTGGGTAAGGGTTATGTGGTACAGTCCGTCCATGCCATTGGACAAATCCAGTAGAGGGAGATTTTAATGGATGGAATGGCTCATTGTAATGGTTGGAATGACACCAGCCTCCACTGGACAAATCCTTCCTCTCAGGGGAGCAGATAGAGGACCTCAGTGCTATGTCATATCCTCTTCCTCTGAGCAGTAGTCCTGCCCCTGAAAAAGCAAAGCAGAAGATCGAGTAGAATGAAGTCATCCCCAGACACTGATCTAACCCCCCCCCACACACACAATGATTTCAGCTCTGAAAATAGCTAAAATCACAGATCCAGGCTATCTCTCCTCACCTTCTCTATCTTCTCATCCAGCATCCTGAAGAACTCTTGCTGGCTCTCTGAAGAACGGATCCTGTGGAGAAAGAAACAAGTCAGTCCCATTTCAACTCTGTTATTTCAGGGGTGGAAGGGGAAAGAACACTGCATTGCGTGTGACACAATGACAACAAAAATAGTTTTGTTGAGCTCACTGTGTCTTCCCATTTGATCCTGCGTCGTCTGTTTGTTGGACCGTGGTGAGCAGGGCAGTCTTCTCCTGAAGCACACACAGGGTTATCACTGATACATGCGTTTTGGCCGATTTTATATCAAGTATGCAAAGTTTGTAATGGAACACATCTCCTTTGAGCTTACCCCACCCTTTATCGGACAATTTTTGTTAAAACGATTTGAAAAAGTGTGTGTCAAAACTGTATGATGAATGAGTCTCTTAACATCACTCTTTCTCACCGTACTGTCCTGGTTGCAGTTGTTTAGTCTGTCCTCTTCTCCATTTATATACTTCACACTTTCCACGCCTTTCTTGTACTCATCTGTAAGAAATAGTGGGGGATATGAGGGATTTGGGTTAAAAAACACATGCGTGCATTTATATTTTTGCCATTGTTAACACTACCAGCAACATCAACTTATTTTTGCTTGTGACGATACATTTTTATTTGATATCTACACGCTTCAGATTGGAGCATGACTGATTAGAGAACCCATTCATGACAGTCCCCATCAATTAGATTGATCAGGAATCGACTGTTCATCCAGATATGAGGAGAGGAGCTGCAGTAATCAGCTGAATAATCAGTAGAATCCAGGTCAATAGTTATTTCAGTCCAATGCTTCACAAAAATAATGACATGCTCAAATTAACAGTTCAAAGAAGATCCTCTTTTCACAATGGTTGGAAAGCAGGACAGCTCCTAAAAAATGTTGGTCCTTTCCACTGTTCCGACCAGCAAAATAAAGTTCTGAACCGGTTCGAACCTCAAAAAAGTAACGGTTTATATCATTCCTTTCTGTTGCTTCTTCTTTTTTTTCTCTTTTTTTTAAAAACATTTAGCTCATTAAGCTGCTGCTACTCTGTTTATCTTATATCCTGATGCCTAGTCACCTTACCCCTATACATACATACCTCCATCACTCCAGTATCCCTGCACATTGTAAATATGGTATTGGGACTGTACAGTGCATTCGGAAATTATTCAGACCCCTTGACTTTTTCCACATTTTCTTACGTTACAGCTTTATTCTAAAATAAAAAAAATGTCCTCATCAATCTACCCACAATACCCCATAATGACAAAGGATTTTGACGGGACATAAGTATTCAGGCCCTTTACTCAGTACTTTGTTGAAGCACCTTCGGCAGCGATTACAGCCTCAAGTCTTTTTTGGTTATGACGCTACAAGCTTGGCACACCTGTATTTGGGGAGTTTCTCCCATTCTTCTCTGCAGATCCTCTCAAGCTCTGTCAGGTTGGATGGGGAGCGTCGCTTCACAGCTATTTTCAGGTCTCTCCAGAGATGTTCGATCGGGTTCAAGTCCGGGGTCTGGCTGGGCCACTCAAGGACATTCAGAGACTTGTCCCGAAGCCACTCCTGCGTTTACTTGGCTGTGTGCTTAGGGTCGTTGTCCTGTTGGAAGGTGAATCTTCGCCCCAGTCTGAGGTCCTGAGCGCTCTGGAGCAGGCTTTCATCAAAGATCTCTCTGTACTTTGCTCCGTTCATCTTTCCCTCAATCCTAACTAGTCTCCCAGTCCCTGCCGCTGAAAAACATCTCCACAGCATGATGCTGCCACCACCATGCTTCACCATAGGGATGGTGCCAGGTTTCCTCCAGACGTGACGCTTGGCATTCAGGCCAAAGAGTTCAATCTTTGTTTCATCAGACCAGAGAATGTTGTTTCTCATGGTCTGAGAGTCCTTTAAGTGTCTTTTGGCAAACTCCAAGCGGGCTGTCATGTGCCTTTTACTGAGGAGTGTCTTCCATCTGGCCACTCTACTATAAAGGCCTGATTGGTGGAGTGCTGCAGAGATGGTTGTCCTTCTGGAAGGTTCTCCCATCTCCACAGAGAAACTCTGGAGCTCTGTCAGAGTGACCATTGGGTTCTTGGCCAAGGCCCTTCTACCCCAATTGCTCTGACCAGGCGGCCAGCTCTAGGAAGAGTCTTGGTGGTTCCAAACTTCTTCCATTTAAGAATGATGGAGGCCACTGTGTTCTTGGGGACCTTCAATGCTGCAGACATTTTGGTACCCTTACCCAGATCTGTGCCCCGACACAATCCTGTCTCGGAGCTCAACGGACAATTCCTTCGACCTTGTGGCTTGGTTTTTGCTCTGACATGCACTGTCAACTGTGGTACCTTATATAGAGAGGTGTGTGCCTTTCCAAATCATGTCCAATCAATTGAATTTACCACAGGTGGACTCCAATCAAGGATGATCAATGGAAACAGGATGCACCTGATCTAAATTTTGAGTCTCATAGCAAAGGGTCTGAATACTTATGTAAATAAGGTATTTCGGTTTTTTATTTGTAATGACTTTGCAAAAGTTTCTAAAAACCTGTTTTCGCTTTGTCATTATGGGGTATTGTGTGTAGATTGATGAGGGGAAAAAAATATTTTATCCATTTTAGAATAAGGCTGTAACGTAACAAAATGTGGAAAAAGGGAAAGGGTCTGAATACTTTCCGAATGCACTGTATATAGTATGCTTATTTACTTATTATGTTCTTAATATTTCTTCTTTCTCGTGTTTCTTTTTATTATTGCAATGTTGGGTTTTGAGTTTGCAAGAAAGGCATTTCACTGTACTTCTGCATGTGACATTAAAACCTGAAACTAAATGACTTCACCAATCAGTGGGGATAGAGCAGGCAAGCTAGTTGTTACATGTGTGATGGACAGACAAGTGTAGCCTATGATGAAAGAAAATGTTGCAGGTGGGGAGAGAGTGAGAGAGGGTTGAGGAGGAGGCGTGAAGCGCTGGGCATCTTGTTATGACATGAATTACCTGAATTAGGCCCACATAATTATACACAGAGGAGCTGCTTCTATGGGGGAACTTTTAATGTACTTTGAGCTAGCTAGCTAGCTAAACACGTCATACCTTTTTGTAGTTAATAAATCCAATGTGAAACGTGATAACTAGGCCTATATTATCCTTAACTAGCATTGAAAAAGTGAATCCATTCTTCTCTAGCTAATAAAGAATCTCTCTCCCTATCTTCTGAATCACGCTTGTAAAGTCAGTACAGTAGCCTATGCTTCGGAGGGGGAAAGGGCAGGTAGCCTAAACATGCACACACACTGGCAAAGATTTTCAGCTTGCAGGCAGACAATGGAATACGTTTCCGAGTGACAGAGTGAGGGCTTTGCATAGGCGCTTTGTTGCAGAAAAAAATGCCTAGAACGTTATTAACCAGTTCCCATGCTTTTAAAATAACGGTTCTGTTCCAGAACAGTATGGATCACTTTCGTTCCCGGTTCCGTTCCTTGAAAATGTTCTTTATTTTCCGTGTTTCTGTTCCCGGAACCAGTTCCAACCCCTGTTAGGAACTCCTCCTGGTTTGAATAATTTACTTGAACTGCTGTTACATTGTAATGACCCAAGCCAAGTGAACCCTATTGGGACTGTGTGGATAGCGTGCTTGGGACCGAATGGTTGAAGGTTTGACTCTCCTCAGACTACTCCCTGAGGTTGCTGCAGCACCAATAGAAACGATTTGGTTAAAGTAGGAGTAGGGTGAAGTTGCTCCTGGACGCTGATCTTGGGTCAGTTTTTCATTTTACCCACTAATGGTTAGGTTATGATTGGGGGAGGGGAAGCTGATCCTAGATCTGTACATAGGCGAAACTTCACCTCGGAGCGGTAAAGCACGTTGGCACAGTATGCTGTCTGTAAATCAGGGGTGTATTCAGTGAGGCGAAACGTTCCTAACGTTGCAGAGAGAATTGTAACAAATGAAACTAACATACAATTCCATATTCTACTGACACGCATATTTGTTTTACAGCATGTTCCGAATATGAATGCATTGTCTAAGCCTCCTGAACGCAACCCAGGTGAATGTGTTTCCAGCACTGACCAGAGAGAACATCCCCATTGCTGTAGGCCTTACTGCGGCCCTCCTCACCACTGGCCACGGCCAACACCTGCTTGGCCGAGGTGCAGCCCATCTCCTCACCCACACACATCACAGGCTGACCTAGGGGGAGAAGGAGACCAAGATATGAATAATTCGTTGATTGGACTTCATATAGCGCTTTTCTAGACACCCAAAGTGCTTCACATACTATAGTAAGGAGGAAGCTCACCTCATCCACCACCAATGTGTAGCACCCACTTGGGTGATGGACGGCAACCAATTTGCACCAGGACGCTCATCACACATCAGCTATCAGTTGGAAAGGTGAGGAGTGACATATGCCTATTAGGAATGAGGGTGATGATTAGGTGCCCATTATGGAAATATGGCCAGGTTGGGAATTTAGCCAGGACACTGGGGTTAACACCCCTACTCTTACGATAACTACCATAGGATTTTTTGCGACCACAGAGAGGCAGGACACCCGTTTAACGTCCCATCCGAAAGACGGCACCAGAGACAGAAGAGGGAGCTGTTTCAATGGAAGTCAATGAACTAAGTAGACCAGACCCAGCTGCTATCGCATGGGTGTCTATGGGAGAGCCACCCCCTTAAGTAGACAGGAACTGACACTTTTTTTCCAATGGTAAACCCCTGAGTTGAACTATCTTCATTTATCCACCATTTTTGACAGCACCCTACGCAGGGCGATGTCCCCATCACTGCCCTGGGGCATTGGGATTTGATCTTTAGACCAGAGAGAAGACTTTCCCCCTACTGGCCCTGTAACACCACCTCAGCGGCATTTGGGACTGACCAGGACCGACCCTGCTTAGCTTCAGAGGCAAACAAAGAGGCGTAATGGGTTCGCACTCAAAAGTATGTCACATAAAGCTTACTTCATTATTCAGTGTTTATTTGTTTTTTTTTTACAGCATCAGGGATAGCGTACACAGACGTTTCGGCTTTACAGCCTTCTTCAGTGTGTAGGTCAAAGGCAAGCCAGAAGTGGGATGCAGGCCTGGGTGGTATGCTGCTGGAAGGGTGGTGGGGAAGAGTATAAATTCCAGATAGAATTGGCCCATATCCACAGATCTGAACATAACCATTAGGAGGATGGGAGAATATCTGACCTTGTGTCAGTGGCTAGGCAATTAACTTGCCTATTAGCAGTCCACGCAAATGAACACTCCACCATGATTAAGTAAACATATACATTACCAGTCAAAAGTTTGGACACACCTACTCATTGAAGGGTTTTTCTTTATATTTAAAATTTTTGACATTGTAGAATACTAGTGAAGACATCAAAACTATGAAATAACACATATGGAATCATGTAGTAACCAAAAAAGTGTTAAACAAATCAGAATATATTTTATATTTGAGATTCTTCAAATAGCCACCCTTTTCCTTGATGACAGCTTTGCACACTCTTGGCATTTTCTCAACCAGCTTCATGAGGTAGTCACCTGGAATGCATTTCAATTAACAGGTGTGCCTTCTTAAAAGTTAATTTGTGGAATTTCTTTCCTTCTTAATGCATTTGAGCCAATCAGTTGTGTTGTGACAAGGTAGGTGTCACGACTTCCTCCGAGGCTGCCTCCTCTCCTTGTTCAGGCAGTCTTCGGCGTTCGTTGTCACAGGCCTTCTAGCCACTAACGCTCCTCATCTCATCATTCCATTTGTTTTGTCTTGTTTATTACACACACCTGGTTCATATCCCCTCATTAGTACCTGTATAAGTGTTCCCTCTGCCCCCTTGTCTTTGTGTGTGATTGTTTACTGTGGAGGAGAGAGAAGCTTGGTGGAGCTCCGTGTATTTTGTATCGCCGGAATATTCCCTGTGTGCCTTGTATTTTCCAGTGCGCCTGTTTTGCGCACTGGAGTGTTTTTACGCATTACTGCGTAACTCTGTCGTTCAGAATAAATCCTGTTATTCTGTGATTTACCCTCTTGCGCCTGACTCCTTAAAAATCACCTCATCACAGTAGGGGGTATACAGAAGTCCATATTATGGCAAGAACAGCTCAAATAAACAGAGAAATGACAGTCCATCATTACTTTAAGACAAGAAGGTCAGTCAATACTGAAAATGTCAAGAACTTTGAAAATTTCTTCAAGTGCAGTTGCAAAAACCATCAAGCGCTATGATGAAACTGGCTCTCATGAGGACTGCCACAGGAATGGAAGACCCAGAGTTACCTCTGCTGCAGAGGATAAGTTCATTAGCGTTACCAGCCTCAGATATTGCAGACCAAATAAATGCTTCACTGAGTTCAAGTAACAGACACATCTCAACATCAACTTTTCAGAGGGTACTGTGTGAATCAGGCCTTCATGGTGGAATTGCTGCAAAGAAACCACAACTAAAGGACACCAATAAGAAGAAGAGACCCGCTTGGGCCAAGAAACACGAGCAATGGACATTTTTGGTTCAAACCGCCGTGTCTTTGTGAGACGCGGTGTGGGTGAACAGATGATCTCCACATGTGTAGTTCCCACCGTAAAGCATGGAGGAGGAGGTGTTATGGTGTGGGGGTGCTTTGCTGGTGACACTGTTTGTGATTTATTTAGAATTCAAGGCACACTTAACCAGCATGGCTACCACAGCATTCTGCAGCGATATGCCATCCCATCTGGTTTGGGCTTAGAGGGACTATCATTTGTTTTTCAACAGGACAATGACCCAACACACCACCAGGCTACGTAAGGGCTATTTTACCAAGAAGGAGAGTGATGGAGTGCTGTATCAGATGACCTGGCCTCCACAATCCCCCGACCTCAACCCAATTGAGATGATTTGGGATGAGTCAGATGGCAGAGTGAAGGATAAGCAGCCAACAAGTGCTCAGCATATGTGGGAACCCCTTCAAGACAGTTGGAAAAGCTTTCCTGGTGAAGCTAGTTGATTGACTATCAAGAGTGTGCAAAGCTGTCATCAAGGCAAAGGATGGCTATTTGTAGAATCTCAAATATAAAATATATTTTGATTTTTTAAACACTTTTTTGGTTACTACATGATTCCATATGTGTTATTTCATAGTTTTGATGTCTTCACTATTATTCTACAGTGTCAAAAATTGTAAAAATAAAGAAAAACCCTTGCATGAGTAGGTGTGTTCAAACTTTTGACTGGTACTGTATATCCAAGAATAACCCACTGGCCAAGGCCTTCACTAAGTCTAAATGAATATATGAAGAGGCCTTGGTTTTGAATTGTCCAATCACAACACACGGTTTAGCGATGCGCAGTCGTGAGCTCCAATCACAACACATGGTGTACCAGCTCCACCTCACACCATGGCCCATTCAACGCGCGGGATAGTCTCCTGCGGGACGGATTGGGCGTTCGTGACCCAATCAATTTACCTGCCAAATCTTGTGAATGGTAGACGAGAGAATATATAAATAATGGCTGGTTGTGTGTGATATTGAGGCATTGTTGTTGATGGTCAAGGGCACAGATACATTTTTTATAACATGAGCCCTCGAATGGAGACGGGTCTGACCTGATTATTGGACAGACGTATTGTTTGTAGTGCATACATGCAATAGGCTATATTAGGAAATCTATATGGTTATGTAGGCTATGCTATCATCAGGCTATTTCAGTGCATCGAGGATGCTATCAATAGAGCTTTATTTATAGGCAGGCTATAGCAACCATTATTATTTTATTTAATAAGCGAGAGCTGAAAAAACGGGACCAAAATGTAATCGAATGTAAATGAATAACTGAAGAAAGCTGAATATCAGCTTTTGAATATAATAACAAAAGAAAATACAATAAGAACACGGTTCCATTGCACAACGATTCCCTATACAAAGAGCCAGCCAACCTCAACACAAACAAAACGACTGGACAAGACGAAATACAAATATCAAATGTTATCGCAAGGGCAAACATGAGCAATTTACCATTTTTTACAGGATCTGTCCATGGTTCTGCCTGTATTGGTTCTTGGGGTTCCGAACAGCTTCAAACGACAGCCGCCGGCATCGGGGACATCTGCATCGCTCAATACACCTTCAGACATTAGCAATCGAGATGCTATCCGTCTGGCGCACTGTCTGGTCCGGTCTGGAGGATAATTTGTGTAAGTGATGGCACAAATTGTTCTTTGGTGAAGATCTTCAGATATTACACAGAACAAAGGAATAACTACAACTATATAAATATATAAATATAATCGAACTGCAAGAGACAAAAAAATTATAATACAACATATTGTCGTTTTTTTTTTGCAACAAATTATGTTGCGTTTGTTATTGTATAATTTACAAAAGATACAGTTATGGCTATTTGTAAGAAAGTTGGTAAGAAAAAAGTATTTGCAGTCGGACCCAATTCCAGGGCGCAACAACAAGGACTTCCGGCCAGCTCACACATCGAGCTTCCCTCCAGTGCGTCAGATTTGACAGCAGAAGCTACGCAGCCAAGTTTATTGGAAGTTTTTGCACAGCCAGCGAACACCTACAACTCAATCTGTGGTGTGAATTTGAGAGGTTTCGATCAAGATGGTTTTGCTGACAATGATCGCTCGGGTAGCAGATGGACTGCCGCTTGCTGCATCGATGCAAGAAGACGAGCAGGTTTGAATGAACAAAATGTGTTTCCTAGTTAACGTTAGCCCTCGATCATGACTCAGTGTCAGTATACTACACGTAAGTCATTGGACGAAGGCGTCTTCTGTATGGGGGTGTTTTTTTAAGAGCCCGGTCGCTCAATCTGAACATTAACACACGTCGTTTGCGGAACGGTTTTGGAAGCATAAGGACCTTGTCTTTCATATCAGCTAGAAATAATAATAATAATAATAATAATAAAAGGTTAAATTGATACACACCTTGATAGGGTTAGTGTTCCCACATGTCCATGGTACAGCACTTGTTTACTGAAAACATACTGAATTAGATAACTAGCTAATTAAAGTTAGCTAGTTATCTAGCATGCTCTGAACACCTGTGTGTAAGTGTGACTCGGGACGTGTAGTGGAAGTGTAGGAAGCTGTATGGATCTCTACTAAACTGCTACAGTAAGTGTATCTTTTTATTTGAATGATTCTTTGTTGCTGATGAAAGATAAGGGCCATATGTTTCGAAAGCAATATTGCAAGCAATGATTATTGACGTTTCTAAACGTTAAAACACAGTGTTGGGATTGTAGTTAACCTGAACCAGTCGTCGGTGAAGCTAATGGCTGAGAACTGTAGTGAGAAGGCAGAATGCTACCTAGAGTTTGAGAGCTATACTATACAGTTTATTTGGAAAGTATTCAGACCCCTTCAGTTTTTCAAAATGTTGTTACATTACAGCCTTATTCTAAAATGGATCCCAATTTTTTCCCCCCTCAATCTACACACAATACCCCATAATGAGGGCTCTCTGAGTTTGGTTTCAGGAAAATAACCTCTCACTCAATGTCAACAAAACAAAGGAGATGATCGTGGACTTCAGGAAACAGCAGAGGGATTACCCCCCTATCCACATCGACGGGACAGCAGTGGAGAAGGTGGAAAGTTTTAAGTTCCTCGGCGTACATATCACTGACAACCTGAAATGGTCCACCCACACAGACAGTGTGGTGAAGAAGGCGCAACAGCGTCTCTTCAACCTCAGGAGGCTGAAGAAATTTGACCTGTCACCTAAAACCCTCACAAACTTTTACACATGCACAATTGAGAGCATCTTGTCGGCTGTATCACCGCCTGGTACGGCAACTGCACCGCCCACAACCGCAGGGCTCTCCAGAGGGTGGTGTTGGCTGCACAACGCATCACCGGGGGCAAACTACCTGCCCTCCAGGACACTTCCAGCACCCGATATCACAGGAAGGCAAAAAAGATAATCAAGGACAACTACCACCCGAGCCACTGCCTGTTCACCTCGCTATCATCCAGAAGGCGAGGTCAGTACAGGTGCATCAAAGCTGGGACCGAGAGACTGAAAAACAGTTTCTATCTCAAGGCCATCAGACTGTTAAACAGCCATCACTAGCACAGAGAGGCTGCTGCCTACATACAGACTTGAAAATCACTGGCCACTTTTTAATAAATGGAACACTAGTCACTTTAATAATGCCACTTTAAAAATGTTTACATATCTTGCATTACCCATTTCATATGTATATACTGTATTCTATACTATCTATTGCATCTTAGACTATGCCGCTCTGACGATGACATTGCTCATCCATATATTTATATATTCTTATTCCATTCCTTTACTTAGATTTGTGTGTATTAGGTATTTGTTGTGGAGCTGTTAGATATTACTTGCTAGATATTGCTGCACTGTCAGAACTAGAAGCACAAGCATTTCACTACACTCGCAATAACATCCGCTAACCATGTGTATGTGATCAATAAATGTGATTTGATTTTGACAAAGCAGAATGTTTTTTTTATTGCAAATGTATTAAAATTAAAAATCACTTATTTACATAAGTATACCCTCAGAGCACAAACCAAGCCATGAAGTCGACGTAATTGTCCGTAGAGCTCCGATACAGGATTGTGTCGAGGCACAGATCTGGGGAAGGGTACCAAAAAATGTCTGCAGCATTGAAGATCCCCAAGAACAGTGGCCTCATCATTCTTAAATGGAAGAAGTTTGGAACCACCAAGACTCTTCCTGGAGCTGGTCGCCCGGCCAAACTGAGCAATCGGGGGAGAAGGGCCTTGGTCAGGGAAGTGACCAAGAACCCAATGGTCACTCTGACAGAGCTCCAGAGTTCCTCTGTGGCGATGGGAGAACCTTCCAAAAGGAAACCATCTCTGCAGCACTCCACCAATCAGGCCTTTATGGTAGAGTGGCCAGACGGAAGGAAGCCACTCCTCCGTTAAAGGCACATGACAGCCCGCTTGGAGTTTGCCAAAAGGCACCTAAAGAACTCTCAGACCATGAGAAACAAGATTCTCTGGTCTGATGAAATGATGAAACCAAGATTGAACTCTTTGGCCTGAATGCCAAGCATCATGTCCAGAGGAAACCAGGTACCGCTCATCACCTGGCCAATACCATCCCTACGGTGAAGCATGGTGGAGGCAGCATCATGCTGTGGGGATGTTTTTCAGCGGCAGGGACTGGAACACCAGTCAGGATCGAGGGAAAGATGAACAGAGAAAAGTACAGAGAGATCCTTGATGAGAACCTGCTCCAGAGAGCTCAGGTCCTCAGACTGGGGCGAAGGTTCACCTTCCAACAGGACAACGACCCTAAGCACACAGCCAAGACAACACAGGAGTGGCAATCAATTTTAGAATAAGGCTGTAAGGTAACGAAAAGGTGAAGGGGTCTGAATACTTTCTGAATGCACTGTACATACACAAGTATGTGGACACCCCTTCAAATGAGTGGATTCGGTTATTTCAGACACATCCGTTGCTGACAGGTGTAAAATCGAGCACACAGCCATGCATTCTCCATAGACAAACATTGGCAGTAGAATGGCCTTACTGAAGAGCTCCATGACTTTCAACGTGGCACAGTCATAGGATGCCACATTTCCAACAAGTCAGTTAGTGAAATTTCTGCCCTGCTAGAGCTGCCCCGGTCAATTGTAAGTGCTGTTATTGTGAAGTGGAAATGTCTAGGAGCGACAACGGCTCAGCCACGAAGTGGTAAGCCACACAAGCTCACAGAACGGGACCGGTGAGTGCTGAAGCTCGTAGCGCATACAAACCATCTGTCGTCGTTTGCAACACTCTCTACAGAGTTCCAATCTGCCTCTGGAAGCAACGTCAGTACAAGAACTGTTCGTCGGGAACTTCATAAAATGGGTTTCCATGGCCGAGCAGCCGCACACAAGCCTAAGATCACAATACGCAATGCCAAGCGTCGGCTGGAGTGGTGTAAAGCTCGCCACCATTGGACTCTGGAGCAGGGGGAAACGCATTCTCTGGAGTGATGATTCATGCTTCACCATCTGGCAGTCCGACAGGACGAATCTGGTTTTGGTGGATGCCAGGAGAACACTACCTGCCCCAATGCATAGCGCCAACTGTAAAGTTTGGAGGAGGAATAATGGTCTGGGGCTGTTTTTCATGGTTCGGGCTAGGCCCCTTAGTTCCAGTGAAGGGAAATCTTAATGCTACAGCATAAAATGACATTCTAGACAATTCTGTGCTCCCAATTTTGTGTCAACAGTTTGGGGAAGGCCTTTTCCTGTTTCAGCATGACAATGCCCCCATGCACAAAGCGAGGTCCATACAGAAATGGTTTGTCTATCGGTGCGGAAGAACTTCACTGGCCTGTACAGAGCCCTGACCTCAACCCCATCTAACACCTTTGGGATGAATTGGAACGCCGACTGCGAGATAGGCCTATTCGCCCAACATCAGTGCCCGACCTCACTAATGCTCTTGTGGCTGAATGGAAGCAAGTCCCCGCAGCAATGTTCCAACATCTAGTGGAAACCCTTCCCAGAAGAGTGGCGGCTGTTATAGCAGCAAAGGGGGGAACAACTCCATATTAATGCCCATGATTTTGGAATGAGGTGTTCGACAAGCAGGTGTCCACATACTTTTGGTCATGTGGTGTATTTTAGTAGGCTATACGTAAAGATCAGATTAAATTGAGAATAGTCTGAGAATATTATCAAGTTGTTGTCAAATTGTGAATTAGAGACCTGAAGTGTGTGCAGATGTTCGACGAGCAGGTGTCCACATACCTTTGGTCATGTAGCATACTTCCTAGCTAACTAACTTAATCATGTTTGTCAAGTTAGCAAGGCTGTTACATCATTCTGCTGAATACTACTAGCTAACATTTATATTTACCATTTGCATTCTATCAGATAAAGTGTTACTGTTTGTTATAACTGCAAAAATGTGTGATTTTTATACCCTTTTTATCTCGGCTATGTTTAGTCAGGAAGAGACTTGCAACACTACCAGAGCCAGGCTAAGCAGCTGTGTCGTAAACTCAATGCCCAGAGCCCCAACAGATGTACCCTGGAGGCTGGGGTCATGTCCTTCCAGTAAGTATTGTTAGAAGTGGATTTTCTTAATATATTACGTTTTGTATATCTTTTACATTGATCTGAAATAATATCAGTCCCTACTGCATCCAGAGTGATATTGTTGCGGAAGGTTACTACACTGATCAAAAAATATAAACGCAACATGTAAAGTGTTGGTTTCATGAGCTGAAATAAAAAAATCCCGCACAAAAAGCTTATTTTTCTCAAATTTTGTGCACAAATTTGTTTACATCCCAGTTAGTGATCATTTCTCCTTCGCCAAGATAATCCATCCACCTGACAGGTGTGGCATATGAAGAAGCTGATTAAACAGCATGATCATTATACAGTGTGCTGGGGACAATAAAAGGCCACTTGAAAATGTGCAGTTTTGTCACACAACACAATGCCACAGATGTCTCAAGTTTTGAGGGTGCGTGCAATTGGCATGCTGACTGCAGGAATGTCCACCAGAGCTGTTGCCAGATAATTGAATGTTCATTTCTCTACCATAAACTGCCTCTAACGTTGTTTTGGAGAATTTGGCAGTACGTCCAACCGGCTTCACAACCGCAGACCACGCACGCGTAACCACGCCAGCCCAGGACCTCCTCCACATCCGGCTTCTTCACCTGCGGGATCGTCTGAGGGGGGTTGCTGAGGAGTATTTCTGTCTGTAATAAAGCCCTTTTGTTGAGAAAAATATATTCTGATTGGCTGGACCTGGCTCCCCAGTGGATGGGCCTGGCTGCCAAGTGGGTGGGCCTATGCCCTCCCAGGCACACCCATGGCTGTGCCCCTGCCCAGTCATGTGAAATCCATAGATTAGGGCCTAATGAATTTATTTCAATTGACTGATTTCCTTATATGAGCTGTAACTCCAGTAAAATCTTTGAAATGGTTGTTTATATTTTTGTTCAGTATAATAAGCTAATGAAGATGAATTTCTCTTTCACACTCACAACCAATTGTATCAAGGTTGGATGGACTAGACACACACACACACACTCTACAGGCTCACCTAGGCTGAACATGCAAAATGGTGCTTATTAATTGAGTAACTATTGATTGTAACCCATGATAACTAACCAACTAATAACCGGGCTGATGAGGCCTTAAGAACACATCCTTGTTTAAACATTAATAACCAGCATAATACTAAAAACACTAACACTTAGTAACAAAGCAACACGTGTGCTGACATTTTCCAGACATGATTAATCTTCTATGTACAAATGTCATTAATATTTTGCAAACGGCCTACCCACCGTTCTATATTTACCAATCAAGTAGCGGTCTTGTGTGACAATCAAAGGAGGAACTCTCTAGGACCTCCTCCTGAATCTGTGTTTATAATACTGTCGTCATCATCATTGTGTATTTTTGTGGTGTTAAAGAAGTTAGGGATGTTCCGATTGTGACCTCGCCCTTCTTTTAGTATGCACTCTGCAGTTTGTCTGCTGTGTCATTCAGGGCCCAGAGTTTTTCGTTTGTAAACTAGGCAAGACTGGTAACGTGGTAAGGACTAACTCTGGAGACTTGCCCTTTTTACGATAACTCCCTAGACTGTCACTGGACGGATGATGTGGGTCCGTGTGAAAATCTCAATCAAGCTTCACTTTAACTCTGTTACTTTCCACTAACATACTAATGTCTGTCTCCCCAGCTATGTAATAGAACCTGGCGTGTGCTACTTGTCTGTCTCCCCAGCTATGTAATAGAACATGGCGTGTCCTACTTGTCTGTCTCCCCAGCTATGTAATAGAACATGGCGTGTGCTACTTGTCTCCCCAGCTATGTAATAGAACCTGGTGTGTGCTACTTGTCTGTCTCCCCAGCTATGTAATAGAACATGGCGTTTCCTACTTGTCTATCTCCCCAGCTGTGTAATAGAACCTGGTGTGTGCTACTTGTCTGTCTCCCCAGCTGTGTAATAGAACATGGCGTGTGCTACTTGTCTGACTCCCCAGCTATGTAATAGAACCTGGTGTGTCCTACTTGTGTCTCCCCAGCTATGTAATAGAACATGGCGTGTCCTACTTGTCTGTCTCCCCAGCTATGTAATAGAACCTGGTGTGTCCTACTTGTGTCTCCCCAGCTATGTAATAGAACATGGCGTGTCCTACTTGTCTGTCTCCCCAGCTATGTAATAGAACATGGCGTGTCCTACTTGTCTGTCTCCCCAGCTATGTAATAGAACATGGCGTGTCCTACTTGTCTGTCTCCCCAGCTATGTAATAGAACATGGCGTGTCCTACTTGTCTGTCTCCCCAGCTATGTAATAGAACATGGCGTGTCCTACTTGTCTGTCTCCCCAGCTATGTAATAGAACATGGCGTGTACTACTTGTCTGTCTCCCCAGCTATGTAGTAGAACATGGTGTGTCCTACTTGTCTGTCTCCCCAGCTATGTAATAGAACAGGGCGTGTCCTACTTGTCTGTTTCCCCAGCTATGTAATAGAACATGGCATGTGCTATTTGTCTGTCTCCCCAGCTATGTAATAGAACATGGCGTGTGCTACTTGGCCTTGTGTGAAGCTGTGTTTCCCAAGAAGCTGGTCTTTGGGTACCTGGAAGACCTCCAGACAGAATTCCATGAGCAGCATGGAAAGAAAGTTCCCACAGTCTCCAGGCCGTACTCTTTCATTGAGTTTGGTGAGAGGTTTTCTTTTTTCACCCATAATCGTCCCATTAAGACATCCCAGGCAAACAAAAATAATTTGAGAAGCAAGGGGTGCATCATAATTCCTTTCCTTAATCCACACTGATGTAAATACCAACAACTAACAGTTAAAGTCTGGCAAAAGCAAATTCCTCGCTATATTGCGTTCCCCCATCCCATGTTTTTCAATGTGCCGTTGAGCAAGGTAACTAACCCTAATTGCTCCTGTAAATTGCTCTGGATAAGAGCGTCTGCTAAATGACTTAATGGAATTGAGATGCACCATAAACCAACACTTAGTGTGTAATTACATGTCATCCTTCCCTCTGTCCTCAGACACGTACATCCAGAAGACAAAAAAAAACTACATTGACAGCAGGGCACGGAGGAACCTGGGCAGCATCAACACAGAACTGCAGGACGTCCAGCGGATCATGGTGGCAAACATTGAAGAGGTCCTGCAACGAGGAGAGGCCCTATCGGGTAATTATAATAATCATACCTCGTACAGTACACAGCCCTGGCATCAGACCTGCCATACAGACATAAAATACACATAAATAATTTAAAAGGGATAGTTCACCCCAAAATCAAAGTTTGTCAGATGATTTCATACATAACGTTATCTAAAATGGAGCTGGGTCCATATTCCGTGACATCAGTTGAACCACAATATATATTAAAGGGCAACCACCACATTTATACATCAGTTATCTCCAGCACAATAACAGTTTCAGCATGTGAAAAGTGCACATTTCTAAGTTTTGTAGAAAAAATGTTTAGTTAAAGTTCTACCCGATGACATCATCAGAAGTTAAAACAGTGATTTTCCAAACACTGAGATTCGCAGTTACGTGGTGAGCAAGAAAATACGCTACCTTGTATTTGAAACTTGTTGCACATTTAGAAAATCAGTTATTTACTTTTAATCCTACTCTGATGTCACAGAGAAGCATTTTTTTTAGGACCTTATCTTTTTAACCACATAATAGAACCGTGCTGTTTTCACACATGTATACACAGGTTTTGAGCAGGAGATGGTGGTTGAAAAGTAGCAGAATTGCCCTTTTTCCATCTTTCCCATTAATTTACGATTGAAGCATGCATACATACACGGTTAGATATAATGCAGCTATTGGTTACATTACGGTCCTAAATATTCATCTCTCATTTTTTCCCTCCAGCTCTCGACACCAAAGCCAGCAATCTGTCCAGCCTTTCAAAGAAGTACCGCAGCGATGCCAAGTACCTCAACACCCGATCCACCTATGCCAAGATAGCAGCTGGGGCAGTCTTCTTCATTACACTTATCGTCTATGTGCGTTTCTGGTGGATCTGATGCGTAAGGACTGTGAAAGAGGAGATGGTCTGGGTTCCCTTTGTAACCAAATATTAAAACTGTCAATTATAATACATTTATGGTTTCTGTTAACAGCTGTAACCAAATATTAAAACTGTCACTTAGTTATAATATATTAATGGATTCTGTTAACAGCAAAGTTCCTACATGGGTGCGACCTTGTACATGGGTGGGACCTTGTACATGGGTGGGACCTTGTACATGGGTGCCTTAGGGGAGGGTGGGATTTAGTCTGTGTATTGCATGAGTGGATGGACTTGTGCCTGTTTCAGCTGCGTGTCATGTCGCATACCTGTATGGATGCATACTGACCTGTGGTTGCTAATGTGAGCGTAGTGGAGCTTTCTGTGCATCCATAGTGTTGGTATAATCCGATTTGCTGGAGTATAAAAGGCATTGAAAATGCATTATCCATGTTTACATTACGAGGTGGGGGTCCTTTACGATGTCTCAGAAGGAAAATTCTATATGCAAATTGACTAAAGTGTGAAAGGACTCGTTACCGTGAGTTTGTTTACAAAACATACATAACTGTAAGTAATTATTTGTTGAAAAGTATATTTACCATCTTCTCAATGTTTATTTGATTATTTATTTTTAAACACCATGTTGAAATGAGAGAAAACACTCCAAAAAAATTGTCCCACACACTTGCACGGTCAAAATACACACACACACACATACACATGCTCATACTTGAAATGCACACACAAGCATGCAAGCCACTTCAATGACCCCGTCGGTCAATAGGTCTATACCACAAGATCAAAGTCATCCCTCTGAGAAAAAAAAAGACAACAAGACGATCAGAATCCCCATTTGTACAACACTATTTACCATCATAGACTAGACCATCTTCAACCAAACATATGCCCATAACTTTTGAGCTCTCAAACATAGTCAAGATGAGTGACAAAGTGCAGTTTATGTTTGATAGTAGTCTCACCTCATCATTGTAGGTCATGACATGCAGTTTGATCTTTGAAGAGTCAACCCAGGTTACAAAGTCTTCCATATTTCTGATGAAATAAATAATTTAGGATTTGGGGACAGAGCAGCTGGTTTGAACACTGACAAGATGTTAGAAAGAAAGAAAAAAAGTAATCAGACAAAATCAAAACCCAACACTCACCTCGTGACAAGGAAAGCTGGGTCTGTTACAATCTCTGGTCCCACATATACATCTAAGGTACAGTCAAGACCACAAAGCACTAAATACTGTAGATAATCACAGAAGCACAATCTAATTGAGGTGATGGCTGTCATCAGGTTCTGAGCCATTTGTAAGCTAATCATTATGGTGGGCAAGATAGGCTGGAGGCATTATCATCAAGGGGAGGCACTAACATCTAGGGGAGGCATTATCATCAAGGGGAGGCATTATCATCAAGGGGAGGCACTAACATCTAGGGGAGGCATTATCATCAAGGGGAGGCACTAACATCTAGGGGAGGCATTATCATCTAGGGGAGGCATTATCATCTAGGGGAGGCACTAACATCTAGGGGAGGCACTAACATCTAGGGGAGGCATTATCATCTAGGGGAGGCACTAACATCTAGGGGAGGCATTATCATCTAGGGGAGGCATTATCATCTAGGGGAGGCACTAACATCTAGGGGAGGCATTATCATCAAGGGGAGGCATTATCATCTAGGGGAGGCATTATCATCAAGGGGAGGCATTATCATCTAGGGGAGGCATTATCATCTAGGGGAGGCACTATCATCTAGGGGAGGCATTATCATCTAGGGGAGGCACTAACATCTAGGGGAGGCATTATCATCTAGGGGAGGCATTATCATCTAGGGGAGGCACTAACATCTAGGGGAGGCATTATCATCTAGGGGAGGCATTATCGTCTAGGGGAGGCATTATCATCTAGGGGAGGCACTAACATCTAGGGGAGGCATTATCATCTAGGGGAGGCACTATCATCTAGGGGAGGCATTATCATCTAGGGGAGGCATTATCATCTAGGGGAGGCACTAACATTTAGGGGCGGCATTATCATCTAGGGGAGGCATTATCATCTAGGGGAGGCACTAACATCTAGGGGAGGCATTATCATCTAGGGGAGGCATTATCATCTAGGGGAGGCATTATCATCTAGGGGAGGCATTATCATCTAGGGGAGGCGGGTAGCCTAGCAGTTAGAGAGGCGAGCTAGCAACTGGAGGGTTTCCAGTTCCGAATCCTGGGTCTGATGGGAAAATCTGGCGGGAAGTGAGCTGTCACTGCTATCAAATCCTAGATGCCCTTGAGCAAGGCACTTAACCCCCCATCCCCCACCCCCACCCCCACAACAACAACTGTTTCAGGGGTGCCCAATGTGGCAGCCACCTGCTCCAACCTGTATAAGAATGCGTGTCTTTTGGAAGGGTTGGGATAAAGCAGAAATCAAATTTCAGTTGGACCTTGTGTACAATTGACGAATAAAGTGATATTTATCTACTTTTACTTATACTAATGTTATTGAGAGATGGAATGGGTTTATTCACCTGCAGAATGAAGAGGCTTTGACTTTCTCTGTGAGAGCCAAGTTCTGTTTGGTAGGGATCAGCCCAGTGCCGTACCTTTAAGACGAGATGGAAATGTTAGACACCATCATCACTCTGTAGTAAATCTGTTACCCACACTTCATTTTAGATGACAGTTTCCTATGGGCACAAGGGACCCGAGTTTGAATTCAGCAGGTCACAGTGATACTCACAGTTTCTCAAGCAGTTGACCTGTGCTGTGAGCTCTGAAGCCATCCTTCTCGTCCAGATCACAGATCTTCTGAGCTCTCTGATGTTACGGCTCAGCTTATTGTACCTGTGGAGATGGTAGACTGCAGGTAATGGGACTATGCTTTCCATTGCATGTACAGCATAGTCACACATTTTTATATAGAAAAAAACCCTAAACATCCCTTGTCTGTCACGAATGTTGAATAAAATTTTATTTGAACTTATTCTGCCAATTATCCGTGGGGTTGGTTCTTATTCGGGTATAATTTATTTTATTTGTTATTTTTTGTAAATGGCTTTTTACCTTTTTTCCTCCCCAATTTCGTAATATCCAGTTGGTAGTTACAGTCTGGTCCCATCGCTGCAACTCCCCTACGGACTCGGGAGAGGCGAAGGTCGAGAGCCGTGCATCCTCCGAAACACGACCCTGCCAAGTCGCACTGCTTCTTGACACACTGCTCGCTTAACCCGGAAGCCAGACGCACCAATGTGTCAGAGGAAACACCGTACAACTGGCGACGGTGTCAGCGTGCATGCGCCTGGCCCGCCACCGGAGTCACTTGAGCACGATGGGACAAGGACATCCCCCGGCCGGCCAAACCCTCCCTTAACCCGGACGACTCTGGGCCAATTGTACGCTGCCTCATAAGTCTCCCGGTCCCAGCCGGCTGCAACACAGCCCAGGATTGAACCCGGGTCTGTAGTGACGCCTCAGGCACTGCGATGCATTCGGGTCGAAATTTGAGACAAAATATCAACAGGAAAGTATTATTATAAACAAACCGACTAAAACGCAGGTCTCTCTGTCTGGCAATCAAGATATGTTTGCTCATCACCTAAGGCAGTGTTTCCCAGCTCTTCAACTCTTGTTGCCCTGGGGAAACTTACCTGATTCAACTCATTGAGGGCTTGATGATTAGTTTACAACTTGAATCCGTGTGCTTGTCCGGGGTGACAACAATATTGTGTGCTGTTGGTGGTACTCAAGGACTGGAGTTGGGAAAAACTGACCTAAGGCACATGCACAAGACAGGAGTACATACACCCGATGCATGCATACTAATTCAAGTCGTGCAGGTGTTTACATGGTTTTGTGCATGTGGCAGCTGATAGAAATCTCAAATGGCAGTACCGGTGCTCTAAAAAGTCAGGTAAATAATACTTTCCTGTGGATATTTTATCTCAAATTTTGACCATCTGAAAGACCAACAGCACAGACAACCGGTAGACTAAGTTCAAATTTAATTTTATTAAACATTCTGGTTTGTAAGGAAACGTTCCAAGATTTTGCAGTGCTTAGTTTCAGGCTGTGTAAACAGAAAGTTGGTATCACAGTCTAGTAAATTAAGGTTACGTATGTAACCACTTTTATGTGAGCTATATGGATCCCATCAATATATTGGTATCACTCCGCGGTGGAGGGATACATCCAAGGTGAGGATTTACAGATTTACTCCTGTACACCTGTGTCACGGCTGGGGTCCGCCCCTATATATAGACCCCATAGACCACACGTTCTCTACATCATTTTTGAGGCGCATCTAGCACCGTAGAGGATTGGAGTGATCCATATAGCTCACATAACCGTGGTTACATACATAACCTTCGTTATGTTTCACTATATTGGATCATACCCGTACCTGATTTAGTCGGTGCTAGAGGGACCTGGCCAGCCAGCGGCGAAGTCCCAGCGCGGAACCGAGACGCAGGGGCCGTCAATGTGGAATGGGGGTCCCGGCACAGTCCCCGGAAGGGGAGGCGACACCCAGGACAGCTGAACCAACCACAGAGGGAGGTGCCACATTTACCCGATAGTACCTAGTAAAGGTACAAGAGGAAGCCCAGCTGGTCGCGGCACAGATATCACCTCGTGTTAAATGTGCCACCACAGATCCCAGCATTGGCCTGCCAGCCAGGCGGTATGCTGTCGTAATCGTGTCCATGATCCAGTGAAACAAAGAGCTGGTCTGTTGTTCTCACTGACCGTGTCCGCTCCACATAGTCAGCCAGTGCCCGCACAGGGCACAGCATGCCGGAGGGAGGCCCAGACTCCCCCGCCACTGCCGGGGGGTCGTAAGCAGACAGGATAAAAGGGATGTTCACATGCCTGTCTGACAGAACCTTCGGGAGGAATGAAGGGTTGGGGCAGAGAGATATACCATCCGGTAGCACTCAGAACTTACCGAAAAGCATGGAGCTCACCCACCCTCTTCATGGAAGTAATCGCCACCAAGAAAACCACCTTCATAGAGAGGTGTTTCAGGGAGGCAGACTCCAATGGTTCGAAAGGCGGCTTTGCTAAAGCTGCCAAGACCACATCCAGATCCCAGCTCGCCATTGAGCGGGTCCTAGCTGGAATCAGGCGACAAACCCCCTTCATAAACCTGGAGACCAAGGGATGGCGCCCCACTGGCCTGTCCATCCACCCCACATGGCAGGCAGATATAGCGGCCAAATACCCTCTCAGTGTAGAGGCTGCCAAGCCCTCATCCAAGCGAGACTGCAGGTATTGGAGGACATACTGCACCCCGCATGACTCGGGCACAACCTCAATACCAGTGCACCAAGAGCAGAACAACCGCCAGCACAACTGGTATGCCGCGGTTGTAGCCGGTGCCTGTAGTCCTAACATGGACCATTGGTGCCGTTCAGTGGCCAAGCCCACAGACTGAGGCGGTGCGGTCTCGCATGCCACAGAGTTCCCCCGGCCTGAGACAGCAGGTCGGGTCTCAGGGGCAGTTGCCAAGGTGTCAATCGTGAGCCAGAGCATCCAAGCCCAGAGGCCCTGGTGGCTCCAACATGGAGTACCACAGGGGGCAGTGTGCATTGCCCAGAGAGGTAAACAGGTCCACCTGCGCCCTCCCAAATGTTGATGATGTTATGTGCGGATAAGTGATTATTAGAGAGTGGGTAAAAGTGAAATAATATATGAGTGCTGGCTTGTGCGCCCAAACACGTAGACGTACGTGGGGGGTGGGAGACAGTACATAGAGCGTGTGGTAGAAAATGTTAAGCAGTATAATAACTATCTATCATTTCGGGAGCAGAGGTGATATAGTAAAGGAATTGTAGTAAATTAGGGGGGAAAAGCATAATCCATTTGATTAAATTCGTTAGATCTGTTACCAAATTAATGAATGTAGAGTTGACTCGTTGACTGCTAAATTATAAGTATGGTATGTGCAAGAAATAAGAACTACAGACCATTTTAATTAGGATAAAGGAGGATTTATTTGTCATTCCAATAAAGCATAGTCCTGCATTACTGACTAAAAACTAGGTGTTCTGGTTATTTACATTTTAGCAGAAGCTCTTATCCAGAGCGACTTACAGTTAGTGAGTGCATACATAATTTTTTCATTTTTCATGGGAATCGAACCCACAACCCTGGCGTTGCAAATGCCATGCTCTACCAACTGAGCTACATCCCTGCCGGCCATTCCCTGTAATTTGGAATATTGAATTGAACATGGGTGTGAATTAAATGTATGCTTGCAAGTATTTGTTTTATTAATTAGAGCGTAATCAGAAAGGACAGTCACATAAATTGAATAGTGGACTGGCAATTGCGATAGAGCTGGGGCCAGGATTTGAATTGATAACAAAGGAAAGTAATTTAGTAGGGAAGTTAGAATTGCAACGGTGAATTGTATGGGTAGACAGAGGAAAGTAATGTATTTTAATAATATGAATGCAAATATACTATTAGTTATTGGTGGTTTGGGAATAGACTTTACTAATGCCATGTTTTAGTTCGCGGGTAAAAGAGAGACAGACTAGCGAGTACGAATCGAGCTGTAAAGGAGATTAATAATAGAAATCTAGATAGGAGAATTTAGGATAGGGATTAGCAGTCCAGATATAAACAAGGAAAAGGGAGAGTTGAAAGCCAAGGTTTGTGAATAAATGCCGAGACGAAGATTAGAAAGAGAACCACGGGAAAACAGATACAAAAGTTCAGATACGGGGAAAATAGAGTACGTTAGTACAATGGGAGGGTTTTAGAAAAGTAGAGTAACGAGGATATTGATCGGGGAAAGTAGGGTGTGGTCTAGTGACCTAGAACCAATAGGGTGCTGGGAAAATACCTAGAGACAGGAAAAGTCTCTAGGGCTATTTTATAGGTTTGGGATAAGATAAGGGAACAAAGGAAAATAAGAGTATAGTTCGGAAGCACAGGGGAGCGAGTGTCTTATTTTAATGGGAGATGAGACAAGGGAACAAAGGATAAGAAGAATATTAAAAGAAAGGCAAGGGATAACATTTCATTTTTTGGAAAGAAGAAGAAGAGAGAGAGAGAGAGAGAAAGAGAGAGAAATCTTGAAAATATTCTGTGAGGAAGGAAAGAGTTGGAGGGACAGCATAGCAAAGGCTAGAAGGATAATGATGGAGAGGGAGAGTGAACCAAAAAAGGCTGGCTTAACTACACCACCACCATACACAGAAGGGGGGCAGTATTCTCAGGTCACATGTCTAGTCTCAATAACAGGGAATGTAGAGATAGAAGAGGTAAAAAAGGAAGCAGCAGGTTTCCACACCAGGAAGAGGAGAACAATCACATTTAGATATAGACTATTATGGAGGACTGAGGGGCATGTTAGCGGAACTGGAAAATTATGGGATAGATGAACAAGAGTATGCTGGGCAAAGAGATGGGGGGAATACAAGTGATGAGGAAGGTGAAGAACTTAGACAGTATGCTAACTCTGATTAAGGACAGACTGAGACAGAAGGACTAACATCAGAATCACGTCAGAAATACAGGAGGGATTAATGGAAATTGGCCAAGCAGTGGAGAGAGATTATGAGAAAACTGGGACAGTTGCAGCTGGAAGAACTGACAAGAAAGAACAAAAATTAAAACACAAGCTACACCTGTTCTCCAAGGAGGTCAACAGATAACGCCTCAGCAGCAAGACCAAAGAGCTCCTGCCTTACAACTATCCCCTGGAGAGTGGCAAAACAAGAATAATGAAAAGAGACCCAAGAATCAATAGTACCAACCACAGCATCAGACACACCAGAGTGGTGGACCAAGAAGACCAGGTGTCTGCTGGAGGTGCAATCAATCAGGACATATGAGAAGGGATTATCCTACCAAGCCGTGGTGGCCTAGGCAACCACAACAGGGTAATTGGCAAAGAAATGGCACCAGCTAAGATGAATGGCAGCAGTCTTAGAACTCATGGGAAGGACCACATCAGGGTAGCTAAAGGAGCATTTATTTTGGACTAGGGGACAGGACTAACTTTTTGTAGGTTCTGGATTGATTGTACAACAATTTATATTTTTACTAAAATCAATGCAGCAGGTTGAAATGATTAGAATACTGGAAAGTGGTTATGGGTTTTATGTTATAGGTGTATATTCTACTTAATGGAACAGGATGATGTCTGATGTGTCTTGATTGGGAGTCTTTTTTCTGGGATTGATGGAAATCCCCTACAGGAATCCCCTACAGTATGAATGATGAGGGAGATGTAGAAGACACACATCTCAAACAACATTTTAATAGAAACTTGGGATCAAATATCACTGATTCCTTACACTGAGAAATTGACTATATTGGTGACAGGGAAAAGTATTAAATTCAGTGGAGTTAAAGAATCCTTCCGAGGGTCAAAGATAATGGATTCTGAAAGGTGAAATGTAAATTGACAGTATGTACAGAGAAGGAAAAAAGTATTTGATCCCCTGCTGATTTTGTACGTTTGCCCATTGACAAAGACATGATCAGTCTATAATTTTAATGATAGGTTTATTTGAACAGTGAGAGACAGAATAGCAACAAAAAAATCCAGAAAAATGCATGTCAAAAATGTTATAAATTGATTTGCATTTTAATGAGGGAAATAAGTATTTGACCCCTCTGCAAAACATTACTTAGTACTTGGTGGCAAAACCCTTGTTGGCAATCACAGAGGTCAGACGTTTCTTGTAGTTGGCCACCAGGTTTGCACACATCTCAGGAGGGATTTTGTCCCACTCCTCTTTGCAGATCTTCTCCAAGTCATAAAGGTTTCGAGACTGACGTTTGGCAACTCGAACCTTCAGCTCCCTCCACAGATTTTCTATGGGATTAAGGTCTGGAGACTGGCTAGGCCACTCCAGGACCTTAATGTGCTTCTTCTTGAGCCACTCCTTTGTTGCCTTGGCCGTGTGTTTTGGGTCATTGTCATGCTGGAATACCCATCTACGACCCATTTTCAATGCCCTGGCTGAGGGAAGCAGGTTCTCACCCAAGATTTGACGGTACATGGCCCCGTCCATCGTCCCTTTGATGCGGTGAAGTTGTCCTGTCCCCTTAGCAGAAAAACACCCCCAAAGCATGATGTTTCCACCTCCATGTTTGACGGTGGGGATGGTGTTCTTGGGGTCATAGGCAGCATTCCTCCTCCTCCAAACACAGCGAGTTGAGTTGATGCCAAAGAGCTTGATATTGGTCTCATCTGACCACAACACTTTCACCCAGTTCTCCTCTGAATCATTCAGATGTTCATTGGCAAACTTCAGACGGGCCTGTATATGTGCTTTCTTGAGCAGGGGGACCTTGCGGGCGCTGCACGATTTCAGTCCTTCACGGCATAGTGTGTTACCAATTGTTTTCTTGGTGACTATGGTCCCAACTGCCTTGAGATCATTGACAAGATCCTCCCGTGTAGTTCTGGGCTGATTCCTCACCGTTCTCATGATCATTGCAACTCCACGAGGTGAGATCTTGCATGGAGCCCCAGGCCGAAGGAGATTGACTGGTCTTTTGTGTTTCTTCCATTTGTGAATAATCGCACCAACTGTTGTCACCTTCTCACCAAGCTGCTTGGCGATGGTCTTGTAGCCCATTCCAGCCTTGTGTATGTCTACAATCTTGTCCCTGACATCCTTGGAGAGCTCTTTGGTCTTGGCCATGGTGGAGAGTTTGGAATCTGATTGATTGATTGCTTCTGTGGACAGGTGTCTTTTATACAGGTAACAAGCTGAGATTAGGAGCACTCCCTTTAAGAGTGTGCTCCTAATCTCAGCTCGTTACCTGTATAAAAGACACCTGGGAGCCAGAAATACTTATTTCCCTCATTAAAATGCAAATCAATTTATAACATTTTTTACATGCGTTTTTCTTGATTTTTTTGTCGTTATTCTGTCTCTCACTGTTCAAATAAACCTACCATTAAAATTATAGACTGATCATTTCTTTGTCAGTGGGCAAACGTACAAAATCAGCAGGGGATCAAATACTTTTTTCCCTCACTGTATGTTAGAGCTATACCAAATGCAGAATTAAGGGAATGGAAGGAGCAGTTAAACAATGATTGGTATAGATGAGTACAATGTATTACATTAAAATTAAATAAGGAAAATAGTCTAATATGCACCACATCTCCGTTTAAAGAATTAACAGTAGTTCAAAATATTTACAGTTACCAGGACTGTGCTATGATTCAATCACAACTTTTGGCATATTTAGGAAACCCTAAATATAAACAATTTTATAATCACCCAGGATGGGGAGAGAAGGGTAAGCAATTAGTTGTTAGAATAGGAACAAGGAAAAGGGAAACGCCAGAGTAATGTCAAATAGACCATGAGCAAATTATATAGGAGTGGTACAATAAAACAATTGGGTTATAGAAGTTGGAAGAATTCAAGGGAGAATGTGAAATTATGTGGCATTTATACAGATAGCCTTTGGAATGCAGGGACCCCTTAAGGAAAAATCTATCAGGCAGCAGGATCATGTATTAGAAATTGGTATTAAGAATGAGTGGTGAAACATAAATGATTTGTCATATAGTCAATGTTAATAGGGATGTTTTGGATTGGAAATTAACTCAACTAAACTGTTATGATTTGTCCTTTCTTGAGGTTGCTGTGGATGGTGTCTTAATGCAAAACAGAGATAATTCGATCCAGAACGGTGTGAACCTCAATAAAAACAAAAAACCCTCTACCTGGCTGAAGAGGAGCAACAAAGGCGTTGAAGACGTTCCTGTCCAGCACCACCTCTACCAGGAGACCTGAATCAGAACCAGCATCAAATCAAAGCAATACATTGCCTTGTCTTTTATGCCTTTTCTCTCAAGAATGTGACAGGAGTCCATGTGGAGTGAGCAGGAAGAGAGACCTATTCAAATACAACATTTCTCATAGTTTGGGTATACTGATTAGCAAAATGGACAAAACAGAATGGAGGTAGAGTTGGGGCAGCTCAGGTGTGACATTGGAATTGGGACATTGCCATGGGCAATCCAAGATGAACTATGAAGCTATCTGAAGAACAAAATGAAGAGGCCAGAAGATTAAGTGCCGGGGGAGGAAGGGATTATTATTGGAGGTAGTAGGTTGATTAAGGAGGTATTATACACTGCAAAATTTATGGTAATTTAGACTAGGAATGCATTGAGATACTGATCTGTTGTAATTCTCTTTATGAGGAAGATAATGCTAAAATTATGGATAATATAAAGGTACATTCTGCCAGTGTCAGTATGTGCCAAGGTGAGAGTTTTAACTTTGAATTATGGAACCAAGGTGACTAACTAAGAATTGTCATTTTAAATTTGTTTTGGGTAATTTGATTACGATTATGAATTGTAAGATGAATGATTGAACTGAATGAAGATACAGTGGGGAAAAAAAGTATTTAGTCAGCCACCAATTGTGCAAGTTCTCCCACTTAAAAAGATGAGAGAGGCCTGTAATTTTCATCATAGGTACACGTCAACTATGACAGACAAATTGAGGAAAAAAAATCCAGAAAATCACATTGTAGGATTTTTAATGAATTTCTTTGCAAATGATGGTGGAAAATAAGTATTTGGTCACCTACAAACAAGCAAGATTTCTGGCTCTCACAGACCTGTAACTTCTTCTTTAAGAGGCTCCTCTGTCCTCCACTCGTTACCTGTATTAATGGCACCTGTTTGAACTTGTTATCAGTATAAAAGACACCTGTTCACAACCTCAAACAGTCACACTCCAAACTCCACTATGGCCAAGACCAAAGAGCTGTCAAAGGACACCAGAAACAAAATTGTAGACCTGCACCAGGCTGGGAAGACTGAATCTGCAATAGGTAAGCAGCTTGGTTTGAAGAAATCAACTGTGGGAGCAATTATTAGGAAATGGAAGACATACAAGACCACTGATAATCTCCCTCGATCTGGGGCTCCACGCAAGATCTCACCCCGTGGGGTCAAAATGATCACAAGAACGGTGAGCAAAAATCCCAGAACCACACAGGGGGACCTAGTGAATGACCTGCAGAGAGCTGGGACCAAAGTAACAAAGCCTACCATCAGTAACACACTACGCCGCCAGGGACTCAAATCCTGCAGTGCAAGACGTGTCCCCCTGCTTAAGCCAGTACATGTCCAGACCCGTCTGAAGTTTGCTAGAGTGCATTTGGATGATCCAGAAGAGGATTGGGATAATGTCATATGGTCAGATGAAACTTTTTGGTAAAAGCTCAACTCGTCGTGTTTGGAGGACAAAGAATGCTGAGTTGCATCCAAAGAACACCATACCTACTGTGAAGCATGGGGGTGGAAACATCATGCTTTGGGGCTGTTTTTCTGCAAAGGGACCAGGACGACTGATCCGTTTAAAGGAAAGAATGAATGGGGCCATGTATCGTGAGATTTTGAGTGAAAACCTCCTTCCATCAGCAAGGGCATTGAAGATGAAACGTGGATGGGTCTTTCAGCATGACAATGATCCCAAACACACCGCCCGGGCAACAAAGGAGTGGCTTCGTAAGAAGCATTTAAAGGTCCTGGAGTGGCCTAGCCAGTCTCCAGATCTCAACCCATAGAAAATCTTTGGAGGGAGTTGAAAGTCCGTGTTGCCCAGCGACAGCCCCAAAACATCACTGCTCTAGAGGAGATCTGCATGGAGGAATGGGCCAAAATACCAGCAACAGTGTGTGAAAACCTTGTGAAGACTTCCAGAAAACGTTTGACCTGTGTCATTGCCAACAAAGGGTATATAACAATGTATTGAGAAACTTTTGTTATTGACCAAATACTTATTTTCCACCATAATTTGCAAATAAATTCATTAAAAATCCTACAATGTAATTTTCTGGAATTTCTTTTCTCAATTTGTCTGTCATAGTTGACGTGTACCTATGATGAAAATTACAGGCCTCTCTCATCTTTTTAAGTGGGAGAACTTGCACAATTGGTGGCTGACTAAATACTTTTTTTCCCCACTGTATGTGAGTTAAAGATGTTGACACTATTCTTAAACATGTCCTAGGTAGTATGGTTAAAACAATGCTACGTTAGTTTTAATGTGTTAGGATACTAATACTTATATTGGAATTATTTTGAGTAGGAATAGTGATATTTGTATTATGAGTATAACCTTGAATGCAAAGATTGTGATTGATAGCATAAACATAATATACTTTTGTAAATTTATGGGATTAGTAATCCCATTAGGAGGGATATGATGTTTATTTTTAATGGATTATCAGATAAAACTGGGTTAATCACGAACATAGAGTTAGAATTATTTGTTACTGGGCCAGGAATTTAATTGGGTCATTTCACTGTGTGTGTGGTGGTAAAGAGGGAAGCTGACCCAGGGTCAAATTGCTTGCTCTTACTTAGATCCATGGTTGTCTTATCATATCAAAGACTGAAACTGGCTTGGGCCTATTGTTTCTATCTTCAAACACAGTGAAAAGAGCCGGGGTTGAACAGAGTTTAAACTAAACATGAGTGTTTTTGCAAGATAAGGATTAATTGATTGTAGTACTCTGAACTTAATGAAAGTCGAATTTAGCCGCCCTCAGAGACAAAGGAAATGGGCGGAGCAATAAAAGAGCGGGAAACTGAAGAGGGGACTATATAAAATGGAAGGAGAGAGTAAGAGGGGGTTCCAATCTGCAGATTGACCTGGCTTTGTTGAATTAAAAATAAAGCCATTCTTGATGCAACAAAAACTCTGTAAGACCTTTAATTTTTAATAAAGTATAGTGGTTATTTTCCACAACACTATCAGGCTCATTTTCTCAAGTCAAACCTCTTACTCAAGCAGATTTGTTCTCTGATAACATTTTGTGGCAAGATAAATATTTGTTTTTCAAACAAACTCCCATCAAAGTCAATAGGTACGCAGTCGATATGTATCCTCCCCATTGCTCTTAGAAAAGTATCCACATCAGCATTTGGACTTGGGTTTTTCTTCTGCCCTGAATATACAGGTATGTGGCAGGCCTGCGTGGGTAGCTAGCAGTAGCTCTGTACTCGTGGCATAGTCAAGAGCTTATTTTTGAATCAACAAAATTGTTTGACCAGTTTTTGTACAGTCATAGTATAGTTCCTGGCAAACACATACAAATTACTAAAAAATCCAGAAAAACATCTTCCACTTCCTCTGCCATGCTACTTGTAGTGCCTATGTGTCAGGTGGTCTTCCTTTCACGTGTGTGTGAGTGTGTGTGTGTGTGCACACATACAGTACATGTGTATGGGCGTGACTGTCTGTCTGTCTGTCACTGTCACCCCAGTAATTGAGTGAGATCTATGTTTGGGATGCTCCGAGGGAGACACTGACAAGAAATCAACCCGTTTGCGTCTGTGTATGGGAGGAATTACCAATAAGACTTTCAGTGGATTTTAATAATACATGGAGCCGCTGACCGGAGCTGGACCGGGCACCGGTAGAGCGGACTGCTCAGGTTCCGGACTTGAGCCGCTGACCAGCGCTGGACTAGGCACCGGTGGAGTGGACTGCTCTGGCTCCGGAGTGGAGCCGCTGACCGGATCTGGACTGGACCCCGGTGGAGCGGACTACTCTGGCTCCGGAGTGGAGCCGCTGACCGGAGCTGGATCAGGCACCGGTGGAGCGGACTGCTCTGGCTCCGGAGTGGAGCCACTGACCGGAGCTGGACTAGACCCCGGTGGAGTGGACTGCTCTGGCTCCGGACTGGAGCAGCTGACCGGAGCTGGATCAGGCACCGGTGGAGCGGACTGCTCTGGCTCCGGACTGGAGCAGCTGACCGGAGCTGGATCAGGCACCGGTGGAACAGGCACGGGCCGTGCCGGACTGGACACACGCACCACTGGTCTGGTGCGAGGAGCAGGCACGGGCCGGACCGGACTAGGAACACGCACCACTGGCTTGATGCGAGGAGCAGGAACAGGCCGGGCCGGACTGGCGACGCGCACCACTGGCTTGATGCGAGGGGCAGGAACAGGCCGGGCCAGACTGGCGACGCGCACCACTGGCTTGGTGCGAGGGGCAGGAACAGGCCGGGCCAGGCTGGCGACGCGCACCACTGGCTTGGTGCGAGGAGCAGGAACAGGCCGGGCCGGGCTGGCGACGCGCACCACTGGCTTGGTGTGAGGAGCAGTAACGGTCCGGGCCGGGCTGGCGACGCACACCACTGGCTTGGTGCGAGGAGCAGGAACGGGCCGGACCTGACTGCGAAGGCGGACTGGAGGGCTGGAGCGGAGAGCTGGCACACCCCGTCCTGGCTGGATGCCCATCTTCGCACGGCACGTGCGTGGTGCAAGCACAGGACGTACAGGACTGTGCACGCGCACTGGCGACACAGTACGTAGCTCCGCATAACACGGAGCCTGCCCAGTCACACGCTTCCTCACGTGAGTACGGGGAGTTGGCTCTGCTCTAACACTAGGCTCCGCCAACCACCCTTTTAGCCCCCCCAACATTTTTTATTGGGGCTGTCTCTCGGGCTTCCTCCTCGACCGGCCTCCTCTGTGTTGCCGTTGCTCCTCTCCTGCCTGGGCATCTAACTTAGCCCATGGTCCTTTCCCTGCAAATATCTCCTCCCATGACCACAAATTGGCCACCTGTGACATGGCCATCCGCTCCGCCTGGACACGCTGCTTGGTCCTCGTTTGGATCTTCTGTCACGTTCGTTCACTGACGGGACGGACCAAGGCGCAGCGTGATCTACGTACATGTTTATTTAAATGAATAAACAACCGACAAAACAACAAACCAAACGAAACGTGAAGTCCAAGGTACAACAAACAACATACCTCACACGGAACAAGATCCCACAACTTAACGAGTGCCAATAGGCTGCCTAAGTATGATCCCCAATCAGAGACAACGAGCTACAGCTGCCTCTGATTGGGAACCACACCGGCCAACATAGAAATACACATATTAGATCAAAACATAGAAAATACAACATAGGAAATCACACCCTGACTCAACAAACAAGAGTCCCCAGAGTCAAGGCGTGACATCGGCCTATAGTAGCCTAGACAGTGTTTCCCAACGCCAGTCCTACAGTCCACCCAACAGCACACATTTGTGTTGTAGCCCCGGACAAACACACCTGATTCAACTTTGTAAGTCGCTCTGGATAAGAGCGTCTGCTAAATGACGTAAATGTAAATGTAAATGTAAATGGTTATAAATGAAGCCCCTGGCCTTATAGGGAGGATGAAAACCCTGTCAAACTGAAGCAACCTTTTACATGTTCATATGAATTATATTTTCAAACTAGACTAACAAGGGGGCTTCCGTTACCCAGACAGAGACAACTGCGATTAGACAATATAACAATTTTTATTTATTTTTTTCACCTTTATTTAACCAGGTAAATCAGTTGAGAACAAGTTCTCATTTACGACTGCGACCTGGCCAAGATAAAGCAAAGCAGTGCGATAAAAACAACAACACAGAGTTACATATGGGGTAAAACAAAACATAAAGTCAAAAATACTACAGAAAATATATATACAGTGTGTGCAAATGTAGCAAGTTATGGAGGTAAGGCAATAAATAGGCTATAGTGCAAAATAATTACAATTAGTATTAACACTGGAAAGATAAGATGTGCAAGAGATGATGTGCAAATAAAGATACGGGGTGCAAATGAGCAAAATAAATAACAATATGGGGATGAGGTAGTTGGGTGGGCTAATTTCAAATGGGCTGTGTACAGGTGCAGTGATCGGTAAGGTGCTCTGACAACTGATGCTTAAAGTTAGTGAGGGAGATAAGAGTCTCCAGCTTCAGAGATTTTTGCAATTCGTTCCAGTCATTGGCAGCAGAGAACTGGAAGGAATGGCGGCCAAAGGAGGTGTTGGCTTTGGGGATGACCAGTGAGATATACCTGCTGGAGCGCATACTACGGGTGGGTGTTGCTATGTTGACCAATGAGCTAAGATAAGGCGGGGATTTGCCTAGCAGTGATTTATAGATGGCCTGGAGCCAGTGGGTTTGGCGACGAAAATGTAGTGAGGACCAGCCAACAAGAGCGTACAGGTCACAGTGGTGGGTAGTATATGGGGCTTTGGTGACAAAACGGATGGCACTGTGATAGACTACATCCAATTTGCTGAGTAGAGTGTTGGAGGCTATTTTGTAATGTTTGGCAGCATGAGTGAAGGAGGCTTTGTTGCGAAATAGGAAGCTGATTCTAGATTTAACTTTGGATTGGAGATTCTTAATATGAGTCTGGAAGGAGAGTTTACAGTCTAACCAGACACCTAGGTATTTGTAGTTGTCCACATACTCTAGGTCAGACCCGTCGCGAGTAGTGATTCTAGTCGGGTGGGCGGGTGCCAGCAGCGTTCGATTGAAGAGCATGCATTTAGTTTTACTAGTGTTTAAGAGCAGTTGGAGGCTACTGAAGGAGTGTTGTATGGCATTGAAGCTTGTTTGGAGGTTTGTTAACACAGTGTCCAATGAAGGGCCAGATGTATACAAAATGGTGTCGTCTGCGTAGAGGTGGATCTGTGAGTCACCAGCAGCAAGAGCGACATCATTGATATACACAGAGAAAAGAGTCGGCCCAAGAATTGAACCCTGTGGCACCCCCATAGAGACTGCCTTAGGTCCAGACAACAGACCCTCCGATTTGACACATTGAACTATCTGAGTTGGTGAACCAGGCGAGGCAGTCATTTGAGAAACCAAGGCTATTTAGTCTGCCAATAAGAATGCAGTGGTTGACAGAGTCGAAAGCCTTGGCCAGATCGATGAAGACGGCTGCACAGTACTGTCTATTATCGATTGCGGTTATAATATCATTTAGGACGTTGAGCGTGGCTGAGGTGCACCCATGACCAGCTCGGAAACCGGATTGCATAGCGGAGAACGTACGGTGGGATTCGAAATGGTCGGTGATCTGTTTGTTAACCTGGCTTTCAAAAACTTTCGAAAGGCAGGGCAGGATGGATATAGGTCTGTAACAGTTTGGATCTAGAGTGTCACCCCCTTTGAAGAGGGGGATGACCGCGGCAGCTTTCCAATCTCTGGGGATCTCAGACGTTACGAAAGAGAGGTTGAACAGGCTAGTAATAGGGGTTGCGACAATTTTGGCGGCTAGTTTTAGAAAGAAAGGGTCCAGATTGTCTAGCCCAGATGATTTGTAGGGGGTCCAGATTTTGCAGCTCTTTCAGAACATCAGCTGTCTGAATTTGGGTGAAGGAGAAGCGGGGGGGGGCATGGGCAAGTTGCAGCGGAGGGTGCAGAGCTGGTGGCCGGGGTAGTAGTAGCCAGGTGGAAGGCATGGCCAGCCGTAGCAAAATGCTTATTGAAATTCTCGATTATTGTAGATTTATCGGTGGTGATAGTGTTTCCTAGCCTCAGTGCAATGGGCAGCTGGGAGGAGGTGCTCTTATTCTCCATGGACTTTACAGTGTCCCAAAACTTTTTGGAGTTAGTGCTACAGGATGCACATTTCTGTTTGAAAAAGCTAGCCTTTGCTTTATTCACTGCTTGTGTATATTGGTTCCTGACTACCCTGAAAAGTTGCATATCGCGGGGGCTATTTGATGCTAATGCAGTACGCCACAGGATGTTTTTGTGCTGGTCAAGTGCAGTCAAGTCTGAGGAGAACCAGGGGCTATATCTGTTCTTAGTTCTGTATTTTTTGAATGGGGCATGTTTATTTAAGATTGAGAGGAAATTACATTTAAAGAACAACCAGGCATCCTCTACTGACGGAATGAGATCTATATCCATCCAGGATACCTGGGCCAGGTCAATTAGGAAGGCCTGCTCGCTAAAGTGTTTTAGGGAGCGTTTGACAGTGATGAGGGGTGGTCGTTTGACTGCGGACCCGTTACGGACGCAGGCAATAAGGCAGTGATCGCTGAGATCCTGGTTGAAGACAGCGGAGGTGTATTTAGAGGGTAAGTTAGTCAGGATGATATCTATGAGGGTACCCATGTTTACGGATTTAGGGTTGTACCTGGTAGGTTCGTTGATAATTTGTGTGAGATTGAGGGCATCTAGTTTGGATTGTAGGATGGCCGGGGTGTTAAGCATATCCCAATTTAGGTCACCAAGCAGTACGAACTCTGAGGATAAATGGGGGGCAATCAATTCACATATGGTGTCCAGGGCACAGCTGGGGGCTGAGGGGGGTCTGTAGCAAGCGGCAACAGTGAGAGACTTATTTCTGGAAAGGTGGATTTTTAGAAGTAGAAGCTCAAACTGTTTGGGCACAGACCTGGATAGTATGATAGAGCTCTGCAGGCTATCTCTACAGTAGATTGCAACTCCACCCCCTTTGGCAGTTCTATCTAGACGGAAAATGTTGTAGTTGGGGATGGAATCCTAAGCCAGGATTCAGACACTGCTAGAACATCAGGGTTGGCGGAGTGTGCTAACGCAGTGAATAACTCAAACTTAGGAAGTAGACTTCTGATGTTAACGTGCAGAAAACCAAGGCTTTTACGGTTACAGAATTCAACAAATGATAGCTCCTGGGGAGTAGGAGTGATACTGGGGGCTGCATCACCAGAGGAACAGAGGAGACTAGAATAAGGTGTCACGGTTTCGGCCGAGGCTGCTCCTCCTCCTTGCTCGGGCAGGCTTCGGCGGTCGTCGTCCCCGGAGTACTAGCTGCCACCGTTGTATGTTTTCGATGTTTGTTTGGTTTTGTCTTATTTGTACACCTGTTTCCGTTTAGTGTTAATTATGTGTCCTATAAGTTCTCGTTTTGTTCCGTGTTGGGTTGTGTTTGTTACCAAGGACTTCATGTATCGTTTTGTTGTTTTTGTTCGAGGCTTTAAGAACTGGTCTTCTAGTGCGTTGGGTACAGAGAATAAAGGGGCCAGATTTCCGGGCGTTGTAGAAAAGATTCAGGGCATTATGTACAGACAAGGATATGGAAGGATATGAGTACAGTGGAGGTAAACCTAAGCGTTGGGTAACAATGAAAGAGATAGCATCACTGGAGGCACCGATTGAGCCGGTCTCGGTGTGTATGGGGGGTGGAACAAAGGAACTATTTGAGGCAGTTTGAGAGGGACTTGGGGTTATTCAGTGAAATTGTATAATAAGAACTAACTGGAACAGCAATATGCAAGGCATATTGACATGGGAGAGAGGCATAAAGCAATCACAGGTGTTATTAGAGAGAGCTAAGACAACAACTGGTAATGGCGATAAAGTTTGGGCTGAGGCTAAACAGAATAAACAGGACAGGGTACCGTGTAAAGGAACAGTCCAGCAGGCATCAGCTGTGCAGCTGAGTGATCATAAGGTCCAGTGAACAGCAATATGTGAGTCCGAGAGCAGTTAAAATTGGTGCTTCAGCACAGCGAGCAGGCAGCACGGTTGTAGTTTGCGTGTGCTAGCGGGCCGGGGCTAGCAGATGGATCTTCGTGGTCGTCGCAACGGGAAGCCTGTTGAAACCACAGACGATTACGCCGGCAGACCAGTCGTGATGGATTGGCAGGGCTCCGTGTCGACTCTAGGAGGTCCCGTCCGGTTGACAGAGAGGTAGATAGCCGGGAGATGTGCTTGACTAAAGGCTAGCTCAAGGCTGATTAGCCAACAACAACGTTCATATGGTTGCAGCTAGCTAGTTGCGATTATCCAGTGTTAAAGGTCCAGTGATTCAGTGATTCCGGCAGAAAATCCGATAGGTTCTGGGTCGATAACTCGCTGTGCAGACAGTGCAGACTGGCCAATAATAGTCCAGACTAGAGCTGGCTGGTAGGTAGTGCAGGCCACGGACAATGGAGAAAAAGCAGCTAACGGTGGCTAATAGCAAGTAGTTAGTTAGCTGGTTAGCTGGCTACTCCCGTCCGGTAGACAGAGAGGTAGATAGCCGGGGCTAGCTCAAGGCTCAAGGCTAACTGGTGCTACGGGGGCAGTGGTGATTAGCCTACAGCGACATCCATTCGGTTGCGGCTAGCTAGATCCGGTGTTAAGGTCCAGTGATTCAGTTATTCCGGCAGAAAATCCGATGTTCTGGGTGAAAACCGCTGACGGTGGCTAATAGCAAGTTGCTAGTTAGCTAGTTAGCTGGCTGGCTAGTTTCAACTGGAGATTCTAGATAAAGGTGAGTAAATAATAGAATCCGTTCCACATTGAGTGAGGCGGGTTGCAGGAAAGTATATTTAGTAGAAGGATGAAAAGTGTGATAGGGAAATATATACGTAAAATACAAAAAAAAATACAAAAAACAGGCTATTTACATGGACACACAAGAGAACACGACCGCACTGCTATGCTATCTTGGAATCTTGAAAACGCCCCTACCCTCTGTTCTATTGGCGAATGTGCAATCGCTGGAGAACAAACTGGACGAGCTCCGTTCGAGACTGTCCCATCAACGAGACATTAAGAACTGTAATATACTATGCTCTTTGGAGTCATGGCTGAACAAGGACAATATACAGTTAGCTGGGTTTTCTAAGCATTGGCAGGACAGAACAGCAGCGTCTGGTAAGATCCGTGGGGGTGGGGTGTGTCTCTGTCAACAAAGACTGGTGCGTAATGTCTAATATTAAGGAATTCTCGAGGTTCTGCTCGCCTGAGTTAGAATAACTCATGATAATCTGTAGACCAAGAGAGTTTATGTAGATTTTTCATAGCTGTCTATTTACCACCACAAACCGATGCTGGCATTAAGACCGCACTCAACAAGCTGTAAAGGGCCATAAGCAAACAAGAAAATGCTCATCCAGGGGTGGCTCGCCGAGTGGCCGGTGATTTTAATACGAAGAAAACTGAAACCTGTTATACCTAATTTATAACAGCATGTCACCGGTGCAACTAGAGGGGAAAAAACTCTAGATCACCTTTACTCCACATACAGAGATGCAAACAAAGCTCTCCCTCGCCCTCCATTTGGTAAATCTGACCATAACTCTAATTCCTCCTGATTCCTGCTTACAAGCAAAAACTCAAACAGGAAGTACCAGTGACTCGCTCAATACGGAAGTAGTCAGATGAAGCAGATGCTAAGCTACAGTCAATCAAATGTATTTATAAAGCCCTTTTTACATCAGCAGATGTCACAAAGGGCTTATACAGAAACCCAGCCTAAAACCCCAAACAGCAAGCAATGCAGATGTATTAGAACAGTGGCTAGGAAAAACTCCCTAGAAAGCCAGGAACCTAGGAAGAAACCTATTGAGGAACCAGACTCTGAGGGGTGGTTAGTCCACTTCTGGCTTTGCCGAGTGGAGATAATAAGAGTATTTGGCCATTAAGGCCAGATCATTCTTCCAGATGTTCAAACATTCATAGACGAATAATAATCACCATCATCATCATCACCATCATCACAGTGGTAGAGGGTGCAACAGGTCAGCACCTCAGGAGTAAATGTCAGTTGGCTTTTCATAGCTGAGCATTCCGAGGTTGAGACAGCAGGTGCGGGAGTGAGAGAGAAACAGAGAGAGACAGAGACAGAGACAGAGAGAGAATACAGGAGAATTTCACCATATAGGACAGACTGACCCTAGCCCCCCGGCACATAGACTATTGCAGCATAGATACTGGGGGTGGGGTACCCCCTGGGGGGGAGGGGGGGGGTACCCCCTGAGGACAGAGCCAACCAGGCAGGATATAACCCAACCCACGCTGCCAAAGCACAGCCCCCATATCACTAGAAGGATATCAACAGACCACCAACTTAACACCCTGAGATGAGGCGGGGTATAGCCCACGAAGATCTCATCCACTGCACGAGCCTGATGGGGCGCACAACCGGACAGGAAGATCACATCAGTGATGATCATGTGTAATGCTTTGTATGTTCACTGACATTTTCAACCTCTCCCTGACCCAGTCTGTAATACCTACATGTTTCAAGCAGACCACCATAGTCGCTGTGCCCAAGAACACCAAGGTAACCTGTGTAAATGACTACCTCCCGTAGCACTCACATCTGTAGCCATGAAATGCTTTGAAAGGCTGGTCATGGCTCACATCAACACCATCATCCCAGAAACCCTGGACCCACTCCAAATCTCATACCGCCCAAACAGATCCACAGATGATGCGATCTCTATTGCACTCCACACTACCCTTTCACACCTGGACTAAAGGAACACCTACGTGAGAATGCTGGTCATAGACTACAGCTCAGTGTTCAACTCCATAGTGCCCTCAAAGCTCATCACTGAGCTAAGGTCCCTGGGACTGAACACCTCCCTCTGCAACTGGATCCTGGACTTCCTGACAGGCTGCCCCGAGGTGGTGAGGGTAAGCAACAATACATTCATCACGCTGACCCTCAACACGGGGGCCCCTCAGGGGTGCGTGCTTGGTACCCTGTACTCCCTGTTCACCCACGACTGCGTAGCCGCGCACCACTCCAACACCATTATCAAGTTTGCTGATGACACAATGGTGGAGGGCCTGATCACCAACAACGATGAGACAGCCTATAGGGAGGAGGTCAGAGACCTGGCAGTGTGGTGCCAGGACAACAACCTCTTCCTCAACGTGGGCAAGACGAAAAGAGCTTATCGTGGACTATCGGAAACAGAGCCGAACACACCCCCATTCACATCGACAGGACTGCAGTGGAGCGGGGTCGAGAGCTTCAAGTTCGTCAGTGTCCACATCGCTAAGGACTTATCATGGTCCAAACACACCAACACAGTCGTGAATAGGGTACCACAACACCTATTCCCCCTCAGGAGGCTGAAAAGATTTGGCATGGGCCCTCAGATCCTCAAAAGGTTATACAGCTACAACCATTGAGAGCATCTTGACTGGCTGCATCACCGCTTGGTATGGCAACTGCTCTTCATCTGACCGCAAGGTACATCACTGTGGCCGAACTCCCTGCCATCCAGGACCTCTATACCAGGCGTGTAAGAAGAAGGCCCTAAAAATTGTCAAGGACTCCAGCCACCCAAGTCATAGACTGTTTTCTCTGCTACTGCACGGCAAGCGGTACGGGAGCGCTAAGTCTGGGACCAAAAATCTCCTGAACAGCTTCTACCCCAAGCCATAAGACTGCTAAATAGTTAACCTAATAGCTACCCGGACTATCTGCATTGACCCTTTTTGACTCTATGCACACACACTGGACTTCACCCACACACACACACACACACACATACACTTACACACTCATCACATTTGCTGCTGCTACTGTCTATTATCTATCCTGTTGCCTAGTCACTTTACCCCTACCTACAGTGCATTCCGAAAGTATTCAGACCTCTTCCCCTTTTCCATATTTTGTTCTTTTACAGCCTTATTCTAAAATGGACTAAAGAAAAACATTTCCTTATCAATCTACACACAATACCTCATATTGACAAAGCGAAAACATACCTTATTTACATAAATATTCAGACCCTTTGCTATGAGACTCGAAATTGAGCTCAGGTGCATCCTGTTTCCATTGATCATCCTTGAGATGTTTCTACAACTTGATTGGAGTCCACCTGTGGTAAATATAATTGATTGGACATGATTTGTAAAGGCACACACCTGTCTATATTGGGTCCAACATCTAATACAGTCATCAACGCACGACCCACTAATTTTATTCAAATCAAATCAAATTTTATTTGTCACATGCGCCGAATACAACAGCTGTAGACCTTACTGTGAAATGCTTACTTACAAGCCCTTAACCAACAATGCAGTTTTAAATAAAATACAAAAGTCACACAATAAAATAACAACAATGAGGCTATATACAGTGGGTACCGGTACCGAGTCAATGTGCGGGGGTACAGGTTAGTTGAGGTAATTTGTACATGTAGGTAGGGGTAAAGTGACTATGCATAGATAATAAACAGCGAGTAGCAGCAGTGTAAAAACAAAGGGGGGGTGTCAATGCAAATAGTCCAGGTGGCCATTTGATGAATTGTTCAGCAGTCTTATGGCTTGGGGGTAGAAGCTGTTAAGGAGCCTTTTGGACCTAGATTTGGCGCTCCGGTATCGCTTGCCGTGCGGTAGCAGAGAGAATAGTCTATGACTTGGGTGACTGGAGTCTTTGATAATGTTTTGGGCCTTCCTCTGACACCGCCTAGTATATAGGTCCTGGATGGCAGGAAGCTTGGCCCCAGTGATGTACTGGGCCGTACGCACTAGCCTCTGTAGCGCCTTACGGTCAGATGCCGAGCAGTTGCCATACCAGGAGGTGATGCAACCAGTCAGGATGCTCTCGATGGTGCAGCTATATAACTTTTTGAGAATCTGGGGACCCATGCCAAATCTTTTCAGTCTCCTGAGGGGGAAAAGGTGTTGTCGTGCCCTCTTCACAACTTTCTTGGTGTGTTTGGACCATGATAGTTTGTTGGTGATGTGGACACCTAGGAACTTGAAACTCTCGACACGCTCCACTACAGCCCCGTCGATGTGAATGGGGACGTGTTCGGCCCTCCTTTTCCTGTAGTCCACAATCATCTCCTTTGTCTTGCTCACGTTGAGGGGGAGGTTGTTGTCCTGGCACCACACTGCCAGGTCTCTGACCTCCTCCCTATAGGGTGTCTCATCGTTGTCGGTGATCAGACCTACCACCGTTGTGTCATCAGCAAAGTTAATGATGATGTTGGAGTTGTGCTTGGCCACGTAGTCGTGGGTGAACAGGGATTTGATTTTGTGCACCAGCTGTTGTTTACAAATATACATGATATACCGATGTAGCGTATAGCCCGCTAGCTGTATGTTGTCCATGTCGTCGTTCAGCCACGACTCGGTGAAACATAAGATATTACAGTTTTTAATGTCCCGTTGGTAGGATAACCGTAATCTTAGGTCATCCAATTTATTCTCAAATGATTGAAGATTGGCTAATAGGATTGATGGGAGCGGCAGTTTACTCGCTCGCCGTCGGATCCTTACAAGGTACCCGACCTACGTCCACAATATCTCTGTCTCTTCCTCATGTGAATGACGGGGATTTGGGCCTTGTCGGGTGTCTGTAGGATATCCTTCGCGGCCGCCCCGTTGAAGTAAAAATCTTCGTCCAATACGAGGTGAGTAATCGCTGTCCTGATATCCAGAAGCTCTTTTTGGTTATAAGAGACGATGGCAGAAACATTATGTACAAAATAAGTTACAAATAATGCGGAAAAACACACATAATAGTACAATTGGTTAGAGGGCTGTAAAACGGCAGCCATCTTCTCCGGCGCCATTCTAAGGTGACAAACATATTATTTTACTATGGTAACATGCAGTGGGAGAATTCCAATTGTCCCCGTCAGGAGCCAAGCTTTTGCAATAGAGTTCTCGTCTCTCGACCACACAAACTACAGATTGCATTCGGCTAAGGCACTTGTCTCTACATCTGACAGCTACATTGGTGACCAGGGTGGAATCCTTTCGATATGCCTATGGGGCTTGGACACACAAATGTTCCTAGAGAGAAGGGGGAATGCTAAAGCATGCGTTGATGACAGTTCAACAGTCTCCATCAGAGACCCAGGCTTTTGGCATAGATGGTGAAGCTCTCATTTCTGGACCGCAACATTGTAAGATTGTGCTCTCCACGGCACTTGATATACATTGATTGGAATGTTACACTATATTTAGATAATTCAAAAACTGCATGAGACACCTTTGCTATTTGACTCCATACTCTATAAATGGTGAAACACCTGTAGCTCAGTTGGTAGAGCATGGCGCTTGCAACGCCAGGGTTGTGGGTTCGTTTCCCACGGGGGGCCAGTATGAAAATGTATGCACTCACTAACTGTAAGTCGCTCTGGATAAGAGCGTCTGCTAAATGACTAAAATGTATAAATGTGATGGGGTTCTTTGTTCTAATGTATCTGCATGAAACATACATTATGGAAAACATGTCTCACACGTAGAATAATGAATTAATTGGCAAGATTTTGGCACCGTCAACTTTTACAAGGATAGCAGGAAAGTTAATCATTTAAACCACCTAAATGCTCACATTCACCGAACATTTAGTATTTTGAAGCTCAAACATTCATTTCCCAACTGATTTTTCTATAATCCTACAGGCTCTTTATAATTCTCCATACCTTATATTCCAATGCATCCAACATTATGCATGCCGACCACTGGTTATCTTATTGCAGAGCACATTGTACAACTGTTTTAAGAGAAGATTGTATCGCAGGGTATGCTATATGTGTAGGCTATGCCATATTGGCTAATATGCAGCTGTCGTTTTTAAACCTCCATTCTAGGATACATGACACACACATCTTTCTATCTACATGCTTTTATTTGGGTTTCTATGCAAAGTATATTTACATTTTAGTCATTTTAGCAGATGCTTTTATCCAGAGCGACTTACAGTTGGTGAGTGCATACATTTTCATACTGGCCCCCCATGGGAAACGAACCCACAACCCTGGCGTTGCAAGCGCCATGCTCTACCAACTGAGCTACAGGGGACATATGAGTTAAAGTTTCTTTAAGACTGCAGCGAGTTACTTGAAATGAGACAGGGTGCATAGACGCTAGGTGAAAAATTCATTTTAATCCACTTTGTAACAATAAAATGTGAAGAAATCCAAGGGGGGTGAAACATATGTGTTGTTTATGAATTTGAAGGACCAATAAAAAGGGATAGAAAACTTAGGTGCTGGATTTTAGGCCGGTAGCAACCACAACAGGGTGTCCGTTCAGAACACGAGGAAGCAGTAGTTCCAGTTCAAGGGTTTATTGAAGATCCACACACACACACACAACACCACTCTCTCTGATACTAATTGTGGTTCTGTAAAGAAAAGAGGAGAACTTAGGCTATAGCACAGTATGGGAAAAATATGCCTATTTGCATGTCAACAAATAAACAGGCTATGTGGACCCAAACACATGCTAGATGCACAAAGAACAATAGAGCAATGTAGAAATATCTAAACATTATAAAACATAATAAGCATGAGCGATCTACAACCGGAAATAGCCTAGCACCACAGACAAATGCTAATAAATGCTAATCGCTAATAAGCATGCTAAATAGTAATGCATTCCGAGTGACAATGCTAATGCTAACGCTAGCGGGAGTACGCGAGCTAGCTAGCTAGCAAGTTTAACACAAATGGTGCACTACCATTCAAGGGTTTTTCTTTATTTTTACAATTTTTTTTACATTGTTTCATCATAGTGCTTGATGGTTTTTGCGACTGCACTTGAAGAAACTTTCAAAGTTCTTTAAATGTTCCATATTGACTGACATTCATGTGGTCCTCTGTAGCTCAGCTGGTAGAGCACGGCGCTTGTAACGCCAAGGTAGTGGGTTCGATCCCCGGGACCACCCATACACAAAAATGTATGCACGCATGACTGTAAGTCACTTTGGATAAAAGTGTCTGCTAAATGGCATATTATTTATTTTTATTATTTTAAAGTAATGATGGACTGTCGTTTCTCTTTGCTTATTTGAACAGTTCTTGCCATAATATGGACTTGATCTTTTATCAAATAAATAGGGCTATCTTCTGTATACCCCCCCTACCTTGTCACAACACAACTGATTGGCTCAAATGCATTTAGATGGAAAGAAATTCCACACTCAACTTTTAAGAAGGCACACCTGTTAATTGAAATGCATTCCAGGTGACTACCTCATGAAGCTGGTTGAGAGAATGCCAAGAGTGTGCAAAGCTGTCATCAATGCAAAGGGTGACTATTTGAAGAATCTCAAATATAAAACATTTTTGGTTACTACATGATTCCATATGTGTTATTTCATAGTTTTGATATCTTCACTATTATTCTACAATGTAAAATAATGAAAAACCCTTGAATGAGTAGGTTTGTCCAAACTGTTGACTGGTACTGTACATATTTACAACAGACACTATTTAGCTCCAAACAACAAGACATCAGGATTTCGGCACTTACATTTAGCTGCACGCACAATAAACATCAGAAAGAAAAGCAATTTCTTCTAAGGAGGTAGAATAAGCAGGAGAGAAAAACAGGTTGGTCATCAGAATGCAAACTAGAGACTGCCTGAGGCCCTGCCTGGTAGGGTAAAAAGGCTGCTGATTGGCTAATACAATTATGTTGATTGGCGTGACCTTCTTCCAATAGGAAAACAACAAGAAAGTTGGGGGTCTTGGAAAGGAGATGAGCTGGCCGTTTTTACAGGGGGTGTAGACTTTCTACAGGCACTGTGAGTATCGTGATAATATTGTGAGGTCCCTGACAATTCCCAGCCCTACTTTTGATATTTTTTTGTTTTTAGAACAGGTTTGTCGGGTCTTTTGTAGGCTTCAAATGTCACAGCTAACAGGAGATTAAATATGATAGTGATGTAAATGGTTTGTCTAGGTACAAACAGACACGCATGGGAAATAAAAGGAAATCATAACCAAACTGAAATGCTCCACAATTAGCAAACAAGGGAAGTGAACTTACTGTACATGCACAACAATCTATCAGACAATATACATCTACAGTGCCTATAGAAAGTCTTCACCCCCTTGAACTTTTTTCAAATGTTATTGCGTTACAAGGTGGGATTGAAATAGATTTAATTGTAATTTTTTATCAATGATCTACACAAAATTCTACATCTTGTTTTACAAATTAATAAAAATGTAATAACTAAAATAGTAATTGCTTAAGTATTCACCCCCTTGTTTAGGCAAGCCTAAATTAGTTCAGAAGTCAAATTTGGCTTAACAATCACACAAGTTATATGGACTCACTGTGTGAAATAGGGGTTGACATGATTATTTAAATGACTACCACTTCCTCTGTCCCCAATACATACAGTGGCTTGCAAAAGTATTCACCCCCCTTGACACAACATGCCTACCACTTTGAAGATGCAAAATAAGACAAAAAAACAGAAAACTTGAGCGTGCATAACTATTCACCCCCCCCAAAGTCAACACTTTGTAGAGCCACCTTTTTCAGCAATAAAAGCAGCAAGTCTCTTGGGGTATGTCTCTATATGCTTGGCACATCTAGCCACTGGGATTTTTGCCCATTCTTCAAGACAAAACTGCTCCAGCTCCTACAAGTTGGATGGGTTCTGCTGGTGTACAGCAATCTTTAAGTCATACCACAGATTCTCAATTGGATTGAGGTCTGGGCCATGACTAGGCCATTCCAAGACATTTAAATGTTTCCCCTTAAACCACTCGAGTGTTGCTTTAGAATTTCCCTGTATTTAGCGCCATCCATCATTCCTTCAATTCTGACCAGTTTCCCAGTCCCTGCCGATGAAAAACATCCCCACAGCATGATGCTGCCACCACCATGCTTCACTGTGGGGATGGTGTTCTCGGGGTGATGAGAGGTGTTGGGTTTGCGCCAGACATAGCGTTTTCCTTGATGGCCAAAAAGCTCAATTTTAGTGTCATCTGACCAGAGTACCTTCTTCCATATGTTTGGGGAGTCTCCCACATGACTTTTGGCAAACACCAAACGCGTTTGCTTATTTTTTTCTTTAAGCAATAGCTTTTTTCTGGCCACTCTTCCGTAAAGCCCAGCTCTGTGGAGTGTACAGCTTAAAGTGGTCCTATGGACAGATACTCCAATCTCCACTGTGGAGCTTTGCAGCTCCTTCAGGGTTATCTTTGGTGTCTTTGTTGCATCTCTGATTATTGCCGTCCTTGCCTGACTTCTGAAGGTAATTGGTTGCACCAGATCTTATTTAGGGGCTTCATATCAAAAGGGTGAATACATATGCACGCACCACTTTTCCGTAATTTATTTTTTAGAATTTCTTGAAACAAGTTATTCTTTTTATTTCACTTTACCAATTTTGACTATTTTGTGTATGTCCATTACATTAAATCCAAATAAAAATCAATGTAAATTACAGGTTGCAATGTAACAAAATAGGAAAAATGCGAAGGGGGATGAATACTTTTGCAAGGCACTGTACAACATCTGTAAGGTCCGTCAGTCAAGTATTACATTTCAAGCACAGATTCAACTACAAAGACCAGGGAGCTTTTCGAACGCCTCATAAAGGGTAGTGATTGGTAGATGGGTAACAATAACAAATCAGACATTTAATATATCTTTAAGCATGGTCAAGTTAATAATCATGCTGTGGATAATGTATTAAATCACCCAGACACATCAAAGATGCAATCGTCCTTCTGAACTGAGCTGCAAGACAGGAAGGAAACTGCTTAGGGATGTCACCATGAGGCCATTGGTGATTTTAAAACAGCTACACAGTTCAATGGCTGTGATGGGAATAAACTGAGGATGGATCAACAACAGTGACTCCACAATAATGACCTAAATGACTGAGTGACAAGAATAACAATATACAGAATAAAATATTCCAACACATGCATATGTATGCAACAAGGTACTAATGTAATACTGCAAAAAAGCACGGCAAAGGAATACACTTTTTGCCTTAACTGCAAAGCCTTATGTTTGGGGCAAATCCAACACAACACGTCACTGACTGAGTAACTGCCTCCTCATTTTCAAGGTATGGTGGTGGCTGCATCATGTTATGGGTATGCTTGACATCGGCAAAGACTGGGGAGTTTCAGAATGAGAAGAAACAGGATGGAGCTAAGCACAGGCAAAATCCTAGCGGGAAACCTGCTTCAGTCTGCTTTACACCAGAAACTAGGGGGCATATAAAGGAATAGCCCCACCTCTTTCAGATGGACGTGATCTGGTTGATTACATTGATTGAGGTGTGTGGCGGCCAATAAGGAGCAGGCTTCCCTCCAAGTAGCAGGGGAGTGGGAGGGGTTTTGTACACCAGGTCTGCGTTCAGTACGTTTTTACGTTCTGGAACATTCAATTGAACGGAAATGGTGCTGTACTAAACGACTAATTGAAAAATGGGGAGGGATTGGGTTGTGGGTTGGGGAATGTGACAGCCCCACAGTGGAGGTGTCATAATACCCATAAAACCTAGCGGTCAAACAGGGAAATGGTTCCAATCGTTTTTCCACCATTCATTTTCCCCATAGGGGATTTTAGAAACACTTAAAATAAGGGCTGTGTTTTGTGTAGGTTTACCCTGGCGTGACGTTTTGATAACCATATAAATCTCTCTCGGACAAGGTGACTTTTATCAATTAACTCATTGTTGGAAAAGGACCCGTAAGTAAGCATTTCACTGTTAGTCTACACCTTTTGTTTATGAAGCATGTGACAAATAACATTTGATTTGATCGATTCTTTAACGTTTTGGGGAAACGTGTTCCGCAACGTAGCAAACGTTCAAGCGAACTGAACGCACCTCAGGCCTACAGTTGATCAGACTAATACAGGTTATCTGATTGCTAATGTTTAGGTTTAGCTGCTACAACATTTCTGTAAAGAGTTTTCCCTTTTGCTAAAATAATACCGGAGGGAAGTGGAGAGCATGCGCCATGCCACGACCTGTGTTTTCAGTGAATCTGATTGGTCAAAACACACACACTGTCACGCCCTGGCTCTGGGGACTCTTATATGCTGAGCCAGGGTGTGGATTTTCTATGTGTCATTTTCTATGTTTTGTTCTAGTTCATGTATTTCTATGTTGGCCAGGGTGGTTCCCAATCAGAGGCAGCTGTTGCTTGTTGTCTCTGATTGAGGACCATACTTAGGCAGCCTGTTTGGCACTGTTCTTTGTGGGATCTTGTTCCGTAAGGTTTGTTTTGGTGTTTAACCTAGGACTTCACGTATCGTTTGTTTTTGTTCGTGTGTGTACTTAATAAAATAATGTACGCATATCACGCTGCGCCTTGGTCCGCTTTTCATAACGATTGTGACACACACACACAAACTGTAGCACTTTTATCAGAAGGACATAGTGTGTGAGTTGACAAATGACGAAGGCAAGGCAAGTTAGTCTAAAAAATAGTAGGCCTACTTTGTCCATTTTTTTTCAATGTTTTTGCGTTAAAATGTCTTATTAAACCAAATAAAACAAATGTGCTGGGGCAAATGCCTGCTTGCAACACATCACCTACTGGGCACACACTGGTTGAATCAACGTTGTTTTCACATAATTTCAATGAAATTATGTTGAACCAACGTGGAATAGACTTTGAATTGACGTCTGTCTTAATGATTCACAAACAGGATTCTGTGTTCTCTTACAAAGTATCTTAGAGAACACTGTGTGCAGTATAATGCCTTTAGGGAATAGGTGTGTGAGTGTGTAACTCTTCAAGTGTGTGTTCATTGGGTCCTCAGTGCCAAAGCACTGGAATTAGAGGGAATGTGTGTGTACGTCCAGGGTTACTATGAAGGCAGAGCGGTTGTGTGTGTGTGTTTTTGCGTGTGCACATGCATGTGTGTGTGAGCACACACATGAGTGTGTGTGTGAGGGCGCATCTGTGTGTGTTTGTGTGTGAAGGGCGGCTTTCTGGCTACCCGGTGCTCTGACATCCCCACACCCTCCTTCCCTTCCTGGTATACACACACACACAGAGAGGGATCCCCACTAGCAGCAGCTTGAGAGTGTCTACATAAGGAGCCTAGTGTGTCGTTGCCTCGGTACCTCTCTGCTCTACAATTTCAGCTTTAGCCCCTCCCTGTACCCACGTTACCTACTCACTAACCTAACGTAGCAGGCGTAAAATAAATGCCTGAAACTTAGCCTACACATAACTGGTGTTACTGAAAGTGAGACTGAAACTTAACTGAGATTATTTACAAATAGCAGAGCACTCGTTTTCATTTACATAATTAGCATATAAATCAGTGGTATAATTTTTCCCTTTAAAGGTGCATATGCAGAAATCGCTCCGCCATTTTCTGGTTGCTAAAATTCTAATAGTCCGCCAAATGTCACGGTTTCGGCCGAGGCTGCTCCTCCTCCTTGTTCGGGCAGGCTTCAGCGGTCGTCGTCCCCGGAGTACTAGCTATCACCGTTTGATGTTTTCGATGTCTGTTTGGTTTTGTCTGATTGTGTACACCTGTTTCCTGTTTGGTTGATTATGTCTCCTATAAGTTTCTCGTTTGGTTAGTCTTGTGTTGTGTGTTATTGTCCGCCTGTCCGTAAGAGCTGTGAGTTTCTGCTCTGTTTATTTGTTTTGGTGTTTTTACGCACAGTTTGCGTAATCGCTCGCCTCTGTTTGTTCGAGGCCCGTATTTTGTATTTTGTCACTTTATGACAAGTAAAGTCTGTTGGACTAAGTCTTTGTGTCCTGCGCCTGACTCCTACACCACATCCACATCAGCACCTGACAGAATAACACACCCCCATGGAGTCAGCAGGAGCAGCGGCGGCACCCAAGTCGCTGGAGGAACGGATCAGCGATCAGGACACCATGATCCGGCAACTTGGGGCCGCCATGAACGAGGTGTCTAACACTCTGCGCCGTTTGGTCACCGGAGAGGTGCCCACACCTCCGCACACCTTACCATCACCATCGGCCAGTCCTCCTCTTCCAGCACCGGAACCCAGTGGTATTCGGCTCTCGCTCCCGAGGGCATATGATGGTACCGCAGCCGGGTGTCAGGGGTTCCTCCTGCAGGTGGAACTCTACCTGGCCACCATACACCCGGCGCCCTCGGGATACAAGAGCGTCTCCGCCCTCATCTCCTGTCTCACCGGCAAGGCGTTGGAGTGGGCCAACGCCGAATGGAGGGGAATAGACGCCGCCACCATCACCTACGCGGAGTTCTCCCGCCGCTTCAGGGCAGTGTTCGACCATCCACCTGAGGGGAAGGCGGCGGGGGAGCGTCTGTTCCACCTCCGACAGGGGAGGAGGAGTGCACAGGAGCTCGCCCTGGAGTTCCGGACTCTAGCGGCGGATGCAGGGTGGAATGAGCGGGCCCTCATCGACCACTACCGATGTAGTCTACGGGAGGACGTCCGTCGAGAGTTGGCCTGCAGGGATGCCCACCTCACCTTCGACCAGCTGGTGGACATGTCCATCCGGCTTGACACCCTGCTGGCAACCCGCGGACGTTCCGAGTGGGGGTCGTCCATTCCACCCTCCAGCACCTCCGAGCCGAGCCCTATGGAGCTCGGAGGTGCTGGCGCTAGAGAGAGGAGGAGGAGGAGCCTGAGGGGGGCTGTCCCCTGCACCAACTGTGGCCGTGGAGGGCACACTGCGGCCAGGTGCTGGGGAGGGTCTCCTAGGGGAGAGGACAACAGGCCACGCACTGGGGAGTCATTCCAGGTGAGTAGGCATCCCACTTACCCAGAGCTCTCTGTTGTGCACGTCTGTTTACCTGTACATTTTCCACAGGTTGCACCTCATTCCCAGCATAAGGCGCTAGTAGATTCAGGCGCAGCTGGGAATTTTGTTGATCGACGTTTTTGTTTAAAACTAGGAATTCCCCTTCTTCCAGTCGACGCCCCATTTCCTGTCCAGGCTTTAGACAGCCGTCCCTTGGGATCGGGGTTGATTAGGGAGGTCACAGCGCCCCTTAGGATGAGGACGCAGGGGGGTCATGAGGAAACTATTCAGCTATATCTGATTGACTCTCTTGCGTATCCGGTGGTGTTGGGGCTTCCCTGGTTGATTACCCATAATCCATCTATTTCGTGGCAACAGAGGGCTCTTAAGGAGTGGTCTGCCCAGTGTGTGGGGCGATGTCTAGGTGTTTCCGTGGAGAGTCCAAACCAGGTGCCCGCACTGCACATTCCCCCTGAGTATGAGGATTTGGCAATCGTGTTCAGTAAATCGAGGGCGACGCAGTTGCAGGAGTTCGCCCTGGAGCTCCTCATAGGCAGGGAGATTGTGCGATAGACCTCCAGGCAGGAGCAGCGCTTCCACGGAGCCATGTGTATCCTCTGTCTCAAGAGGAGAAGAGAGCTATGGAGACTTACATAGCCGAATCTCTGAGACAAGGATACATACGGCCATCCACTTCCCCTGCGTCCTCAAGCTTCTTTTTTGTGAAGAAGAAGGATGGAGGTTTGCGCCCGTGCATTGATTACCGTAGTCTCAATCAGATCACGGTGAAATACAGTTATCCACTCCCGCTGATTGCGACTATGACGGAGTCATTGCACGGGGCGCGTTTCTTCACAAAACTAGATCTCAGGAGCGCATACAACTTGGTGCGCATTAGAGGGGGCGATGAATGGAAGACAGCATTTAGTACCACCTCAGGTCATTACGAGTATCTCGTCATGCCATACGGGTTGATGAACGCTCCTTCAGTCTTCCAATCCGTCGTAGATGAGATCTTCAGGGACATGCAGGGGCAGGGTGTGGTCGTGTACATTGATGACATTCTTGTGTACTCTTCTACCCGAGCCGAGCATGTAGCCCTGGTGCGCCGAGTGTTGAGGAGGCTGTTGGAGCACGACCTGTATGTCAAGGCAGAGAAATGTCTGTTTTTCCAGGAGTCGATCTCCTTTTTGGGTTATCAGTTGTCTGCGTCAGGGGTGAAGATGGAGGTTGACCGAGTGTCAGCCGTGCGTAATTGGCAAACTCCAACCACTGTTAAAGAGGGGCAGCAGTTTTTGGGGTTTGCAAATTACTACCGGAGGTTTATCCGGGGTTTTGGACAGGTGGCAGCTCCCATAACGTCTCTGTTGAAGGGGGGTCCGGTGCGTTTGCAGTGGTCAGCCGAGGCGTACAGGGCTTTTGGGAGACTGAAGGACCTGTTTACTTCGGCTCCGGTGCTGGCGCATCCGGATCCCGCTTTACCATTTCAGGTAGAGGTTGACGCGTCAGAGGCCGGTATTGGGGCCGTACTTTCGCAACGGTCCGGCACGCCACCTAAACTCCGCCCCTGTGCTTTTTACTCCAAAAAGCTCAGCCCGGCGGAGCGAAATTATGACGTAGGGCACAGGGAGCTGTTAGCCGTGGTACAGGCCCTAAAGGTGTGGAGGCATTGGCTTGAGGGGGCTCAACACCCTTTTCTCATTTTGACTGACCACCGTAACCTGGAGTACATCCGGGCAGCTAGGAGATTGAACCCTCGCCAGGCGCGGTGGAACATGTTTTTAGCCCGGTTCGTATTTAAGATCACGTACATCCCTGGGTCCCAGAACGGTAAGGCAGACGCACTGTCTCGGCGGTATGACACGGAGGAGAGGTCCGTTGAGCCCACTCCCATACTGCCGGAGTCTTGTCTGGTGGCACCGGTAGTGTGGGAGGTCGATGCTGAAATCGAGCGGGCGTTGCGTACCGACCCTAGTCCTCCACAGTGCCCGGTGGGTCGGACGTACGTTCCGCTCGAGGTTCGGGATCGACTGATATATTGGGCTCACACGTCACCCTCCACTGGACATCCTGGTATTGGCTGGACTGTGCACTGCCTTAGCGCTAAGTACTGGTGGCCAACGTTAGCCAGGGATGTGAGGGTTTATGTCTCCTCCTGCTCGGTGTGCGCCCAGTGTAAGGCGCCTAGACACCTGCCCAGGGGAAAGTTACAACCCCTGCCCGTTCCACAACGACCATGGTCTCACCTCTCGGTGGATTTCGTCACAGACCTTCCCCCCTCACAGGGGAGTACTACTATACTGGTCGTTGTGGATCGGTTCTCTAAGGCCTCTCGTCTGCTCCCAATGCCGGGTCTTCCTACTGCCCTACAGACCGCCGAAGCACTATTCACCCACGTGTTCCGGCACTACGGGGTACCCGAGGATATAGTGTCTGATCGAGGTCCCCAGTTTACCTCCAGAGTCTGGAGGGCGTTTATGGAGCGTTTGGGGGTCTCAGTGAGCCTGACCTCGGGTTACCACCCGGAGAGTAATGGGCAGGTGGAACGTGTGAACCAGGATGTGGGTAGGTTTCTTAGATCGTATTGCCAGGGCCGGCCGGAGGAGTGGGCGAGGTATGTCCCCTGGGCAGAGATGGCCCAGAACTCTCTCCGCCACTCCTCAACCAATCTAACCCCTTTCCAATGTGTGTTAGGTTACCAGCCGGTTCTGGCACCGTGGCAGCAGAGCCAGATCGAGGCTCCTGCGGTGGATGAGTGGGTGCGGCGCTCGGAGGAGACGTGGAACGCTGCACACGTCCACTTGCAGCGGGCCATCCGTCGTCAGAAAGCGAGCGCCGATCTCCACCGCAGTGAGGGGCCGGTGTACGCACCTGGTGATCGAGTCTGGCTCTCTACCAGAAACCTACCCCTCTGCCTGCCCTGCCGGAAACTGGGTCGGCGGTTTGTGGGGCCTTTTAAAGTCCTGAGAAGATTGAACGAGGTGTGTTACAGGTTACAACTGCCTATTGATTATAAGAATATTAACCCCTCGTTCCATGTGTCTCTTCTCAGGCCGGTGGTAGCTGGTCCACTCCAGGACGATGAGATAAGAGAGACTCCTCCGCCCCCACTGGACATCGAGGTGGCTCCGGCGTACACAGTTCGGTCCATCTTGGATTCGAGACGTCGGATGGGGGGTCTCCAATATCTCGTGGAGTGGGAGGGGTACGGTCCGGAGGAACGGTGCTGGGTGCCGAGGAGAGACATCCTAGACCCGTCTCTCCTGACGGAGTTCCACCGTGGACACCCTACGCGCCCTGCTCCGCGTCCTCCTGGTCGTCCCCGAGGCCGGGGTCGGCGCACGGCTGGAGCCGCGCGTCAAGGAGGGGGTACTGTCACGGTTTCGGCCGAGGCTGCCCCTCCTCCTTATTCGGGCAGGCTTCGGCGGTCGTCGTCCCTGGAGTACTAGCTATCACCGTTTGATGTTTTCGATGTCTGTTTGGTTTTGTCTGATTGTGTACACCTGTTTCCTGTTTGGTTGATTATGTCTCCTATAAGTTTCTCGTTTGGTTAGTCTTGTGTTGTGTGTTATTGTCCGCCTGTCCGTAGGAGCTGCGAGTTTCTGCTCTGTTTATTTGTTTTGGTGTTTTTACGCACAGTTTGCGTAATCGCTCGCCTCTGTTTGTTCGAGGCCCGTATTTTGTATTTTGTCACTTTATGACAAGTAAAGTCTGTTGGACTAAGCCTCTGTGTCCTGCGCCTGACTCCTACACCACATCCACATCAGCACCTGACACCAAATTTCAGTTTATGTGTCAAAACAAGCAAAAGAGAATAGAGCAGTAGAGTGTAGAAAATCATTGTACCATCTAAACCGCTGTGAAATATATTTTCAATAACCAACAATATTGTATTTTCAGCTGATTGAAGCTGGTGTACAAAGCCAAAACTAAAAGATGCAAAAACGTAACTTAAGAACAGGAAGCATAGAAATAGCGCACATAGAACATATGTACAGCTTCTTAGACTTGCTTTCAATGAGAATGACAGATCTATAGCACACATTTCTATGTGAATCTGGTCGGGTTGCCCAAAAAGTTACATATTGCAGCTTTAAGGTAATAAGCAGAATCTACCACACTCCCAAAACTGGTTTGTGAAGATGCTGATGGGATAATGCTAAACTGGATCAACAGGAAAAAGTGTCTGCATGCTTCCATTCAGATACACATTTATTTGAAGTTCCCTAAAGGCACTCAACAGAAACCCGAAGCCTGACACTCTTGCTTGGTGATGTTATAGTGGTGGGCTGACGCACGGGAGCCTGAATAAAGTTGTAAATGCCTTTGCATCATGATGATGTGGCAAGTGACAATACATCTTGAAAGCTTGATTGCTGAAATGCTAAACATTTTGGGACTGTATCAACAGTGGACTAATTAAAAAAAATGAGTATAGTTTAATATAGTTTTTGAGTGGATTATTCCTTTAAGAGCTGTGCCTGCCTGTGAGTGTGAGCTATGGCTGGCCCAGTCAGTATGCGTAACCGTCGATAACCGGGGCTGTGCCCTGCCAGCAATTTGACCTAGCTCTTGCAACACTACTGAATTTGCTTCTCCCCTCCGGCTCACCAGTCACTGAGCGTTAACACATGGGAAGGAGTGGCATCCTGTCTCTCCAAGGTGACACAGCTGATTTTACCTCCAGGAGCAACGTTGACTTCTCAGCCGTCCTGGTATGGTTTGTCTTGTTTTATTGTATGGGGAGGGGAGGGGAGGGGAGGGGAGGGGAGGGGAGGGGGGGGGGGGGGGGGGGGTGTTATGAGTTGGTCAGGAAAGGTTTGGGGAATGTTAGTGGGATAAATTGGGCATGTTAGTGAATGAAGCACATTGTGGTCTTTTCATGGTCTTGAGAAGAAGTGGGCTTTGGCTGGTACAGTGCATTCGGAAAGTATTCAGATCCCTTGACTTTAACATTGCGCACCGCACGGGTCCTATCCTGAACGGATCTCGGTGTATGATTGTACGAATCCACAGTTTTTGAATTCAAATGGCAAATTGTTCACCTCGCATCGAAATCGTGGGCTCTGACCTATGCGAAGAAGAGGATCAGCATCTAACCAGAAATATGTTTTATTGTCAAATGCTTCGTAAAAAACAAAAGGTGTAGACTAACAGTGAAAGGCTTACTTTCTGACCCTTCCCAACAATCGAGAATAAAGAAATAGTAACATGAGGAATAAATACACAATCAGCAATGATGGCTTGGCTATGTACAGTACTGGGTACCAGTACTGAGTCGATGTGCAGGGGTATGAGGAAATTGAGGTAGGTTTGTACATATACAGTGCATTTGGAAAGTATTCAGACCTCTTGACTTTTTCCACATTTTGTTACGTTACAGCCTTATTCTAAAATGTATTAAATTGTTTTTTTCCCTCATCAATCTACACACAATACCCCATAATGACAAAGCAAAAACAGGTTTTTAGAAATGTTTGCAAATGTATTAAAAATATAAAACTGAAATATTACATTTACATAAGTATTCAGACCCTTTCCTCAGTACATTGTTGAAGCACCTTTGGTAGCGTTTACAGCCTTGAGTCTTCTTGAGTATGACGCTACAAGCTTGGCATTCCTGTATTTGGAGAGTTTCTCCCATTGTTCTCTGCAGATCCTCTCGAGCTCTGTCAGGTTGGATGGGGAGCGTTGCAGCAAAGCTATTTTCAGGTCTCTCCAGAGATGTTTGATCGGGTTCAAGTCCAGGCTCTGCCTGGGCCACTCAAGGACATTCAGAGATTTATCCCAAAGCCACTCCTGCGTTGTATTGGCTGTGTGCATAGGGTCGTTGTCCTGTTGGAAGGTGAACCTTCGCCCCAGTCTGAGGTCCTGAGCGCTCTGGAGCAGGTTTTCATCAAGGATCTCTCTGTACTTTGCTCCGTTCAGGGATGGTGCCAGGTTTCCTTGAGACGTGATGCTAGGCATTCAGGCAAAAGAGTTCAATCTTGGTTTCATCAGACCAGAGGATCTTGTTTCTTATGGTCTGAGAGTCTTTAGGTGCCTTTTGGCAAACCAAGCGGTCTGTCATGTGCCTTTTATTGAGGATTGGCTTCCGTGTGGCCATTCTACCATAAAGGCCTGATTGTTGGAGTGCTACAGAGATGGTTGTCCTTCTGGAAGGTTCTCCCATCTCCACAAAGCAACTCTAGAGCTCTGTCAGAGTGACCATCGGGTTCTTGGTCACCTCCCTGACCAAGGCCCTTCTCCCCCGATTGCTCAGTTTGGGCGGGCGGCCAGCTCTAGGAAGAGTCTTGGTGGTTCCAAACTTCTTCCATTTAAGAATGATGGAGTCCACTGTGTTCTTGGGGACCTTCAATACTGCAGAAAACATTTGGTACCCTTCCCCAGATCTGTGCCTCGACACAATCCTGTCTCTGAGCTCTGGCTTGGTTTTTGCTCTGACATGCACTACCACAGGTGGACTCCAATCAAGTTGTAGAAACATCTCAAGGATGATCAATGGAAACAGGATGCACCTGAGCTCAATTTTGAGTCTCATAGCAAATGGTCTGAATACTTATGTAAATAAGGTATTTCTTTTTTCTTTTTCTTTTTTTAATTAGCTACAATTTCTAAAAACCTGTTTCGCATTGTCATTATGGGGTATTGTGTGTAGATTGCTGAGGATATCTTTTTTTTAAATCCATTTTAGAATAAGGCTGTAACGTAACAAAATGTAGAAAAAGTCATGGGGTCTGAATACTTTCTGAAGGCACTGTATGTGTGCATGAGGTTCAGTAAAGGCATGGTAAGTAATATTAAGCTTTATATTTCAGACAGGCTAGTCAGGTCATCTTGGTTGTCTTATCTGTATTTTGGCATTGTCAGTGTATTTGTATTAGTAGCAGTAGTGGTGTGTGGGTAGAATCACTGGGGAAGCAAAGCCAGGAAAAAAAGCCATATTATAACATACACTATATATACAAAAGTATGTCGACACCTTTTGAAGGAAGGAAAATTATGACCACACAGAGACACTAAAGATACATTATTTTATATTTTTTCTTTTTTTCTTGGTCAAATTTTTGGGGAAGCCTGGCTTCCCTTGGCTTCCATGTAGTATGGTGGTATACACACATCAATAAAAACACTTTAAAAAATCTAATCAATAAAAACACTTGGCAGGCTGATTATTTCAGATGCTGGATTAGAAAGGATGATGTAGGATAATGTAGAAATCTAACTTCTGCCTCTCACTAGTTACTAGTTGTGTGATGTGATTGTTCTGAATGATGTCTATTGTTCTGAATTACTGTTTTTCAGACGAGACTGATTGTTATGATATGTACATTGCCATTAATGCCGGTATTTCAAATTAACATTTAGTCTGTCCTGGTCCGAGATCTGATTGTACTTTTGCCTAATCCTTTTTTTATTGTCAAGCCAAATGTTTTGCACTATAATTCCATAAGGAGTTGGCAAGAGAGCAGAAACACCAGATTGCACCCAGGCTAGTCTCTGTTCTATTTCTGATATCAAACTGTTTTTGGCATTCATCATTTGTATTGCCTTTCTTGTGTTCCAGGAGTGTGGGTTAGATTGCTGCATGCTGAATGTATGTGTGAATAACTATGTAAGGCCTGAATACAATTGATTGTTAATCATCCCAAATCGCAGTGGGGCCATACTTGCGAACAAAACTTTAAGTTTTGGTCACACTTTATTTGGATAGTCCCAAATAGATGCTCTACAGATGGTCATGCTATCAACAAACTATCTGTTAGAATAAGGGTTAGGGTAAGCGTTAAAGTGGCACTCCAGACTCATAGCAGCGTAGATCAGCTCCTGGCCCCTCGTCAAATATACTGGTCGGTCACACACAAACACACACACAGAGCTGTCACGGTTCAGACAGACGACCAGAGGACCACAATTGCGTCACACCAGAAAGTTTATTAAAACTTAAGGGAAAAGGGAAGTAGGGAGTGAGTGAAGGCTCCAGGGGTAACAGGGATCCCGTCCAATGTGCTGGGTCTGTGCCCCCCCCAGTGGCAGCGATGCGTCCTATGACGCCGGTGGTGGGTGGTCCAGAAGTCCTGGGGGGGGAAACACAGACAACGGGGCGGATGAAACAAGGCAGCAGTACAGTTCAAGGGAAATCCAAAAACGTTGTAGCAAGGCAGAAGGCTGGTCAGAGTTACCGGGATTGAAGAGTAGTCAGGAGTCGTTATAGCAGAAAGCAGGTCTGGTTTTCCTGGGGCAGAAGAGTATCCAAGAATCAGGCAGGTCCGGGGTCACAAAACAAGGGTGAGCCAGAAGCGTGAGCAAACAGGTTCCGGGTGTGAGCTTTGCAGACGATCTGACAAAGGAGAGCTGAAAGACAGGGCTTTAAATACTGGGAGAGGTTAGTGGGTAATGCAGCGCAGCTGGCAGAGTAATTAGAGCAGAGCAGAGCAGGGACAGGTGGAGCTAGTTAGGCTGAGGTAGAGAGAGTGGTGAGCAGAGTGGAAGATAGTGGAAACAAATTAAGGTGGTAACCCGGTGGAGTGAGAGGGCTCATGACAGAACCCCCCCCCCAAGGGACGGCCCCAGAAGTCCCAAGAGCAACACCACGCCGGGCGGGAGGAGGGGAGCCGGAGGAGGGCTAGAACTCCTCCGAACGGTCCGAGTGAACGTCCTCATCCTCGGAGGAAGCCGGAGGGCCGTGGTCGGGAGATGGGACAGGTCCCGAGACAGGATCAGGCACAGGACAGGAAGCCGAGCGGGCAGGACGGTTAGGGACCCCTCTGGGGCGGCCCCTACGGATTGCAGGTTGATCAGGATGCCGTTGGTGGAAGGCGGTGATGAGAGTCCTATCCACAATCCGACTAGCTGGCACCCAGGTCCTTTCCTCAGGTCCATAACCCTCCCAGTCAATGAGGTACTGGAGACCCCTACCCCTCCGTCTGGACCGAAGCAGGCGGCGGACGGTGTAAACCAGATCACCATCGACGAGCCGTGGAGGAGGAGGACAAGGCGCAGCAGGGACCAGCGGACTCTCATGAATGGGCTTAATCTTAGACACATGGAAAGTGGGGTGCACCCTCATGGAATTAGGCAGTTGGAGCCGGACAGCAGTTGGGCTAATCACTCTTATAATAGGGAATGGGCCAATGAACCGAGGTGCCAGCTTTTGCGACTCCACCCTGAGTGGCAGGTTCTTCGATGACAACCACACCCTTTGACCAACATGGTAGGTGGGAGCAGGAATTCTCCGACGGTTGGCCCCGGTAGTGTAGCTGGCAACGGATCTGAGGAGTGTGGCTCGGGCTTGTGACCAGGTGCGGCGACATCGACGGGCAAAAGCAAGTGCAGATGGGCAAGTAACCTCCCCTTCCTGGCTGGCAAATAGAGGAGGCTGGTATCCATAAACACATTGGAAAGGGGACATACCGATGGCAGAGCAGGTCAGAGAATTGTGTGCGTACTCCACCCATGTCAATTGCTGCGACCAGGAGTGGGGGTTGCGTGAAGTCATGCATCGCAGTGCCTTCTCGAGCTCCTGATTTGCCCGCTCTGACTGCCCATTGGATTGGGGATGGAATCCGGAAGTCAGACTGACTGTGGCTCCCAGCAGGTGACAGAACTCCTTCCAAAAAGCGGAGGAGAATTGTGGACCACGGTCAGAAACTACATCCTTTGGCAGTCCGTGGATCCGGAAGACGTGTTCCAGGACCACCTGGGCGGTCTCCTTGGCGGTTGGGAGCTTGGGGAGGGGAATGAAGTGTGCCATCTTGCTGAATCGGTCAACTATGGTGAGAATGACGGTCATGCCACTTGAAGGGGGCAGCCCCGTGACAAAGTCAAGGGCGATGTGAGACCAGGGACGTCTGGGCACAGGCAGGGGCTGCAGCAATCCGGCTGGGGGCTGGCAGGACGACTTGTGTTGGTTGCAGATGGGGCAGGCTTGGACGAATTCCCGTACATCCTTTCTCAGAGAGGGCCACCAGAACCTCTGGGCGAGCAGGTTGTAAGTGCGGGTGGAGCCAGGGTGACAAGCTAGGCGGGAGTCATGTCCCCACTGAACGACCTGGGACCTCAGGTTTTCGGGGACAAAAAGGCGGTCAGCTGGGCAAGTGCTGGGACCTGGCTGGTTACGGAGAGCTTCCAGCACCTGTTCCTCAACATCCCAGGTCAGAGCTGCTACGATGCAGGGACTTGGCAGAATCGACACAGGATCCTTGGAGGGGCTGTCATCCTTCTGGAATTGACGGGAGAGGGCGTCTGGCTTGGTGTTGCGTGATCCAGGCCGGTATGACAGAGTGAAATTAAACCTGGTGAAGAACAGGGCCCAGCGGGACTGCCTGGAGTTCAACCGTTTGGCCGTGCGGATGTACTCCAAGTTCTTATGATCGGTCCAAACGAGAAATGGAATGGTGGACCCCTCCAGCCAGTGACGCCACTCCTCCAAGGCAAGCTTCACAGCCAGCAGCTCTCGGTTCCCTATGTCGTAATTGCACTCAGAGGGGGACAACCGACGTGAGAAAAAGGCACAGGGATGGAGCTTCCTATCCTCCGCAGCCCACTGAGAAATCACAGCACCAACTCCCACATCCGAGGCGTCCACCTCCACAATGAATTGCCGGTCCACATCAGGCATCTGGAGGATGGGAGCGGAGGTGAACCTTACCTTGAGGGTACTGAAGGCTTTGTCGGCTGCTGGGGTCCAGGTGAAGGGTTGCTTGGTGCTGGTTAGAGCAGTGAGAGGGGCAGCAACGGTACTGTAGTTCCGGATAAACTTTCTATAGAAGTTAGCAAACCCCAGAAACTGTTGCAGCTTCTTTCTGTTCTCCGGAACTGGCCATGAAGTGACTGCTGATACTTTGGCAGGATCCATTTGGATACTTCCCTCTGCCACTATGTACCCCAGGAAGGCCACTGTCTTGACGTGAAACTCACATTTCTCTGCCTTGGCGTAGAGGGAATTCTCCAGAAGACGATGAAGGACTTGCTGGACATGGCGGGTGTGTTCAGACAGGTTTCTGGAGTAGATTAAGATGTCATCCAGGTAAACGAAGACAAACTTGTTTAACATGTCCCGCAGTACATCATTCACTAGAGCCTGGAACACAGCAGGAGCATTGGTGAGGCCAAAAGGCATAACCAGATACTCGTAGTGGCCTGTTGGTGTATTGAATGCGGTTTTCCATTCATCTCCCTCCCGGATCCGCACTAGGTGGTAAGCGTTTCTGAGATCCAACTTGGTAAAAACAGTGGCTCCCTGGAGCAACTCAAAAGCAGAGGTGAGCAGAGGCAGAGGGTAACGGTTTTTCACTGTGATGTCGTTGAGTCCCCTGTAGTCGATGCAGGGGCGAAGAGATCCGTCCCTCTTCCCCACAAAGAAGAAGCCAGCACCAGCAGGAGATGAAGATGAACGGATTAATCCTGCGGACAGAGAGTCATTGATGTAGTCCTCCATGGACTTTCTTTCAGGAGCAGACAACGAATAAAGACGGCCCTTTGGAGGGGCTGTTCCAGGGAGGAGGTCGATGGCACAGTCGTACGGTCGGTGAGGGGGCAGAGATGTGGCTCTAGCTTTGTTAAACACTTCTCTGAGACCATGGTAGCATTCTGGGACATTGGAGAGGTCAGGAGCGGAGTTAGTAGGTACTGGCCGAGGGGGTAGTGCGGCAGCAAGCAGGCAGGTTCGGTGGCAGTCCTCTCCCCACTCCCTGATCACCCCGGTCACCCAGTCGAGCTGAGGGTTGTGCCGGCGGAGCCATGGGTAACCCAGGATGAGGGGTTGGCCTGGAGAGGGGAGCAGGTGAAACTGGATAGTTTCTTGATGGTTTCCGGACAGACCCATCGAGACCGGGGCCGTGACATGAGTGACCGACCCGAGTAAGTGTCCGTCCAGTGCCCGGGCAGGAATAGGAGGTGTCAAACGGAGGTTCTCCAGTCCCAGTTGGCGTGCCAGCTTGATGTCCATTATGTTGGCTTCGGCGCCAGAATCCACCAGAGCAGCCAGGGTGTGAGTTGAGTCAGAGAGGCGGAGGTGAACTTGCAGCAGGGGTTTGCGGTCGGAGGACTGGATGGTCATTGAGCTCAACCGGACTCCCCCTATGCCCGGTGAGCTTCGGCTTTTAAAGGGCAGGTTACCACACGATGTCCATCACCTCCACAATAGAGGCAGAGGTTTGAGGTGAAGCGGCGCTGGCGCTCTGCAGGAGTGAGAGAGGCTCGCCCAATCTCCATAGGCTCAGACTGATCAAGCTGACTTGGGTGAGTGGCAGTAGATGACAGGAGCCCAGTCGGATCTCTCCGAATGCCGGTAGTTGGTGGACCTTGGCGCCCCCTCTCACGACGACGGGTCTGTATCCTTCTGTCGATCCGGACAGTCAGTGCGATGGCTTCATCAAGAGTGGAAGGCAGTTCATGGGAGACCAACTCGTCCTTGATATAGTCAGCCAAGCTATGGAAGAACGCGTCCACCAACGATGGTGTGTTCCAAGAACTTCGTCTTGCCAGGGTTCGGAAGTCGATGGAATGGTCTGCGACTGTTCGTCTGCCTTGTCGAATACTGAACAGTTCACGAGACGCCTCTGCGGTTGGTGAATCCAGGTCAAACACCTTCAGCATCTCCTCAGCAAACAGGTCGAAGGTTGCACATGCGGGGGTTTGACGTTCGAACTCTGCTGTTCCCCAGAGTCGAGCTCGGCCCGTCAGGTGAGTGATGGCATACCCAACTTTAGCCCCCTCCGTGGCGAAGGTCCTTGGCTGCAAGGAGAACTGAAGTCGGCAGCTAGTCAGGAATGGCCGGACCTGGGTAGAATCGCCGTTGAACCGCTCGGGGTTTCCAATCTTGGGTTCCGGAGCAGCGGCTGCAATGACCGGGGCAGGTAACTCGGAGGCAGGGCTGGTGGGCAGACTGCCTGGAACCGGGCCGGTGGGCGGAGTGGCTGGGGTAAGGTTGGTGAGGAGTTGGATGATCATGGCGAGTTGTTGTTGCTGCTGCTGGAACTGCTGCTGGTGCTGCTGGAACTGCTGATGCTGTTGGTGGCCGACCTGAAGCAGAGAGGTGATGTCGCCGCTCATGCGGGCTAGCCCTCTCTCAGTGTGTTCCAGGCGTAGCATGGCAGTGGGTTGCTCAGGTTCGTCGGTTTCCATGTCGGGGGAAGTGTGCGCTGAGTCCATGATGGTCAGATCGTACTGTCACGGTTCAGACAGACGACCAGAGGACCACAATTGCGTCACACCAGAAAGTTTATTAAAACTTAAGGGAAAAGGGAAGTAGGGAGTGAGTGAAGGCTCCAGGGGTAACAGGGATCCCGTCCAATGTGCTGGGTCTGTGCCCCCCCCAGTGGCAGCGATGCGTCCTATGACGCCGGTGGTGGGTGGTCCAGAAGTCCTGGGGGGGGAAACACAGACACAACGGGGCGGATGAAACAAGGCAGCAGTACAGTTCAAGGGAAATCCAAAAACGTTGTAGCAAGGCAGAAGGCTGGTCAGAGTTACCGGGATTGAAGAGTAGTCAGGAGTCGTTATAGCAGAAAGCAGGTCTGGTTTTCCTGGGGCAGAAGAGTATCCAAGAATCAGGCAGGTCCGGGGTCACAAAACAAGGGTGAGCCAGAAGCGTGAGCAAACAGGTTCCGGGTGTGAGCTTTGCAGACGATCTGACAAAGGAGAGCTGAAAGACAGGGCTTTAAATACTGGGAGAGGTTAGTGGGTAATGCAGCGCAGCTGGCAGAGTAATTAGAGCAGAGCAGAGCAGGGACAGGTGGAGCTAGTTAGGCTGAGTAGAGAGAGTGGTGAGCAGAGTGGAAGATAGTGGAAACAAATTAAGGTGGTAACCCGGTGGAGTGAGAGGGCTCATGACACAGAGCACTGATTACATTATCAATGGTGGTTGTGATTAGCCTGGTGGAACCAACCTGATCGAGGCATTCACCTTTCTATTTCACTTCAGATATCATAAAATGTGAAGTGAAATAGAATGGTGAACATAGCGATCAGGCTGGTTCGACCAGGCAAGGTTATGCCCTGGACATTATATGCATCTAAGAAGTAGAAATAATCAACAAATAATGTCAGTTTACATAAATTATGTTTCACTATTGGGTTCTCAATTGTATCAAAGTAATGATGTGGATTACCTTCTGTATTTGTACAAATGATGAGCCTGTGAAAGCTGTTGCCACTGACAGCTGAAGGTTGCTGGCCGAATACTTGCCAACATGTGGCTGACTGTTCCATTCATAGGAATGCTCACAGCGAAGGGCATGTCTGCATGATGCTGATGAGGGCCCCCTTACTGGTCTTCTTTATGTTGCATGTTCGGCTGGAAACTGGGCATTTCTCCAACAACTGCAGCAATCTTATTGCTAATGCACTTCACAACCAAAATGACTCTACTAGTTGTATCTGCTTGGCTGGGGAATTACCTACTAGTTTATCAAGCCGGGTATTTTTTAATACAACATTTCACATTTCACATAACACACATTACCTGTCGTTGTTGATGAAGCCGTCTGTGTCATCAGGGCAGTAACTAGGGTCACTATCAGAGGCCTCATAATGGCATGTCCATTTCATAGGAGTCGAGGGAGACACTGCCAACAACACAGGTGTCTTGCCTGACAAGCTGTGAAAATAGCAAGTGAACAGTGAATTAAATAATTTTTGGAGGTGGCTAAACCATTGTAATCACATTGCAGGACATATTATGATACCCACCATTGCTCCTTCTGGTAGGTCCCGGCATCCGTTCATGACCAGGGAATCAGTCTAGCACCCAACTGTGCACTTTGTCTAACAGAAAAACAGACTCATCATCCCTTAATTATAAACATAATGTAGCTTGAGAAATAACATAATCTTGTTTGGGTGATAATTCTATGCTTTAGAGATGTAGACTGACAGGCTCCAGATTGGATTCAGGCCGGTGACGCCATTACACTATGTAACCAACTGTGACATGTTTGCTATGGCCCTGAGTAGGTTTGGGTTTGTTGCTGCTAGGTAGTACACTGTTGTAGTCAGACATAAGTTAGCTAGTACCACCATGGCTGCATCCAGTATTTATTTGTGCCCTGGACATGGGTTGCACCTCAGGGGTGAATCTGACTGTTTCATCCCCAAAAAATAAATAATAATACAAATGTTTTATTGTCACATACATAAGATAGGTGCAGTGAAATGTGTTGTTTTACAGGGTCAGCTATAGTAGTAGAGCCCCTTGAAGTAAATGATTGTTAAGTGCCTTGCTCAAGGGCACATTGACAGATTTTTCACCTTGTCGGGTATTTGAACCGGCGACCTTTGGGTTACTGGCCCAACACTCTAACCCAGAGGTGTCAAACATACAGCCAGGGGTTCCAATCCTGTAAAAAGAACATTAAATAATAATAATACAACAAATTGTGAAGGGAAATGAACACAATATACACTGCTCAAAAAAATAAAGGGAACACTTAAACAACACAATGTAACTCCAAGTCAATCACACTTCTGTGAAATCAAACTGTCCACTTAGGAAGCAACACTGATTGACAATAAATTTCACATGCTGTTGTGCAAATGGAATAGACAACAGGTGGAAATTATAGGCAATTAGCAAGACACCCCCAATAAAGGAGTGGTTCTGCAGGTGGTGACCACAGACCACTTCTCAGTTCCTATGCTTCCTGGCTGATGTTTTGGTCACTTTTGAATGCTGGCGGTGCTTTCACTCTAGTGGTAGCATGAAATGGAGTCTACAACCCACACAAGTGGCTCAGGTAGTGCAGCTCATCCAGGATGGCACATCAAAGCGAGCTGTGGCAAGAAGGTTTGCTGTGTCTGTCAGCGTAGTGTCCAGAGCATGGAGGCGCTACCAGGAGACAGGCCAGTACATCAGGAGACGTGGAGGAGGCCGTAGGAGGGCAACAACCCAGCAGCAGGACCGCTACCTCCGCCTTTGTGCAAGGAGGAGCAGGAGGAGCACTACCAGAGCCATGCAAAATGACCTCCTGCAGGCCACAAATGTGCATGTGTCTGCTCAAACGGTCAGAAAAAGACTCCATGAGGGTGGTATGAGGGCCCGACGTCCACAGGTGGGGGTTGTGCTTACAGCCCAACACCGTGCAGGACGTTTGGCATTTGCCAGAGAACACCAAGATTGGTAAATTCGCCACTGGCGCCCTGTGCTCTTCACAGATGAAAGCAGGTTCACACTGAGCACATGTGACAGACGTAAACAGAGTCTGGAGACGCCGTGGAGAACATTCTGCTGCCTGCAACATCCTCCAGCATGACCGGTTTGGCGGTGGGTCAGTCATGGTGTGGGGTGGCATTTCTTTGGGGGGCCGCACAGCCCTCCATGTGCTCGCCAGAGGTAGCCTGACTGCCATAAGGTACCGAGATGAGATCCTCAGACCCCTTGTGAGACCATATGCTGGTGCGGTTGGCCCTGGGTTCCTTCTAATGCAAGACAATACTAGACCTCATGTGGCTGGAGTGTGTCAGCAGTTCCTGCAAGAGGAAGGCATTGATGCTATGGACTGGCCCGCCCGTTCCCCAGACCTGAATCCAATTGAGCACATCTGGGGCATCATGTCTCGCTCCATCCACCAACGCCACGTTGCACCACAGACTGTCCAGGAGTTGGCGGATGCTTTAGTCCAGGTCTGGGAGGAGATCCCTCAGGAGACCATCCGCCACCTCATCAGGAGCATGCCCAGGCGTTGTAGGGAGGTCATACAGGCACGTGGAGGCCACACACACTACTGAGCCTAATTTTGACTTGTTTTAAGGACATTACATCAAAGTTGGATCAGCCTGTAGTGTGGTTTTCCACTTTAATTTTGAGTGTGACTCCAAATCCAGACCTCCATGGGTTGATACATTTGATTTTCATTGATAATTTTTTTGTGATTTTGTTGTCAGCACATTCAACTATGTAAAGAAAAAAGTATTTAATAAGATTATTTCATTCATTCAGATCTAGGATGTGTTATTTTAGTGTTCCCTTTATTTTTTTGAGCAGTGTACTTTAAAATTACTAAAACCAAATCAAAACTGTGTAGAAATGATAATGGACATATATTCATACAGTTTCTTGACTGTCCTGCTCGCTAATACTCAGTAGACAGTCAGGGAGCGTAGAAAACGCAAAAAATTAAGTGAAAATGTTGCTAGGAAATATTTAAAAAATTCAGTGCGGCCCTCCGGACCTCGTTGAAGACCGAATGCGGCCCCCGGGGCAAATGGGGTTCGACACCCCTGTTCTAATCACTAGGCTACCTTATAACTTATAGTGTCATGGAAATACGATGACATCGCTAAAGTAGGCAAAACATTAGTAGGAAACAACTTTGCCATATTACTTTGTTGTCAAATTGACTTTAGAGAGAGTCAATCTGGCGACATCACAATCATGACAAAATGTTTTCCTACTAATTATTTGCCTTCTTCTTTTGAAATGTTATTGTGTCATCCAAGGCAAATCCGAGTTGTATTGAGGTAGGCTAACGTTAGCCAGCTATGCTAGCGATGATATTGATAATGATTATCAAAATATACATAGCCAGATACATACAGTGAGGGAAAAAAGTATTTGATCCCCTGCTGATTTTGTATGTTTGTCCACTGACAAAAACATGATCAGTCTATAATTTTAATGGTAGGTTTATTTGAATAGTGAGGGACAGAATAACAACAAAAAAATCCAGAAAAAAACGCATGTCAAAAATGTTATAAATTGATTTGCATTTTAATGAGGGAAATAAGTATTTGACCCCACTGCAAAACATGATTTAGTACTTGGTTGCAAAACCCTTGTTGGCAATCACAGAGGTCAGACGTTTCTTGTAGTTGGCCACCAGGTTTGCACACATCTCAGGAGTGATTTTGTCCCACTCCTCTTTGCAGATCTTCTCCAAGTCATTAAGGTTTCGAGGCTGACATTTGGCAATTCGAACCTTCAGCTCCCTCCACAGATTTTCTATGGGATTAAGGTCTGGAGACTGGCTAGGACACTCCAGGACCTTAATGTTCTTCTTCTTGAGCCACTCCTTTGTTGCCTTGGCCGTGTGTTTTGGGTCATTGTCATGCTGGAATACCCATCCACGACCCATTTTCAATGCCCTGGCTGAGGGAAGGAGATTCTCACCCAAGATTTGACGGTACATGGCCCCGTCCATCGTCCCTTTGATGCGGTGAAGTTGTCCTGTCCCCTTAGCAGGAAAACACCCCCAAAGCATAATGTTTCCACCTCCATGTTTGACGGTGGGGATGGTGTTCTTGGGGTCATAGGCAGCATTCCTCCTCCTCCAAACACGGCGAGTTGAGTTGATGCCAAAGAGCTCGATTTTGGTCTCATCTGACCACAACACTTTCACCCAGTTCTCCTCTGAATCATTCAGATGTTCATTGGCAAACTTCAGACGGGCCTGTATATGTGCTTTCTTGAGCAGGGGGACCTTGCGGGTGCTGCAGGATTTGTTTTCTTGGTGACTATGGTCCCAGCTGCCTTGAGATCATTGACAAGATCCTCCCGTGTAGTTCTGGGCTGATTCCTCACCGTTCTCATGATCATTGCAACTCCACGAGGTGAGAACTTGCATGGAGCCCCAGGCCGAGGGAGATTGACAGTCTTTTATGTTTCTTCCATTTGCGAATAATCGCACCAACTGTTGTCACCTTCTCACCAAGCTGCTTGGCGATGGTCTTGTAGCCCATTCCAGCCTTGTGTAGGTCTACAATCTTGTCCCTGACATCCTTGGAGAGCTCTTTGGTCTTGGCCATGGTGGAGAGTTTGGAATCTGATTGTTTGATTGCTTCTGTGGACAGGTGTCTTATATACAGGTAACAAGCTGAGATTAGGAGCACTCCCTTTAAGAGTGTGCTCCTAATCTCAGCTCGTTACCTGTATAAAAGACACCTGGGAGCCAGAAAGCTTTCTGATTGAGAAGGGGTCAAATACTTATTTCCCTCATTAAAATGCAAATCAATTTATAACATTTTTGACATGCGTTTTTAAATTTTGTTATTCTGTCTCTCACTGTTCAAATAAACCTACCATTAAAATAATAAACTAATCATTTCTTTGTCAGTGGGCAAACGTACAAAATCAGCAGGGGATCAAATACTTTTTTCCCTCACTGTAATGTGCCAAATAAACACTAGGCCTAAAGCATAGGCAACAAATGTGAGCTGGTAGACAAAGGTGGAAATTACACTTTAAATTACAGCTTTAAGCTTCTAGCAGGGTCACTTGCACTCAGATTTTTATTTTGGGACAGATAACAACACTGATTTGGAAACGATCCCTGCTAAAGTGGTTTGCCCTGTCCCTGTTTCTCAACCCGTGTAGAAGTTGCTGTCCCTGATTTCCTGTGTTAAAGTGTTTTCCCTGTCTTCAATGTTTCTCCATGTTTGAAGTTTTGACCATTCCCTGTTTTCTCCCTGTGTTAGTTTTGCCTTGTCCTCTGTTTTCTTCTCGTCGTGTCTAAAGTGCCACATGGTCCCTGTTTTTCCCCCTGTGTTAAAAGTGTGCCTGTCCCTGTTTCTCCCTGTGTAAAAGGTGGTTTGACCTTCCCTTTTTCTCTTCCCTTTCTAGTGTTTGCCCATGATAACCTGATTTTCATCCCCGTGTAAGTGTTTGCCCTGTCCCTGTTTTTCCCTGTGTTAAAGTGTTGCCCTGTCCCTGTTTCTCCCATGTTAAAGTGTTTGCCCTGTCCCTGTTTCTCCCCGTGTTAAAGTGTTTGTCCCTGTTTCTCCCGTGTTAGTGTTTGCCCTGTCCCTGTTTCTCCCTGTGTTAAAGTGTTTGCCCTGTCCCTGTTTTTCCCCATGTTAAAGTGTTTGCCCTGTCCCTGTTTCTCCCTGTGTTAAAGTGTTTGCCCTGTCCCTGTTTCTCCCTGTGTTAAAGTGTTTGCCCTGTCCCTTTTTTCACCCCGTGTTAGTGTTTGTCCCCGTTTCTCCCGTGTTTGTGTTTGCCCTGTCCCTGTTTCTACCCCGTAATTAAGTGTTTGCCCTGTCCCTGTTTCTCCCCGTGTTAAAGTGTTTGCTCTGTCTCTCCCCGTGTTAAAGTGTTTGCCCTGTCCCTGTTTCTCCCCGTGTTAAAGTGTTTGCCCTGTCCCGTTTCTTCCCCTGTTAAGTGTTTGCCCTGTCCCTGTTTCTCCCTGTTAAAGTGTTTGCTGTCCTGTTCTCTCCCGTGTTAAAGTGTTTGCCCTGTCCTTTTTCCCTTATGTTTCCTTTTCCCCGTGTTGTGTTTGCCCTGTCCCTGTTTAACCCCGTAATAAAGTGTTTGCCCTGTCCCTGTTTCTCCCCGTGTTAAAGTGTTTGCTCTGTCCCTCCCTGTGTTAAAGTGTTTGCCCTGTCCCTGTTTCTCCCGTGTTAAAGTGTTTGCCCTGTCCGTTTCTCCCCGTGTTAGTGTTTGCCCTGTCCCTGTTTCTCCCCGTGTTAAAGTGTTTGCCCTGTTCCCCCTGTAATTTGCCTTCCTTCTCCCCGTGTTAGTGTTTGCCCTGTCCCTGTTTAACCCCGTGTTAAAGTGTTTGCCCTGTCTCTCCCCGTGTTAAAGTGTTTGCCCTGTCCCTCCCTGTGTTAAAGTGTTTGCCCTGTCCCTGTTTCCCCTTTAGGTCCCTGTGTTAAAGTAAGTGTTGCCCTGTCCCTGTGTTTGTTCCTCTGTTCTCCCCGTGTTAAAGTGTTTGCCCTGTCCCTGTTCTCACCCGTAATAAGTGTTTGCCCTGTCCCTGTTTACTCCAGTGTTGAAAGTGTTTGCCCTGTCCCTCCCGTGTTAAAGTGTTTGCCCTGTCCCTGTTGCTCCCTGTGTTAAAGTGTTTGCCCTGTCCCTGTTTCTCCCCGTGTTAAAGGTTGCTGTTTTGCCCCCTGTTGCCCTGTCTGTTATCCCCGTGTTGAAGTGTTTGCCCTGTCCCCTGTTAAGTGTTTCCTGTCCTCCTGTGTTAGTGTTTGCCCTGTCCCTGTTTATCCCCGTGTTAAAGTGTTTGCCCTGTCCCTGTTTCTCCCTGTGTTAAAGTGTTTGCCCTGTGCCTGTTTCTCCCCGTGTTAAAGTGTTTGCCCTGTCCCTGTTTCTCCCTGTGTTAAAGTGTTTGCCTGTGTGTTCCCCTGTTGTTCCCTGTCCTGTTTCTCCCTGTTAAAGTGTTTGCCCTGTCCCTGTTTCTCCCCGTGTTAAAGTGTTTGCCCTGTCTGGTCCCTGTTTCTCCCTGTGTTAGTGTTTGCCCTGTCCCTGTTTCTCCCCGTGTTAAAGTGTTTGCCCTGTCCCTGTTCCTCCCTGTGTTAAAGTGTTTGCCCTGTCCCTGTTTCTCCATGTGCACTCTGAGTAGCCTAGATGGAGAGAAGGGGAGGAAGAGAGAAATGCAACATTTCAAAATGCAATCGCACGAAAAACAGTGGGCTGTTGTGGTTTTGTTTTTTTAGTTTCCCCTTCCTAAGTAATTAGCCCCAGTTGAATTCGCCTATGTGATATTTGTACACAACAAGATGTATGCAAATTAAAATCTATTGAACAAAATACATCTGCAATTATGGAGCCCTATTCTGACAGTAGAATTATAGCAACAATAACCTAATTGTTATGAAAGGCCATCACAACATTGAATTTGATAAAGCAACAAGTGCCATGATCCCACGGGAAATAGGCCTATGGGAGTTTCTTAAATGCTCCAGAATTTTTTTGCAGGAGGGTAGAATTGCATTGAATCAAATTATTATTTTCCAATTATTTAGCGACTGTAAGGGCAGGGTGCCGCTAGTATGTAATATTAGCCTAATGCTCATAAAGATGAAGGGAAATTCATCTCTATTGAACCCCAAAATCTAAACATTCTGGAGCTCTATTTTGACAGTAAAATACAATAAATATAGCCTAATTGTGCGACCAAATAATGGGCTGGTGCCACCAACTGAAAAAGGGGACACATGTTATCTGGAGCCCTGAGCCAGTCTTGCAACACTGTGAGCTAATCGTCCAATTGAAAATTGGTGCTTGTTTTAGTAACTTTGATTAGCAGCTGGTGCCGTTTGACTGCAAATCATTGCGACATGTCATGGAAACGCCAAATATAGGATACATTTTCTAAAGATCGACAACATTTTTATCCGTTCGACAGGGGTGGATTTTTTACTTTGTCTAACTTTCTTTATTGCAACAAATGATTATGGAAACTGTTTTTCGAATAAATGATGATAGCCAAAAGCCTCATTCACATTACCCATAAGCACTCTGTTACGTTGCGCTGGATGTCATGCATTTCAATGGGGACATCCACAATGGAGTAGAATAGCAATGCCCCCTTTTGGTTGAAGGCTCCGTTGCGAGACGGACGCCGTGTACTTTTACATTTTTCAAACTATGCTTCGTCTTCAGTCCAGCCAGAGTCCGTCGAAGAACATGAAGTTACCAAACCACAGAAGATGAAAATATGTTGTTTTCGGGGTGATGGCTTTATGGGATAGCTAGCAACTTGTAAACAATTACCCATTCCTATAAGTGAGTACTATTTTAATAGTAATGTTAAATAATACACACCTCCCATTTAAGTTTACTGTGATGGTAATGACGTTTGTTTTTGATGATAGTTATTAGGTGGAGGTTGCTAGCTACAGCGGTATCTTCAACCTAACCTAGCCTAGCTGCAGTGCAAGCTAACTTGACTTGCTATAAAGTTAGAGAAACAAGTTGAGGAAAAAGTAACTAAACAAAACATGTTTTATTATCACCTGAAACAATATATTTATCCTGTCTTGAATGAAAAGGTCATATTTTGCATTCTCCCAAAATAAATGCAATCTCTGACGAGAGAGGCTCTCCGCCATCTTGCGTCAGTAGCGGGGTAAGACGTACAGCAAAATGAAATACGTAACGGGTACATTACTTTTGAAGGTACGTGGGGCACGTGATGTCATCACGTAACTATAAACTCCACTCCACATTTAATTCTAAATGCCTACTGCTTGCAAAATAAAAAATGTTAAACTACAAAAAATTATGTTTCTTTGCAGGACAAGGATTGTCTTGACTTTCAAGAATGCCTGAATTGCTTCGTCTTGCTTTTCTAGTTGGCTAGCAAGTTTCACCATCCAATTATTTCAGATCTACAGGAGTGCAAGTTTCACCATGGCACGGACCGTGGCACATGAGAATTATTAGAATACGTTGGCACATGAGAATTATTAGAATATGGCAAATATTAGTCAATTATTGCATTCTATCCATGCTGGCTTTTGCGGGCTACCTGAGAGATGAAACAGATAGGTGGGAGGGCATACAGGCTGTCGCCAATTTATGAATGCGCAATTTGCCTAAATGGGTAATGGCAACACTTCAACCACAAAATATTTATTCGGCACTGTAGGTCTTTGTGAAAACGTTTATTTTTATTATTTTTTATTTTTTAGGTGTGACATCATTAAGTCCAGCTGTTTTTATCGACACAAGACAGTTATGCCGCGTTCAAAAGAACTGGGAACTGAGGTCAAATCATGATGCCAGTGATCTTCAGGTCCGAACGTTGGAGCTCTAGAAATAGGCCTGAGTTCCCGAGTTGGAATTCCGAGGTGGATGACCGTTCAAAAACATTTTTCCTAATCGGAGCTCGTTTTTTTCTGAGTTCCCAGTTGTTTTGAACACACTGAAGTCGGAAGTCGGAGATTTCTGTGCTCCCAGTTCCGAGTTAACTGTCTTGTGTCGATGACAACAGCATAAAATGGAAACGCACCCCAGCAGGCAATTGTCGCATCTGTTTTCTAAGTGAACTTTCTAAATGTCGACAGAAAATCACTGGACAAGTTCATGAAAACATAGCTACTGTCTTCCAGCCTAACCCAGCCAGTGTCGTCACTGTCCTGTCTGTCTGTCCCACAGCCTAAGGTTAATGTCCACCAGATGCGTCAAACTCTTTGCGTTCCTGCTAAAGTCATTCATTGTCAATGGAGCAGTCCGCAACGGCAGGTTTGGGATGTCTCACTAGGCTGCGGTGCGTTCTGTGTACCGCATGCGTTCAGTATTTTCAACTGGTGCGTTGCACTACAGTGCGGTGGTACAAACGGAAGTTCATAAAAGTTCCGCATAGAGGCCTCCCGAGTGGCGCAGCGGTCTAAGGCACTGCATTGCAGTGCTAGAGGTGTCACTACAGACCTTGGTTTGATCCCAGGCTGTATCACAACCGGCTGTGATCGGGAGTTCCATAGGGCAGCGCACAATTGGCCCAGCCATCGTCGTCGGGGTTAGGGGAGGGTTTGGCCTGGGGGCTTTACTTGGCTCATCACGTTCTAGTGACTCCTTGTGGCGGGCGGGGCGCCTGCCCTGCAGGCTGAACTCGGTCTTCAGTTGAACAGTGTTTCTTCCGACACATTGGTGCGCTGGCTTCCGGGTTAAGCTGGCAGGTGTTAAGAAACGCGGTTTGGCAGGTAATGTTTCGGAGGACGAATGACTCGACCAAGCCCATTGGGGAGTTGCAGCGATGAGACGATCGAAATTGTGGAGAAAAAGGGGGTAAAAAAATAAATACCAAATAAATAAAAATAAGTTCCGCATGGAGGGGGTGGCACCATACAGAGGCCACATTATAATGACCATGTTGCTAGAGATTAATGTGACAGAAGAATAGAAACAAACTAGATTAATTGTTGTAATGCGTGACAGTCTGTTGATAGCTCTGCCAGCCTATGAAATCGATAGGAGAATAACTTTCATCTGTTTTTAATTATTAGCTTTGGTCAAACAGGGCGAAAATGATCTTCTCCATGCTGCAAACCGCTCTGCCGCTTCAAGTACAGAAAATGCAGGCTAGACATCCGGCAAAAACAACATATGGCAAAACGCATGTGCATCTGGTGGACATATGGCGTAACCCAGCCTGTCTCACTGTCTATCTATCTCTCCCATAGCCTAAACCAGGCCTTTCACCCCTGGCCTCATCCCACCTCGTTTCCATGTCATCGCCCCCTGTCTCCCCGTCCCAGTCGCATCTCAAGTACGTGTCCCTGGGCGTGCTGGTGCTGCAGACCACCTCACTGGTGCTCACCATGAGGTACTCGCGCACACTGCAGGGCGAGGGGCCCCGCTACCTGGCCTCCTCAGCCGTGGTGTCGGCCGAACTGCTTAAGATCCTCATCTGCCTGCTGCTCGTCTTCTATGACAACAGTGAGTCTAGTGATCTGTCTGACTGTCTGGCTGTCCTGTCTGTCCGTCTGGCTGGTTGGCTGTCTGGCTGTCTGTCTGGCTGGTTGGCTGGCATGCCTGTCTGTAACAGTCAATGGATAAACAATGACAACAAAGAGAATACTCCTACAGTCTCTTTGTCTTTCTATCTCTGTCTTAGGCTTCAGTGTGTGGCCGTTACATTTCTGTCTCTCTTTCTGTCAGACTTCAGTATTCGTGTGTTGAATCGGGTGCTGAAGGAAGAGATTCTCAACAAGCCCATGGAGACATTGAAGCTGGCCATCCCATCAGGCATCTACACACTCCAGAATAACCTTCTCTATGTCGCCCTGTCCAACCTGGACGCTGCTAGCTACCAGGTGAGAGATGTGACACGTGTGTGTGTGTGTGTGCTTGTGTGTGTGTGTGTGCATGCGTGTGCATGCTGCAGCATGTATAAGGGGAACAAAAGTGAAACCAGGAATGGAGCACTCAGGGACTCCATACTCCATTTCATGTCCAATTTCGACTGGCCGGAATTTTAATTGATATTGTCCCCAAACAGGTGACGTACCAGCTGAAGATCCTGACCACGGCCCTGTTCTCAGTGTCCATGCTGGGGAAGAGACTGGGGCTCTACCAGTGGCTCTCCTTGCTCATCCTCATGACTGGTATCGCTCTTGTACAGGTGACAAGGCAATAACTCGTCATTCCTGTTTGGATGTGTTTTTGTCAGATTAGTCATTGATCTTTGTGTATCCACATTAGGGAGGTAGAAGTCTAAATTGTTCTGAAGTTCACAGGTTTTTCAGGATAATCAGTGGTAACATGATCTCCAGGAAAAGTTTCTGGAATTTTTACACAGGTTTTCTATACTGAATGATGTACTGTGTGTTTTGTCTCCACAGTGGCCTACAGAGTCTCTGGGTGGGATCTCTCCGACGCCTCTGTCTGCAGGCTCCCAGTTAGTAGGTGTGATAGCCGTACTGATAGCCTGCTTCTCCAGTGGCTTCGCTGGAGTCTACTTTGAGAAGATCCTCAAAGAGACCAAACAGAGTGTGTGGGTCCGCAACCTCCAGCTAGGTCAGCATCACTGGAACCTGTTTGTTTGTGTGTGTGTGTTTGTTTTTGTGTGTTTGTGTGTCTCTTTGTGTATGCATGTTTGGTTCATTGATTTAATTTCATTCTACGTAAACTGTACTCTCTTGGTGTGTGTGAATATCTTTCCACTTTCTCTATAGAGATTACAGCATTTATACAGTATATGTTAGGGTCTCTCCATGTAATCCAGAAGAAAAATAAGTTACATCATTGACTTCAATTAAATCGAATGTATTCTCACAACAGTATAGCAACTTTAGGTTGGAGGCAACGTCCCATAGCCCTTGTAATTCCAATCCTTAGGCAATGTCCTGGTGCCAAAATTGTGGTCTTAGCTCTTGAAACCATAAACTATACAAGCATGTAATTATAAACCATGACAAATCAAATCATCAAATCCAATTTTATTGGTCACATACACGTGTTTAGCAGATGTTATTATGAAAAATGTATGCACTCACTAACTGTAAGTCGCTCTGGATAAGAGCGTCTGCTAAAATGTAAAACATGTGTAGCGAAATGCTTGTGCTTCTAGCTCCGACAGTGCAGTAATATCTAACAAGTAATATCTATCAATTTCACAACATATACACAAAACACATAAATCTAAGTAAGGAATGAATTAAGAATATATACATATATGGACGAGCGATGTCAGAGCGGCATGGACTAAGATACAGTAGAATAGTATAGAATACAGTATATACATATGAGATGAGTAATGCAAGTTATGTAAACATAATTAAAGTGGCTAGTGTTCCATTTCTTAAAGTGGCCAGTGATTTCTAGTCTCTGTCAGTATTGGCAGCAGCCTCTAATGTGCTAGTGATGGCTGTTTAACAGTCTGATGGCCTTGAGATAGAAGCTGTTTTTTAGTCTCTCGGTCCCAGCTTTGATGCACCTGTACTGACCTCGCCTTCTGGATGACCTCGCCTTCTGGATGATAGCAGGGTGAACAGGCAGTGGCTCGAGTGGTTGATGTCCTTGGTGATCTTTTTGGCCTTCCTGTGACATCGGGTGCTGTAGGTGTCCTGGAGGGCGGGTAGTTTGCTCCCGGTAATGCGTAGGGCAGACCGCACCACCCTCTGGAGAGCCTTGTAGTTGCAGGCGGTGCAGTTGCCATACCAGGCGGTGATGCAGCCCGTCAGGATGCTCTCAATTGTGCATGTGTAAAAGTTTGTGAGGGTTTTAGGTGCCAAGCCAAATGTCTTTAGCCTCCTGAGGTTGAAGAGGCTCTGTTGCGCCTTCTTCACCACACTGTCTGTGTGGGTGGTCCATTTCAGTTAGTCAGTGATGTGTACGCCAACGAACTTGAAGCTTTCCACCTTCTCCACTACGGTCCCGTCGATGTGGATAGGGGGGTGCACCCTCTGCTGTTTCCTGAAGTCCACGATCATCTCCTTTTGTTTTGTTGACGTTGAGTGAGAGGTTATTTTCCTGGCACCACACTCCCAGAGCCCTCACCTCCTCCCTGTAGGCTGTCTCGTTATTGTTGGTAATCAAGCCTACTACTGTTGTGTCGTCTGATGATTGAGTTGGAGGCGTGCTTGGCCACGCAGTCATGGGTGAACAGGGAGTACAAGAGTGGGCTGAGCATGCACTCTTGTGGGGCCCCAGTGTTTAGGATCAGTGAAGTGAAGATGTTGTTTCCTACCTTCACCACCTGGGGGCGGCCTGTCAGGAAGTCCAGGACCCAGTTGCACAGGGCAGGGTTCAGACCCAGGGCCTCGAGCTTAATGATGAGCTTGGAGGGTACTATGGTGTTGAATGCTGCGCTATCGTCAATGAACAGCATTCCTCTTGTCCAGATGGGATAGGGCAGTGTGCAGAGTGATGGCGATTGCATCGTCTGTGGACCTATTGGGGCGGTAAGCAAATTGAAATGGGTCTAGGGTGGCAGGTAAGGTAGAGGTGATATGATCCTTGACTAGTCTCTCAAAGCACTTCATGATGACAGAGGTGAGTGCTAAGGGGCAATAATCTTTTAGTTCAGTTATCTTTGCTTTCTTGGGTACAGGAACAATGGTGGCCATCTTGAAGCATGTGGGGACAGCAGACTGGGATAGGGAGAGATTGAATATGCCCGTAAACACACCAGCCAGCTGGTCTGCGCATGCTCTGAGGACGCAGCTAGGGATGCCGTCTGGGCCGGCAGCCTTGCGAGGGTTAATATGTTTAAATGTTTTACTCACGTCGGCCACGGAGAAGGAGAGCCCACAGTCCTTGGTAGCGGGCCGCGTCGGTGTCACTGTATCATCCTCAAAGCGGGCAAAGAAGGTGTTTAGCTTGTCTGGAAGCAAGACGTCGGTCTCAGCGACGTGGCTGGTTTTCCTTTTGTAGTCCATGATTGTCTGTAGACCCTGCCACATACGTCTCGTGTCTGAGCCGTTGAATTGCGACACTTTGTCTCTATACTGATGTTTTGCCAGTTTAATTGCCTTGCGGAGTGAATAACTGCACTGTTTTTATTCTGCCATATTCTTAGTGAACTTGCCATGGTTAAATGCAGTTTCGCGCGAACGTTGCCATCTAGCCACAGTTTCTGGTTAGGGTAGGTTTTAATAGTCACAGTAGGTAAGCAATGGAATACTTGACAATTATTTTAAAGAGTCCTCCCTCAAAACCTCACCCATTTCTCTCTCTGTCTCTCTCTCTCATTCTCTCTCTCACATTGATGCACACACACACTCACAATCACCATACAGTATACGTTGCTTCTACGATTTATTATATGTATCCTGCTGCTCAGTCACTTTTACCCCTGATTACATCTACATAACTATCACCAGTATCCCTGCACATTGATATTGGTACTGGTATTGACAATAAAATTGTATTTGTCACATGCGCCGAATACAACAGTTGTAGACTTTACTGTGCAATGCTTACTTAGGAGCCCTTTCCCAACAAAAGCAAGAAAATAAGATAAAAAGAATAAGGAAATAGTAACAGAATAAAATAACAATAACGAGGCTATATACAAGGAGTACCGGTACCGAGTCAATGTGCAGGGTTACGAGGTAGTTAAGGTAATTGAGGTAATATGTACATGTAGGTAGGGGTAAAATTGACTAGGCAATCAGGATAGATAATAAACAGAGTAGCAGCAGCATATGTGAAAGTGTGTGTGTTGGATTGTCAGTGTAGTATGTGTGGGTAGAGTCCAGTGAGTGTGCATAGAGCCATTGCAAGAATGTCAGTGCTAAAAAAAAAAGGGGGTCAATGCAAATAGTCCAGGTAGCCAATTGATTAACTGTTCAGCAATCTTATGGCTTGGAGGTACAAGCTGTTCAGGAGCCTTTTTGTCCCAGACTTGGCGCTCCGGTAGAAGAGAGAACAGTCTATGACTTGGGTGGCTGGAATATATAGTGTATTTTGTATTTCTCGTGTGTATTTTATCTGACTTAGTATTGATTCCATGCTCTTTTTAAGACACTTTTCTATTTATTTCCTTTTTTTAAATATTGAATACTGCATTGTTGAGGAAGAGCTTGCAAGTAAGCATTTCACTGTACTGTTTACACCTGCTGTATCCTGTGCACGTGACAAACAAACATTGATTTGATCTCTCTCTCTCTCCTAGGTTTGTTTGGCCTGGTGTTTGGTCTAATGGGAGTGTTTGTGTACGACGGAGAGAGAGTGAGGGAGTCCGGAGTGTTCCAAGGCTACAACTCACTCACCTGGACTGTTGTGGCCCTGCAGGTAATGTACATATGCTTAAGTTATCATTTCAAAAAGCATATACAGTGGGGGAAAAAAAGTATTTAGTCAGCCACCAATTGTGCAAGTTCTCCCACTTAAAAAGATGAGAGAGGCCTGTAATTTTCATCATAGATACACGTCAACAATGACAGACAAAATGAGGGAAAAAAATCCAGAAAATCACATTGTAGGATTTTTTATTTACATTTTAGTCATTTAGCAGACGCTCTTATCCAGAGCGACTTACAGTTAGTGAATACATTTTTTTTTTTTATACTGGCCCCCCGTGGGAATTGAACCCACAACCCTGCGCAAACGCCATGCTCTATCAACTGAGCTACATCCCTGCTGGCCATTCCCTCCCATACCCTGGACGACGCTGGGCCAATTGTGCGCCGCCCATGAGTCTCCCGGTCGCGGCCGGCTGCGACAGAGCCTGGATTCGAACCAGGATCTCTAGTGGCACAGTTAGCACTGCGATGCAGTGCCTTAGACCACTGCGCCACGCAGGAGCTTATGAATTTATTTGCAAATTATGGTGGAAAATAAGTATTTGGTCAATAACAAAAGTTTCTCAACACTTTGTTATATCCCCTTTGTTGGCAATGACACAGGTCAAACGTTTTCTGTAAGTCTTCACAAGGTTTTCACACACTGTTGCTGGTATTTTGGCCCATTCCTCCATGCAGATCTCCTCTAGAGCAGTGATGTTTTGGGGCTGTCGTTGGGCAACACGGTCTTTCAACTCCCTCCAAAATACTTATGTCATGCAATAAAATGCAAATGAATTACTTAAAAATCATACAATGTGATTTTCTGGATTTTTGTTTTAGATTCCGTCTCTCACAGTTGAAGTGTACCAATGATAAAAATTACAGACCTCTACATGCTTTGTAAGTAGGAAAACCTGCTAAATCGGCAGTGTATCAAATACTTGTTCTCCCCAGTGTGTGTGTGTGTGTGTGTGTGTGTGTGTGTGTGTGTGTGTGTGTGTGTGTGTGTGTGTGTGTGTGTGTGTGTGTGTGTGTGTGTATGTATGTACTCACTACCTGTAAGTTGGTCTGGATAAGAGCGTCTGCTAAATGACAAAAATTTAAATAATTGACACTTAAAACCTATGAAGATGTCCATTAAAAGCAGACATGCCGTTTGTTGACGCCACAACACAGTACAGAATGCTAATCAATAAAAACGTCAGTTAAATTCGCTACTCTGTTTTGCTTGTTTACAGTGGGTAATTTCAAAGGGAATTGACAGAGTTGCTTTTGTATTATTACGAGAATCAAGGCACTAACATGTCAGCCGTTCTAAATCCTGTCCAAACTCTATATACACTGAGTGTACAAAACAAGACAAGAACACCTGCTCTTTCCATGACATAGACTGACCAGGTGAATCCAGGTGAAAGCTCTGATCCCTTATTGATGTCACTTGTTAAATCCACTTAAATCAGTGTAGATGAAGGGGAGAAGACAGGTTAAAGAAGGATTTTTAAGCCTTGAGACAATTGAGATATTGATTGTGTATGTGTGCCATTCAGAGGGTGAATGGGCAAGACAAAATATTTAAGTGCCTTTTGAACTGGGTATGGGTAGTTTCCCATGTGTATCAAGAATGTTCCACCACCCAAAGGACATCCAGCCAACTTGACACAACTGTGGGAGGCATTGGAGTCAACATGGGCCAGCATCCTGTGGAAAGCTTTTGACACCTTGTAGAGTCCATATTCCAGCGAATTGAGGCTGTTCTGAGGGCAAAAGGGGGTGCAACGCAATATTAGGAAGGTGTTCCTAATGTTTTGTACAGTCAGTGTATGAGAGAGAGAGAGAGAGAGAGATTCTACATACAAATTATATAACAACCTTTATTCTGACTATTCAATTGAGGTGTGTGTGAGAGAAAGTAAATTAGAAAGAAAGAAAGAGGTGTGACTGTATATTTTGTCAAATGACCAAATCGCCCTCTAGTGGCCTCATGGGTGGAAGATCCGGTGTTTCTATGTCAAACGGTTTTGTTATATTTCAGTCTTCTGTGATGTATATAAAGTTTAATATTTGGATGTAAACTCTATATCTGACATAGTACAGGTGTATTCTTTTTTTTTAAAGCCCATAACAATAGCCACAGGAAGTTGGGGTGCTGAGGGTGCTGCAGCAACCCCTGAAAATTCTGAATTTAAAGAAAATATATATGTGACTTTCTTTTTCTCACAAAAGTAGTGCACTGGGCCTTTACTAGTCCTGTATTAGATGGCAGATATCCACCTCATTTTCAAATGATTTTAAAACGCAGAAACTATGGATAAAACTTCCTCCATGCTCATGCGTGATCATAATTCATATGCTCACCACTAGAAATCCATGCATTTAATAGCATGTTTCTGTTAGCTTATACATCATGACAAAATACACCATATTACTGTCCTGTTAATGTGCCTGGACTTTGTAGGCTAAACTGGCTTGAAAAAAAAACACAACTGATCCAAATGGTTGACCAATCAGGCAACCTAGATGAGACATGCTGCCCACACTGCCCGCGTTCGATTGCACGTGCGTTGCAAAATAAATGTACACATACATGTTATTCAATCATTGCACCCACACTGCTCGCACACGTCAACGAGCATCTGCGTAGCCAGGCGCTAAAATATAACTTGGTTCTATGTGTGACGCTTGACGCGCTGCAAGTCCGCCTCTCCCATCTCCTCATTGGTTTTTAGGAGCATATATCCACGTGGGTGATTGAAGGATGAACTGAGGTCCACACTCCAGTCCAGTTGGTGGTGGTAATGCACCTTAAAGTTGGTTGCCAACTGCCATTTAAAGGCCAAAGAAGAGGAAGAAGACTGAAAGAGGAGAGATTACTAGAAACAAACTCGGTTGACCCTTTTATCTGTGGATTAATTGTCGGAGTAGAGGACCTTGTGCATTTCAGGTAAAATAACAACCCAATGTTTATATCCCAGGACAAAGTAGCTAGCAACAGCAAGCTAGCTAGCTAAATTGCCATAAATGTTTTTAATGCTTATCGACCTGTCCCCAAATTAATATAGTTGGTTCAGAGTTCGTTTTGATATTTCAACCTGTATATCCTGATCGTGTCTGGTGTGGGTGGACAAAATCAACACGCGCGTGAGTGGTGTGTTCAGCATGTTATTTCGAAATGAATATGCATTCTAAATGCCAGGCTTTTGAGCACTTATTCAAATTAACTTATTTTCTCTCCCAGTGCTCCCTCATTTTCGAGCTGCAGCCTTCTTTGTTACCCTCGGACCGCTCAAGGATAGTGTACATCATAACGCTGATGTCCGGGAGGGCACTCGCCGGGGTTACGGCGGTGTGGGAGCAACAGTCCGCCGTCTGCCTCAGTCTAGAGGAGTTTGTGGCGGAAGATCGGAAGGTGTTTGATTCTCCGTTTTCCGGGAGAGAGGCTGCTCTCCCGTAGTGTGGCAGACTACGCAGTGGATTTTCGCACGTTGGCGGCTGAGAGTGCCTGGAACCCGGAAGCATTGTTCGACATGTTCCTTAACGGATTATCGGAGGTGGTCAAAGATGAGATTGCAGCCCGGGAGCTGCCCATGGACCTTGACTCCCTCATTGTCTTGACCATCAGGATCGATGGGCGGCTTCGAGAACGTAGGAAGGAGAGGGAATTTGTGCCCTGTTGCCCTCGTTCGCCCTCGATTCCCACCTCGCCTCTGAAGAATCCTGGAGACCCCAGAAGTCTACAGTGGCTTGCGAAAGTATTCACCCCCCTTGGCATTTTTCCTATTTTGTTGCCTTACAACCTGGAATTAAAATAGATTTTTGGGGGGTTTGTATCATTTGATTTACACAACATGCCCACCACTTTGAAGATGCAAAATATTTTTTTTTGTGAAACAAACAAGAAATAAGACAAAAAAACAGAACTTGAGCGTGCATAACTATTCACCCAATACTTTGTAGAGCCACCTTTTTCAGCAATTACAGCAGCAAGTCTCTTGGGGTATGTCTCTATATGCTTGGCACATCTAGCCACTGGGATTTTTGCCCATTCTTGAAGGCAAAACTGCTCCAGCTCCTTCAAGTTGGATGGGTTCCGCTGGTGTACAGCAATCTTTAAGTCATACCACAGATTCTCAATTGGATTGAGGTCTGGGCTTTGACTAGGCCATTCCAAGACATTTAAATGTTTCCCCTTAAACCACTCGAGTGTTGCTTTAGCAGTATGCTTAGGGTCATTGTCCTGCTGGAAGGTGAACCTCCGTCCCAGTCTCAAATCTCTGGAAGACTGAAACAGGTTTCCCTCAAGAATTTCCCTGTATTTAGCGCCATCCATCATTCCTTCAATTCTGACCAGTTTCCCAGTCCCTGCCGGTGGGAAAAACATCCCCACAGCATGATGCTGCCACCACCATACTTCACTGTGGGGATGGTGTTCTCGGGGTGATGAGAGGTGTTGGGTTTGCGCCAGACATAGCGTTTTCCCTGATGGCCAAAAAGCTCAAGTTTAGTCTCGTCTGACCAGACTACCTTCTTCCATATGTTTGGGGAGTCTCCCACATGCCTTTTGGCGAACACCAATCGTGTTTGCTTATTTTTTTCTTTAAGCAATGGCTTTTTCTGGCCACTCTTCCGTAAAGCCCAGCTCTGTGGAGTGTATGGCTTAAAGTGGTCCTATAGACAGATACTCCAATCTCTGCTGTGGAGCTTTGCAGCTCCTTCAGGGTTATCTTTGGTCTCTTTGTTGCCTCTCTGATTAATGCCCTCCTTGCCTGGTCTGTCAGTTTTGGTGGGTGGCCCTCTCTTGGCAGGTTTGTTGTGGTGCCATATTCTTTCTATTTTTATATAATGGATTTAATGGAGCTCCATGGGATGTTCAAAGTTTCTGATATTTCTTTATAACCTAACCCTGATCTGTACTTCTCCACAACTTTGTCCCTAACCTGTTTGGAGAGCTCCTTGGTCTTCATGGTGCTGCTTGCTTGGTGGTGCCCCTTGCTTAGTGGTGTTGCAGACTCTGGGGCCTTTCAGAACAGGTGTATATATACTGAGATCATGTGACACTTAGATTGCACACAGGTGGACTTTATTTAACTAATTATGTGACTTCTGAAGGTAATTGGTTGCACCAGATCTTATTTAGGGGCTTCATAGCAAAGGGGCTTCATACAAATGCACACACCACTTTTCTGTTATTTATTTTTTAGAATTATTTGAAACAAGTTTTTTTTTTTTTTTTTCACTTCACCAATTTGGACTATTTTGTGTTTGTCCATTACATGAAATCCAAATAAAAATCAATTTAAATTACAGGTTGTAATGCAACAAAATAGGAAAAACGCCAAGGGGGATGAATACATTTGCAAGGCACTGTACATGTCCGAGTGAACCCGACGTCACCCGAGTTCTCTACGCCGACTCCTCACCCAGAGCTGTCTATATTGTGGAGCTACGGGACATTTCGTAGCTACCTGCCCATTAAAAAACCATGCTCATCAAGAAGGGGCGAGTACTCTGGTAGGCATTATGGAGAACTCTCCCTTTTCTCGCACCCCTTTCCATGCCATCCTGCTGTGGGGGAACCAGTCGGAATGTCTCCGGGTACTCATCGACTCTGGGGCCGATTTATAATTTTTGGGACGCTACCCTGGTGTCCGAGCTGGGCATCCCCACTCAGCCCCTCTCCATTCCCATGGACGTTAGAGCGCTGGACGGGTGCTCTATAGGCCGGGTCACTCACAATACCACTCCCATCAACCTACGAGTGTCAGGGAACCACAGCGAGGCAATCCAATTAATGCTGATTAAGTCTCCTCAGGTTCCCGTGGTATTGGGATACTCTTGGCTCCAGCGACACAATATCATCATAGACTGGACTGCGGGTGCCATTATGGGCTGGAGCCCATTCTGCCACACCCATTGTCTGAAGTCAGCACAGCCTGCCCCGGGACGTCGGAAGTTGCCCCGGACCTCTCCGACATTCCCACGGAGTACCAGGACCTCTGGGAGGTGTTCAGTAAGGCCTGGGCCACTTCGCTTCCGCCGCACTGACCCTATGACTGTGGGATTGACCTTCTCCCAGGCACCACTCCACCCCGGGGACGACTGTACTCTCTGTCGGGTCCGGAGACCAAGGCTATGGAGACCTACATTGAGGACTCCCTAGCTGCATCGACTACCGGGGCCTCAATGACATCACGGTGAAGAACCACTACCCACTACCACTCATCTCCTCTGCCTTCGAGCCGCTCCAGGGGGCCACTGTGTTCTCCAAGCTGGACCTACGGAACGCCTACCACCTGGTGCGGATACGGGAAGTGGACGAGTGTAAGACTGCCTTCAACACAGACAGCAGTCACTACGAGTATCTGGTCATGCCATTTGGCCTTACCAATGCCCCAGCTGTGTTCCAGGCTCTGGTTAATGATGTTCTCCACAACATTCGTCTTCGTCTACCTCGATGACAACCTCGTCTTCTCCCGCTCCGCCCAAGAACACGTGCTCCACGTCCGACGGGTTCTCCAATGCCTCCTGGAGAACCAGTTTTTTTGTGAAAGCGGAGAAGTGCGAATTCCATCGCTCCACCATCTCCTTCCTGGGTTACATCATCACAGATGGATCCTGGAAGGTGCGGTGGTGGATTGGCCCCAGCCTACGTCCAGGGTGCAGCTGCAACGTTTCCTGGGATTCGCCAACTTTTATCGCCGCTTTATCCGGGCTTACAGCACCCTGGCTTCCCCCCTGTCTGCACTCACCTCTCCCAAGTTTCCGTTCACGTGGTCCCCAGCTGCTGACCGGGCGTTGTGGGATCTCAAACACCGTTTCACACAGCTCCCATCTTGGTTCATGCTGACCCGTTCCGCCAGTTCGTGGTGGAGGCCGATGCTTCGGATGTCGGAGTGGGGACTGTCCTGTCCCAGCGTTCTGCCCTGGACCTCAAGTTACATCCCTGCGCCTTCTTCTCTCAACGCCTCTCGTCGCCGCCTGCACGGTCTGTGCGCAGAACAAGACTCCTCGGCAAGCTCCGGCTGGTCTTCTTCAACCATTGCCTGTCCCTCACCGTCCCTGGTCTCACATATCCCTGTACTTCATCACAGGTCTTCCCCCGTCTGATGGCAACACCTCCATCCTGACAGTTGTGGACCGGTTTTCCAAAGCCGCCCACTTCATTCCTCTCCCCAAGCTACCCTCTGCCAAAGAGACGGCCCAGCTCATGGTGCAGCACGTCTTCCGGATCCATGGACTCCCAGTGGACATGGTCTCCGACCGGGGTCCTCAGTTCTCGTCCCGGTTCTGGAAGGCGTTCTGCACGCTCATTGGGTCGTCAGCCAGCCTGTCCTCCAGGTTCCATCCCCAGTCCAACGGTCAGTCGGAGCGAGCCAACCAAGACTTGGAAACGACTCTTCGCTGCCTGGTCTCCGCCAAACCCACCACCTGGAGCCAGCAACTAGTGTGGGTCGAATACGCCCCCAACACCCTTCCTTGCTCTGCCACGGGTCTCTCGCCCTTTGAGTGTTCCCTGGGCTAAGCTCCCGCTCTTCCCTGAGCAAGAGGATGAGGTCGGCATACCGTCGTCCCAGATGTTTGTCCGCCGCTGTCGTCGTACCTGGAAGAGAGCCCGGTCTAACATTCTGAAGACCTCCACCTCCAAGTATCAACGACAAGCGGACCGCCACCGGACCCCGGCTCCCCGGTATCGTCTCAGGCAGAAGGTATGGCAGTCCACCCGGGATCTGCCCCTCCGGGTGGAGTCCCGCAAACTTTCCCCCCGGTTTATCGGCCCTTTCCCCATCTCCAAGGTCATTAGCCCCTCTGCTGTTCGTCTTCTGTTGCCCCGTACCCTGCGTATACATCCCACTTTTCATGTGTCTAAAATCAAACCCATGTCTCACAGCCTTTTGTCTCCTGTTTCCGGTTTTGACCATTCTGCCTGCCCTGACCCTGAGCCTGCCTGCCGTCCTGTACCACCAATCTGAATTACTGACCTCTGCCTGCCCTTGACCTGTCGTTTTGCCTGGCCCCTGTTCTAGTAATAAACTTTTGTTACTTCGACACTGTCTGCATCTGGGTCTTCCCTAAAACGTGATAAATAAGCTAAGTAGCCAATAGGCAGAGGGTAGCATAATTTGTCTGATTCTCTGTAGTAATGAATGGCATGGGAATAATAATTAACTTTATTTTGTAAAGTGGTTTCTTGCATCAAACAACACATTTTCAATCACCTCCTTGTCTAAAGGACAAGTGGAGAAACAGGTTAATGTCAAGGCCTGCATATTTTTTCCAAAAGTCTCACGGAATGTAGGCTACATTGAATACCCCACATTGGCTGCTACTGTAGGCTGAATGATAGAACAGCTATTTCCATTTTTAAATGTTATGGGATGCATTTTCTCCATTGTTTTTGATGGTAGGCCACTCTGGCCTACATTATGATCAAATAGCCACAGTAGCCTACTTGGCCACTGTTATAACTGTAACGTAAAGCGGCTACAGCCTCAGTGGTCACAATAAACGCACGCCAGAAGTTGCACAGAATTCTCACAACATTCAAGTTTGCGCTCAACAGACCTGACAAATGAGGGAACATTGCTCATGAATGGTCATGTGTTACCACCTTATTACTAGGCAGCCTGCAGTAGGATGCTTTGATCAGTTGATTGACAGGTGTAGGACTGTAGAACGATAAACTGTCAACTTTCCTCTAGCATGGATGCTCACCAACGTTTTATAGTTATGTAGCCTATAGTTTTATCATTATAGTTATCGTTAAGAGTTAATGGCTTGGTGGATGGCCCGGGCCTTATTTAACTACCACAACACAACTAACGTTATTATCACAACAGAACTAGCCTACTAGTAGGACTAGCTAATGTTATTATCACAACAGAACTAGCCTACTAGTAGGACTAGCTAATGTTATTATCACAACAGAACTAGCCTACTAGTAGGTCTAGCTAATGTTATTATCACAACAGAACTAGGCTACTAGTAGGTCTAGCTAATGTTATTATCACAACAGAACTAGCCTACTAGTAGGTCTAGCTAATGTTATTATCACAACAGAACTAGCCTACTAGTAGGACTAGCTAACGTTATTATCACAACGGAACTAGCCTACTAGTAGGACTAGCTAACGTTATTATCACAACAGAACTAGCCTACTAGTAGGACTAGCTAACGTTATTATCACAACGGAACTAGCCTACTAGTAGGACTAGCTAACGTTATTATCACAACAGAACTAGCCTACTAGTAGGACTAGCTAACGTTATTATCACAACGGAACTAGCCTACTAGTAGGACTAGCTAACGTTATTATCACAACAGAACTAGCCTACTACTTGACTTGTATACTCTAGAAATTGACTCCTTCAAATAATTGACTCTGGCAAGTTTGCCACCCTCACGCTGCAGAAGGGGAGTAAAGCGGAAGTCGAATCTATCACTTCCATTGTTTGGCTGTGCCCATAGCAACGTTCGAAAATGAGGTGGACCCCACCTGTGTGCGAGGTGTATACTTTTGTTTCAAAGTAGACTTGTTTAAGGCTACCAAGAAACACTCTGTGTGACCCTGATTTAGCCCACTGCAGTAAAGGGTTAAATCCATGTCCTCTCTGTGTTGCTTGTGTTTCCAGGCTCTGGGTGGGTTGGTCATAGCAGCAGTCATTAAGTATGCAGACAACATCCTGAAGGGGTTCGCCACCTCACTCTCCATCATCCTGTCAACACTCATATCCTACTTCTGGTTGGAGGACTTCAACCCCACCAGGTACACACACACACACACACACACACTTTGATAAATATTCTGGCCATGTCCATTTAGGATAAAAGGTTTTAATCTCAACAGATTTCCTGATAAAATACAGATAGGAATAAGAAATGAGGGAGCTGAATTAATGTGAGAACGCCCAGAATATAAATGTTCTGTCTATAACTCTAACAACCTCCGCTCTCTCGCTCTCTCTCTCTCTCTCTCTCTCTCTCTCTCTCTCTCCCCCAGTGTGTTCTTCCTAGGAGCAGTGCTGGTCATCGCTGCCACCTTCCTGTATGGTTATGAGGGTAAGATGCCTGCCGCCAGCCACAGCAGAGTCTAGATGGAGACCCACCACCACAGCCCTGGAACCCCAAAGAAGAGACACACAGAGAAAGAGGGCAAGATGGAGTGAGGAATAGGTTGCTGAGGAGGACGAGGTTCACCTACTCCGGAGGAGTACAACTTCTGGAAAAATAGTGTAGGCGGAAGTAGTCCTACGATGTTTAACGCACACAATAGATAGATAGGAGTCGCCTGAAGACGGAATGACTGAGACAGCCAACACAGACTGGGTTTTGTTTGTCCAATCAAGATGGAGGGCAACAACAGCTGTAGCTCAGCTGGTAGAGCACGGCGCTTGTAACGCCAAGGTAGTGGGTTCGATCCCCGGGACCACCCATACACAAAAAATGTATGCACGCATGACTGGAAGTCGCTTTGGATAAAAGCGTCTGCTAAATGGCATATTATATTATTATTATTATATTAATAACTATTTAGCATTTACAAAGCTTTTTATTGAAATTCAAAGTGCTTTACTTTGCATGGGGGCAACAATGGTACAATGCAACCATGCTCTCCCATAGTGACTCCCATCAAGTTTGACTCGAACAGGCTCATGAATGTGACTTCTTCACAATTAACACTTGCATGCATTTCACACACACACACACACACACACCCTTACAGGCACAGTCACGGAGCTGAAGCTGCTACGATGCCTATGAAGGGTTACGCTCACCTTTGATCTCTCACCTCCTTTCATCTCAGGGGTGATCATGGAACCAAACTCACCAAAGCATGAAATCATGGGAAAACAGGGACTTTACAGGTATTAACGAAAATGTATGGATGAATCCAATAATTCAATGCCAACGTTAGTTTGTAAAAAGTAGAGTTTTATATATTTTATCATGTATTTGGGGAGTAGGGGAAAGGGAATTTGTATGAATGTATTTTAGGGGTACTGATGGTCAATGAGGCCAAGGGCATTCAAATGAATGGAATGCCTCACACGTTACAAAGCCCCTCATTTGTTTTTGATTGACAGCTCCACCTAGTGGGAGTGTTGGGCCATAGCACATTTACTGCGGAGGGGAGGGGTTGAGACCAATGACAGTAGAGATGCTGGATGTCCTTTTAATTGGGGATGTTCAGTTGCTGATGTTTGTATGCAAAAATTGCCTTTCATGCAAGAACAAAAATGAATAATTAAACTGATCAAATGTGAAATAAGGGTCTAAACAGATGTTTTGTATTGAAAAAGCCAGTAGTATGTATGCATGTATGTATGTATGTATGTATGTGTGTTGTTTCATCTAGGTATGAAATCACAAAGCAGGATTTATTGATGCGCAAAGAGGTAATACATTGTGTGATGTTTCACAACAACTGGGTCGTATTGGGCACCAAACGGAACAAAACAAGCTAAAGACAGGGAGGGACTGCCCACATTTTTGTGTTGCAAAGCATCCTGCTACGTTGTGCCCTAAAGAAGGCGACCCTGGTTCCTGCTTCCTATGGAGTCCAGTTTAGACAAACCAAAACAGTCTCTATAGCAACAGATCACTGAATATGTTTGGTGCCAAGTCAGAGGTGCATAAGCTGTGTTCATATATAATCTATTTTCATTTCTTTGTGTATCTAACATGGAAATAGCTTCCATCTTACCCAAGAATGACAATTGTGAATGTGGCTAGAAAAAAGACCCGATTCAGTTTAATCAATGAATTTGGGGGAAATGACAAAAGTCATCATTGTGAAAAATACCTGCACCCTGTCTTTCCTGATAATTTATCCACCTGTATCTTGCTCAACAGTCCCTCTGTTTGCATAGTCTTGGAGTGGAGAGAAATGGAGGGATTGGGGCATGCAGAGAGGAGAGAGAATGATGGAGTGATGAGAGGGAGAGAAATGGACAGACAGATGGGAAGGTGAGGACTGAACCCGGTGAGCAGCACAGATTTGATTTGATTTGAGATGGAGCGTGAATCATGTGACATTGTATCATATGAAAGGGACCCCTCTGAATGAACCCACTACTAGCCCAGACTACTGCCTTAATAGTGTACTATGGTACTATGGCCCAATCCCAAATCAACCCCTATCCCTTCCCCCAAGGCACTTTGAGTATATCGGAAAGGATTGTAAAGACATGCAATATGGGTAGGGGCTAGGGTTGGATTTAGACTTGGACATTCATGTGTGTACAGTGGGGAAAAAAAGTATTTAGTCAGCCACCAATTGTGCAAGTTCTCCCACTTAAAAAGTTGAGAGAGGCCTGTAATTTTCATCATACGTACACGTCAACTATGACAGACAAATTGAGATTTTTTTTCTCCAGAAAATCACATTGTAGGATTTTTAATGAATTTATTTGCAAATTATGGTGGAAAATAAGTATTTGGTCACCTACAAACAAGCAAGATTTCTGGCTCTCACAGACCTGTAACTTCTTCTTTAAGAGGCTCCTCTGTCCTCCACTCGTTACCTGTATTAATGGCACCTGTTTGAACTTGTTATCAGTATAAAAGACACCTGTCCACAACCTCAAACAGTCACACTCCAAACTCCACTATGGCCAAGACCAAAGAGCTGTCAAAGGACACCAGAAACAAAATTGTAGACCTGCACCAGGCTGGGAAGACTGAATCTGCAATAGGTAAGCAGCTTGGTTTGAAGAAATCAACTGTGGGAGCAATTATTAGAAAATGGAAGACATACAAGACCACTGATAATCTCCCTCGTTCTGGGGCTCCACGCAAGATCTCACCCCGTGGGGTCAAAATGATCACAAGAACGGTGAGCAAAAATCCCAGAACCACACAGGGGGACCTAGTGAATGACCTGCAGAGAGCTGGGACCAAAGTAACAAAGCCTACCATCAGTAACACACTAAGCCGCCAGGGACTCAAATCCTGCAGTGCCAGACGTGTCCCCCTGCTTAAGCCAGTACATGTCCAGGCCCGTCTGAAGTTTGCTAGAGTGCATTTGGATGATCCAGAAGAGGATTGGGAAATTTTCATATGGTCAGATGAAACCAAAATAGAACTTTTTGGTAAAAACTCAACTCGTCGTGTTTGGAGGACAAAGAATGCTGAGTTGCATCCAAAGAACACCATACCTACTGTGAAGCATGGGGGTGGAAACATCATGCTTTGGGGCTGTTTTTCTGCAAAGGGACCAGGACGACTGATCCGTGTAAAGGAAAGAATGAATGGGACCATGTATTGTGAGATTTTGAGTCAAAACCTCCTTCCATCAGCAAGGGCATTGAAGATGAAACGTGGCTGGGTCTTTCAGCATGACAATGATCCCAAACACACCGCCCGGGCAACGAAGGAGTGGCTTCGTAAGAAGCATTTCAAGGTCCTGGAGTGGCCTAGCCAGTCTCCAGATCTCAACCCCATAGAAAATCTTTGGAGGGAGTTGAAAGTCTGTGTTGCCCAGCGACAGCCCCAAAACATCACTGCTCTAGAGGAGATCTGCATGGAGGAATGGGCCAAAATACCAGCAACAGTGTGTGAAAACCTTGTGAAGACGTACAGCAAACGTTTGACCTGTGTCATTGCCAACAAAGGGTATATAACAAAGTATTGAGAAACTTTTGTTATTGACCAAATACTTATTTTCCACCATAATTTGCAAATAAATTCATTAAAAATCCTACAATGTGATTTTCTGGATTTTTTTTTCTCATTTTGTCTGTCATAGTTGACATGAACCTATGATGAAAATTACAGGCCTCTCATCTTTTTAAGTGGGAGAACTTGCACAATTGGTGGCTGACTAAATACTTTTTTCCCCCACTGTATATGTAGATACCCAAATGACACCAGAAAACCCACACCTTTAACCCTTCCATGTTCTATGTTTTTATGTGAATGGATAGACATGGTGTATTTCAATAAGACTACAATCAGCCCATTTTATTTGTAGAACTTTATGCCAAGTAGGTGCTCTTAATACAATCTGATTGATGTGAGTTACTCTTAAACTAACAGAAGATTCATATAATATGATTTGCCTCATAATTAAATCTAACGATGTGTTCTTAAAGGTTGTATGAGCATTAAAGGCTGTTATGTCCATAGTTGGCACTGAGGAGGTTTTCCAGCTTGCAGGATTTCATGGCCAATGTAAGAAGTTCCATTCAATGTCCTTAATGTGATGAGCTTATATAAAATGCTATTCTTATTCCAGTCAAAGACCGTTTTCTCTCTCATGCAATAAGATCTACAGTAGGATGCAGGATGCAGTTCTGTGTTCAGTCCACCTCAATGAAACTTCGATAACTCTGTCCCTTTCTTTCCAATGGATACAACTCTAATACGGGACTGTGGCCGTCCAAAAACAGTCTTACTTAATCAAACGCTGATGCAGTGTTGAGCCTGCACCCGAAACCAGGCTAGCTCTGTAGATTTCCGCTGTGCCAATTCCAATGCAGTCCAGTCCAGAGAAAATACCTAAACTTTTTCACAATTTCTTATCATCCATTGAACCGAGACAGTAGTAGGTACGAGTGAAGAGCTGCCATCTTGGTAAAATAACTCATCATTTCCCTGCTTTGCGATGGGCCACACTTCCTCATTACCGTGAACCAATCACATCTCTCTTTCTCAGTCTTTTCGACCTTATTTGGGCGGTATGACCACTAGGGGCGCCCCTCTGCGGGGTCTCCACATCAGCACTTGGGCGTCGTTGGCGTTAGGTCGTCCCAGGGCGTTGGGGGGGATGGGCTCCTGGTAGTTGAGGATGTGGGGCTGCTCCTGGTGAGGACGGCCCACTAGGGAGGCCCGGGAGCCAAGGGGCATGTCAGGGTCCACGGCAATGTCCACCCGCATCCGCCACCGCACCGTCTGCAGCACGATGCGCTCCTGGAAAGTGAAAAAATTATAATAGTAAAGTTAACTTGTATCACAGGAGGTTGGTGGCACCTTAATTGGGGAGAACGGGCTCGTGGTAATGACTGGAGCGGCATCAGTGGAATGGTATCAAATACATCAAACACATAGTTTCCGGACATTATTATGAGCCGTTCTCTCCTCAGCAGCCTCCACTGAGTCTTGTATAGCAACTGCCATTTAATACGCTGCAGCCCAAAGAGCTTTACAGCTAGCACATAGAGCAGTGTTTCGCAATATGTAGCCTACCTTGACTACCCCGGCCCCAAGGCCGCATATTTCTGTCCTAGCCCAGACCTAACACTGGGCAAGGACAGAAATGAACAGTCCTGGGGGTACTCCAGGAACATAATGGAAAACACAAATTTAAAGGGTTAGTTCAGTCCAAAATCAAAGTTTGTCAGATGTTTTCAGACCTCAAAGGTGGTCATGTGTTGAGATGAGTCCACATTGCACACCATTTGTTGGGTCGATCAAACTAATTACAGTTGAAGTCGGAAGTTTACATACACTTAGGTTGCAGAGAATGGTTCCTACTTCTGCAACAAGTGCGACTCAAAGTTTGCGGAAGCGGACTCCCTGAAAGGCCACATGCTCCCGGTCCATGCTGACAAGCCATACAAGTGTGACCGATGCCAGGCTGCGTTCCGTTACAAAGTGAACCTCGACAGCCACAAGACTGTCCACACTGGTAAGACTTCTGTTACATCTTAACTAATATCTGTACGGTCAAACTAATAACGTCATTTTGGTGTCAGAAGTGGGATCCACATACAGTTGAAGTCGGAAGTTTACATACACTTAGGTTGGAGTCATTAAAACTAGTTTTTCAACCACTCCACAAATTTGTTGTTAACAAACTATAGTTTTGGCAAGTCGGTTATGACATCTACTTTGTGAATGACACAAGTACTTTTTCCAACAATTGTTTACAGACAGATTATTTCACTTATAATTCACTGTATCACAATTCCAGTGGGTCAGAAGTTTACATACACTAAGTTGACTGTGCCTTTAAACAGCTTGGAAAATTCCAGAAAATTATGTCATGGCTTTAGAAGCTTCTGATAGGCTAATTGACATCATTTGAGTCAATTGGAGGTGTACCTGTGGATGTATTTCAAGGCCTACCTTCAAACTCAGTGCCTCTTTGCTTGACATCATGGGAAAATCAAAAGAAATCAGCCAAGACCTCCACAAGTCTGGTTCATCCTTGGGAGCAATTTCCAAACGCCTGAAGGTACCACATTCATCTGTACAAACAATAGTACACAAGTATAAACACCATTGGACCACGCAGCCGTCATACCGCTCAGGAAGGAGACGCGTTCTGTCTCCTAGAGATGAACGTACTTTGGTGCGAAAAGTGCAAATCAATCCCAGAACAACAGCAAAGGATCTTGTGAAGATGCTGGAGGAAACCGGTACAAAAGTATCTATATCCATCTATATATACAGTAGAACAAGTCCTATATCGACATAACCTGAAAGGCCGCTCAGCAAGGAAGAAGCCAATACTCCAAAACCACCATTAAAAAGCCATACTACGGTCTGCAACTACACATGGGGACAAAGATCTTACTTTTTGGAGAAATGTCCTCTGGTTTGATGAAACAAAAATAGAACTGTTTGGCCATAATGACAATCGTTATGTTTGGAGGAAAAAGGGGGTTGCTTGCAAGCCGAAGAACACCATCCCAACCGTGAAGCACGGGGGTGGCAGCATCATGCTGTGGGGTGCTTTGCTGCAGGAGGGACTGGTGCACTTCACAAAATAGATGGCATCATGAGGAAGGAAAATTATGTGGATATATTGAAGCAACATCTCAAGACATCAGTCAGGAAGTTAAAGCTTGGTCGCAAATGGGTCTTCCAAATGGACAATGACCTCAAGCATACTTCCAATGTTGTGGAAAAATGGCTTAAGGACAACAAAGTCAAGGTATTGGAGTGGCCATCACAAATCCCTGACTCACAAAGCCCTGACCTCAATCCTATAGAACATTTGTGGGCAGAACTGAAAAAGCGTGTGCGAGCAAGGAGGCCTACAAACCTGACTCAGTTACACCAGCTCTGTCAGGAGGAATGGGCCAAAATTCACCCAACTTATTGTGGGAAGCTTGTGGAAGGCTACCCGAAACGTTTGACCCAAGTTAAACAATTTAAAGGCAATGCTACCAAATACTAATTGAGTATGTAAACTTCTGACCCACTGGGAATCTGATGAAAGAAATAAAAGCTGAAATAAATCATTCTCTCTACTATTATTCTGACATTTCACATTCTTAAAATAAAGTGGTGATCCTAACTGACCTAAGACAGGGAATTTTTACTAGGATTAAATGTCAGGAATTGTGAAAAAACTGAGTTTAAATGTATTTGGCTAAAGTGTATGTAGACTTCCGACTTCAACTGTAGATGGTGCTAATCTTTCCCATGCATTTGGGATTGAGGGACGCATTGTTGGAACCATACAACTGATTGTGTGGGATGTGGATTTATCTCGAGATTAGACCACTTTAGAGGTTGGAAAACAACTGACAAACTTTGACTTTGAAGTGAACTATCCCTTTTAAGATAATAAAACATAAAACTAAACAGAGCAGTTCATAAAATCCAAGGAAGTCCACCTTCTGAAGCCTACCTTGGTGACAGAGTTGATGGCAACCAGCCAGGTGATGAAGCTCTGGTCTCGGGTGATGCATGACAGCATGGGTGTGTTGCTGTTGCTGATGGGCACGGCCCAGGTCACACTGGGGTAGAAGTTGTCATTCATGCTGACCGTGAGGCGCGACGGCTTGGACGTGGGGCCCGTGAGGGTGACCGTCTCGGTGGTGTTGCCGTACCAGGGGTAGCTGACCCCGTCTGAGTCGCTGATGGCCTTGACACGGCCCTCACGGAGCTCCGGTAACTCCCAACTGGACCTTTGGTAGTGGACGGAGAGAATATCTTATTACATAATATCTGGCTACAAAACAGTACAACAGTTTATGATAATGATACATTACAATAGCCTCACTTAATGGACTGTGTTAATAGTAGCCTAGGTCAAGGCAAAAATTTACAGTTGCTAGAATTTCACTCATCCAACTGATACATATACACAGAACAGTTCACATTATGTGACCGACTGGGTACCAAACCCGGATCGTCTGGCCAAGTGACTCAAGACATTAGCCCACTGAACTAAAGCCTATTGTGCGTGTTTGTGTGTGAGAGAGTGAGAGAGAGTCAGAGTCAGTCAGATTGAATGATTACGGATGGTGACAGCTCAGAACTTACATGCCAATGTCACCATAAGTATTGTAGAACTCCATTTGAGTACAAGCCTGGATCCAACCCACCACCCAGGTTTCATTGCGGGGCACCGGAGGCATCACGATCCCGGCGGAGGCCCTGAAGTACGGTGTCTTATACCGCAGCACTATAGGCGAGTTCTCCTCTATCACCGTTGGGCACTGGTCAATGGAGGCCGATACCTCGTAGACTACAATGTTGTCCCTTCTAATGCGCGGCTTGCAGGCGATGCTCTGGATACAGCCCATGGTGCTGACAAGTAGCAGTGTAAGGAGAACCAGAGATGGAGGGAGGAGATGATACCTGACCAGTATGCACATCAGTCCCTCTCGGATTCCAGCGAGCTTGTAAATCAAGATTAATATTTTAATTGCCCATCACTGATGCAGTCAAATAGCTTCAGAAAACGAAATAGATTAATCATTTTGAATATAAACACTGAGCCAACATTCGAAATCAAATCAATACAGCAGTTGTTTTCAAGCACTTTTCCACGCCGGGAAACTGGCACGTTAAGGACATGGAAGGAGAAGAACGAAGAGTTGGGGGAAGGTACACTGAGCATCTCCCCACCGCCTTCCCCCGATATGACTGTTGAGTGCCGCACTGCCCTTGGTGCTTATCCCCAGAAACTGCAATTGGGCCTCCCTCGGGCTGCTGCTTCCTCGCTTCGAGGCCGTCGCCCCCTTTCTTTTCGAGTCCACGCGTCCGGCTGCAGGTCGGTGCCCTTTGATCCTGCTCTTTCGGCTCAGCGTTGTCATGTCAGTGGCGACGGGACAGCAGGTGAGTCAATTGGGATGTTCGGGTGCCTTTGTTTGGATGGCTTGCATAGCCCTGTTATTGGTACGGCGCCCTCAAAGAAGATTGTCTTGGTCGGCACAACAAGAAGACTTTGGCTCATATCCTACCTAAACCCGATGATAGTAGGCTAGTTATAGCCTAATAGGCTATTGAATCAACGAAACAGCGCGTGGCAGGCTATTGTGCCCTGTCGAGCCAATAACGCTAGGCTATTTCAATGTTTTCTTCGTGCCATTCTTGAGATCAAGGATGAGGGAAGCTCGCATCATGAATGGTGCATTATGAATGGTGAGAGAAAGCAGCCAGAGGTGCACAAACGTGCCCGGGACTTCGTGTGACACCCAGCCGCTCAGTTATCCCTTAAATGTTTTGGTGACACGAATCATCCATATCGATCTCCGTCGACCGATTAAGCATTATCTGTCCAACTCCCTTGCTTGGTAGAGCATCATTTCCTCGAGGACGGTCGCTGTTCAGTTAGGCTAGGTGCTGATGCTGGGAGGATAGACAGCGACAACCAGTGAGCGAGAGGCGTTCAACAGACCCCTTCGTTGAAAAAACAAGGATACATCATGTGGGCGTGGTTTACATCCCATGGACACTCCCCCATGTGCTGCCATTGGTTGGCCACGTCAACAGGGGAAGTGGTGTTGGCTTCTGCGGACTTCCCACTGACGCGCGTCAACTGGGTCATTCAAACTGTTCTGCGGTCTCCTCGTCGAGCCGGGTTTACATTTATAGTGTATTTTTGGTTGTTGTTTTCGGTTTATGATTTTCCGTTTATTGAGTATCTTATCTGTGAAGGTGGCGAGCGTTGTCTACAGGGCTGCAACCGCCGCATTGATCATGAAGCCGCAGGTTGTGTTCGTGCTGGGCGGGCCTGGCGCGGGGAAAGGAACCCAGTGCGTCAGAATCGTGGAGGTAAGAGATGGCGACAAAAAAAAAACAATGAAACGGACAATGATAAAATGATCAGGGCATTGAACTGTGTTAGGAAAGAAACCACTAACAGATTTGAGTGGGTTGTGCCAACTTCTGTCCAGGGGAGACCAGCTAAATGTATCAACTTCCGGTTCTTGTCCTCTAAATGTAGCCTACTCATTATGCTAGCTAACATAGCCACAGATAGAAGGAGCAGTTACCAGTATAACTATGCCAAGACCACACTAGCTAACTAACTACGTGAGTGCAATGAATAATAATGATTTTTTCCCCTCCATCAATAGACTTTCAACTAGCTAGCTATGGATAAAGGTTATTCCTGAATACCAGAGAGAGGGGTGTAGTACTTTAATCAGTGAAGTACTTTAATTTTTCTATAAATCAGGATCAATGTGAGTTAGCCAGGTAACTTCGATAAACAACCAGAAATAACCACAATCTAGTTATGTGTTTTGGGTTTTTGTGTCAATTAGAAGATGTTCATTTTTAGCTTATCTTTCTTAAAAATAAAAAGTTATTTAGGCATGTTTAGCTGGTTAACTCATTGATCCTGTGTTGTAGTATACCCCTCAGGAGTCAAAGTGGGCTATAGTTCACCAACGAGAGACAGAGGGTAGCTAGCTTGTTATGTAAAACAGCAGTGACTTCTATTCTAATCAGTAGCTAGTGTTTTCATGTCTTACACTGAACAGACTGTGCCTCTGTTGAGAAACAGAAGGAATAGGAAACAGACTAGGCTACTCTGTGTTTATGGTGGTAGGCTTCTAACTACATACAGAGTAGCCTATGCACTGATATTGACGTCATACGGATGTGTAGTGTACATCTTATCAGTTCAGCTGTTGTGCAATTCACATTATGTAAAGGTATTTTATCTGCAATGCACCTGCTCTAACCCTCCAACCAATGCCCTTGAACAGGGATTCTTGAGAAATCAAGGCATATGTGTATCTGAGTCTGGGTGGTGTTTTGCGTCAATAGATAAACTCAAGCAAATATTTAGCGTCTACTACTGCTATTCAGCTGTCTGACATATTTGCGTCCAACATTGCAGGCCTCCTTTGGCTTTCTTCTGTGCCAAGTTGTTTCATGCATTTGCCAACTACTTTGATGTGTGTTTAGACTTATCAGGGATTGGCATTAAGGGTTGTCATATTGCCCCGGGCAAGTGACATGAACAGTCGTGCAAGTTGAGCCTGCTCTGTGGTTGCCCCATTGAACAGGTGATTTTTTTTCTCTCCTGATAACAGCCAAAATGCAAATGATTCCATTAGTCTGATCTTTCTGGTTCCTCTCCTGTGGGTAGGTGACCTTAATGTCAATCCCTGCCCTATATTCATAATTTAAGGCAGGGGCCATATGTGTTTGAGCAAGCATCCTGAAATAACACCTGTTCTATTCATTCAGCACAATAGTAGTTAAAGGGCACTAGTGATGCTGTCTCGTTGCTCCCTAAAGCCCTCCCCTGCTTTCAGTGTCAATGGAGCACAGAAACACACTGTTGAACAATAACCATCTAGCTATATAACACATTACTCTTTTCTATTTATCCTCTGCTTAGGACATTGTTACTATTGCACTCCTTTTAAAGGAACTACATTACACCCGGACAATTTCATTCTCATAACCCAATTGATTCCTAAACAAAGTAGGCTAGCTACATTGATAGGAAAGATGTAATGGGGAGATTTAAGGTGACTAAAGTTAATATTTAGTTTAGAGTGATCAATAGAATGTGTATATATATTTTCCTTTCCGTAATACACAGGATTTCTAGTGTTTGTGACACTCAAGGTGCGTGTTGATGGTCACTAGACTTGATGCTGAATGTTATGGATTATTCTCATATCTGTTGATAGTGGTTGACGCCAGACGGAATGTATAAGGACAGAGAGAACACTGATTATTCACTGTTGTATTGATGACATTCTGGGAACACTGTGTGATTCTGTAGCAGCTGACAGCACTGCCTTTAGTTTTGACTTCCTACAAGCCTCTCGGGCTGGTGTTTACAGAACATTTGGTGCTGTCTGATTAGGATATAAGGGCCTGTCTCCAAGAGGCTGGTGTTTACAGAACATTTGGTGCTGTCTGATTAGGATACAAGGGCCTGTCTCCAAGAGGCTGGTGTTTACAGAACATTTGGTGCTGTCTGATTAGGATACAAGGGCCTGTCTCCAAGAGGCTGGTGTTTACAGAACATTTGGTGCTGTCTGATTAGGATATAAGGGCCTGTCTCCAAGAGGCTGGTGTTTACAGAACATTTGGTGCTGTCTTATTAGGATACAAGGGCCTGTCTCCAAGAGGCTGGTGTTTACAGAACATTTGGTGCTGTCTGATTAGGATATAAGGGCCTGTCTCCAAGAGGCTGGTGTTTACAGAACATTTGGTGCTCTCTGATTAAGATATAAGGGCCTGTCTCCCAATTTGTAAGTTGCTCTGGATAAGAGTGTCTGCTAAATGACTTAAATGTAAATGTAAATGTCCTCAAGAGGCTGGTGTTTACAGAACACTTGATGCTGTCTGGTTAGGATATAAGGGCCTGTCTCCCAGACGCTGGTGTTTACAGAACACTTGATGCTGTCTGATTAGGATATAAGGGCCTGTCTCCCAAACGCTGGTGTTTACAGAACATTTGGTGCTGTCTGATTAGGATGTACAGTGAGGGAAAAAAGTATTTGATCCCCTGCTGATTTTGTACGTTTGCCCACTGACAAAGACATGATCAGTCTATAATTTTAATGGTAGGTTTATTTGAACAGTGAGAGACAGAATAACAACAAAAAAATCCAGAAAAACGCATGTCAAAAATGTTATAAATTGATTTGCATTTTAATGAGGGAAATAAGTATTTGACCCCTCTGCAAAACATGACTTAGTACTTGGTGGCAAAACCCTTGTTGGCAATCACAGAGGTCAGACGTTTCTTGTAGTTGGCCACCAGGTTTGCACACATCTTAGGAGGGATTTTGTCCCACTCCTCTTTGGAGATCTTCTCCAAGTCATTAAGGTTTCGAGCTTGACGTTTGGCAACTCGAACCTTCAGCTCCCTCCACAGATTTTCTATGGGATTAAGGTCTGGAGACTGGCTAGGCCACTCCAGGACCTTAATGTGCTTCTTCTTGAGCCACTCCTTTGTTGCCTTGGCTGTGTGTTTTGGGTCATTGTCATGCTGGAATACCCATCTACGACCCATTTTCAATGCCCTGGCTGAGGGAAGGAGGTTCTCACCCAAGATTTGACGGTACATGGCCCCGTCCATTGTCCCTTTGATGCGGTGAAGTTGTCCTGTCCCCTTAGCAGAAAAACACCCCCAAAGCATAATGTTTCCATCTCCATGTTTGACGGTGGGGATGGTGTTCTTGGGGTCATAGGCAGCATTCCTCCTCCTCCAAACACGGCGAGTTGAGTTGATGGCAAAGAGCTCGATTTTGGTCTCATCTGACTACAACACTTTCACCCAGTTCTCCTCTGAATCATTCAGATGTTCATTGGCAAACTTCAGACGGGCCTGTATATATGCTTTCTTGAGCAGGGGGACCTTGCGGGTGCTGCAGGATTTCAGTCCTTCACGGCGTAGTGTGTTACCAATTGTTTTCTTGGTGACTATGGTCCCGGCTGCGTTGAGATCATTGACAAGATCCTCCCGTGTAGTTCTGGGCTGATTCCTCACCGTTCTCATGATCATTGCAATTCCACGAGGTGAGATCTTGCATGGAGCCACAGGCCGAGGGAGATTGACAGCCTTTTGTGTTTCTTCCTTTTGTGAATAATCGCACCAACTGTTGTCACCTTCTCACCAAGCTGCTTGGCGATGGTCTTGTAGCCCATTCCAGCCTTGTGTAGGTCTACAGTCTTGTCCCTGACATCCTTAGAGAGCTCTTTGGTCTTGGCCATGGTGGAGAGTTTGGAATCTGATTGATTGATTGCTTCTGTGGACAGGTGTCTTTTACACAGGTAACAAGCTTTAAGAGTGTGCTCCTAATCGCAGCTCGTTACCTGTATAAAAGACACCTGGGAGCCAGAAATCTTTCTGATTGAGAGGGGGTCAAATACTTATTTCCCTCATTAAAATGCAAATCAATTTATAACATTTTTGACATGCGTTTTTCTGGATTTTGTTGTTGTTATTCTGTCTCTCACTGCCATTACAATTATAGACTGATCATTTCTTTGTCAGTGGGCAAACGTACAAAATCAGCAGGGGATCAAATACTTTTTTCCCTCACTGTAAGAGCCTGCTCAGAAGAGGCCAGTTAGACATTTTCTCTGCTTCTGTGCTGGGTGTGTGGTGTCTCCCCGTTGCAACTTGTACTAAACCGGATTGACTTGATTGACTTTATGAACGAGTGCTTTCCTTTGTGTTCTGCTGGACATTCCTCTTACAATACAAGTATACAAATGTTTTTGTCCCATTGTTCTCCATAAGCGGTTGAACCAGTAATTATTATTATTCGAGGAGTGCACTGTGTTGTTTTGGTTAAGGCTGGCATTAACCCTCTGTGTTGTTTTGGTTAAGGCTGGCATTAACCCTCTGTGTTGTTTTGGTTAAGGCTGGCATTAACCCTCTGTGTTGTTTTGGTTAAGGCTGGCATTAACCCTCTGTGTTGTTTTGGTTAAGGCTGGCATTAACCCTCTGTGTTGTTTTGGTTAAGGCTGGCATTAACCCTCTGTGTTGTTTTGGTTAAGGCTGGCATTAACCCTCTGTGTTGTTTTGGTTAAGGCTGGCATTAACCCTCTGTGTTTTTCCCAGAACTACAGTTACACTCATCTGTCTGCCGGAGACCTGCTGAGGGCTGAACAGAGCCGAGAGGGGTCCGAGTTCGGACAGCTCATCGATAACTACATCAAGGATGGCAAGATCGTCCCTGTCGAGATCACCATTAACTTACTCAGGAAGGTATGCACTAACTCCAGGTACCTATGACTACAGGGTTTGTGTTAACTGTTGACCTTTAGGAAGCTGGCAGTTAGCATTACTATTAGCTTGGATAATATGGAGTAGCGCTATCCAGTCATTTTGGTCTGAGTACTAAAATAGTCTCTGTCATTGCTCCATAGGCTGAATTAATCCTTGCTTCACCCTTAAAGGGATAGTTCACCCAAAATATGTTTAATATCAGATGCATATAGTGAGGTCTACAGGTGGTGTGTAAGACTTTTTAGACATAAAAATGTCTGACTTCGATTTGGGGAAGAACATCCCTTTTAACTTCCACTTTCCTTTGTCCTCAGGCCATGGAGGAGACCATGCAGATAGACGAGAAGAAGTTCCGCTTCCTCATCGACGGCTTCCCCCGAAACGAAGACAACCTCCAGGGGTGGACCGCTGTCATGGACGGGAAGGCTGACGTCAAATGTGTGCTTTTCTTCGACTGTAGCAATGAGGTAATAATACACCTTGGGGGGAGGATCTCCACGAGGAAGGTGAGGGGACGAAGAGGGAGGGGCAACAGATCAGATATGACACATTTGGAGTACGACTTTTATTTCTGAAAGTTGCCTCCGAGTGTGAATGGCTTTTATTGCTTGGCTGACAGTGTAATACTTTATCCTGAGAGCTGTGTTTTGTCTTGTCTACAGGTCTGTATCAACCGATGTCTAGAAAGAGGGAAGAGCAGTGGCCGGACCGATGACAACAGAGCGAGCCTGGAGAAAAGGTAGTGTCCAAACTCTAAGGCTTGCCATGATCACCGACCACTGACCTCTTTTAATATGAACTGGACCTCTCAAAATGGCACACGGCTCTTGCTCATTTAAAAGAAGGTGTACTTATAAGGCGCCATATGTTGAAATAGCTCTGCTGTTTCCTGGTTTCTAAAATTCTAATTTCAGTTAATGCGACACAACAAGCAATGTATAGTGTAGAGCAGGGCTGTCCAACCCTCTTCCTGGAGATCTACCGTCCTGTAGGTTTTCAGCCCAACCCTAACTTAGCGTATCTGATTCAGCTAGTTAATGTCTTGTTGAGCAGCTAATAAGTAGAATCAGGTGTGTTAAATTAGGGTTGGACTGAAAACCCACAGGACGGTAGATCTCCAGGAAGAGGGTTGGGCTGAAAACCTACAGGACGGTAGATCTCCAGGAAGAGGGTTGGGCTGAAAACCCACAGGACGGTAGATCTCCAGAAAGAGGGTTGGGCAGCCCTGGTGTAGAGAATCATCATGCTATCTTAACCGCTGTGAAATATAGTTTCAGTTACCAAAAATTTTGTAATTTCAGCAGTTTTAAGTTGGTGTACTAAACCGAAGGTAATATGAAGCAAAAACTAAACGAGGGGAAGCATATCAATATTTAATATAGAACATATCTACTGTTAATCAGACTTGCTTGCAATGAGAATGACAGATCTATAACTCGCATTTCTATCTGAAATCAGTCAGGTTGTACACGAAACTACATAATGCACCTTTTAATAATGGACTTTAGTGAAAAAAACATTGGCGGGCATTGCTTTTGAGATTGCGATTTTCAGTCCCACCTTGACTCAGCCTTAAAAGGAATATACACGGGAGCATGTTTTAGCTTGGCTGTATGTACCATTTTGGGTCTCCTCTGAGTCCTGGGTGCTGGTCAGCCCTGTTTCTGAGCCTCTGTTTCCTCCCCTGAAGGATCCAGACCTACCTGCAGTCGACACGGCCAATCATCTCACTGTATGAGAAACAGGGCAAGGTGCGCACCGTGGATGCCTCGTGCGGTGTGGACGAGGCAAGCAACAGGAGTATACAGCACTGCACCATTGCAGTCACACATGATGGGCATTTGGAACACGCTCAGTAGTACACACTCAGTAGTACACACTCATTCACTGATCTTATAATTCAGTATGAATTCCCTCAATCTGAGTTGTTTCTTTCCCTATTGGTTGTCTCTCTCTTCCCTTGCAAACTCCGGAGGGCAGTCACACACTTGTGCCCAGGCGATTGCACATGTATTGCGATTGCACATTCTCTAATGCATCTCTTTCTCTCCCTGTCTGTTTCAGGTGTTTGCCAATGTCAAAACCATCCTGGACAAAGAGGGTTGAAATTCCGCACACTGCCAACAACTACAATTCACAGCTACTTTTAGTTGTTATTTTTATCAACGGCAGCAACAATATTCTCCTGTTTATTTCCATTCATGACTTTTTACCTTTATTATTATTTTAAGGGGGCGGGGGGTCTTTATTTTGTGAATGCCGAGCTGCTCGTCCAAGGGTGAGTGTGTGTATGAGTGAATAAGATGGGTAGTACGATGCTCTGATGACAAACCTTACATGGGTGCACTATGATAGTAGTACACCGACTGACATGCCTGTCATTTTAGTCCGGGGGGCCTTTGAATAGGGACAAGACTAGTAGAATTGCTCTTTGCTTTGTGAGATGCTCGTTTCTGTTGTCAAGCAGAGGCATATACAGTACTGTATGTTAACAAAATTACGTTCTCTGTGATAAAATCTCTGTACTATAAAAGTGCACAAAGATCAGCTCTCGACCCACGTTTTTGTTGCGTGTTATTTTTTAAATCATTGATTACACGACAAAGGGAAAAGGAGCAGTTTTGTTGAATTGGAGTATGTTACCCATATAAAGTGGGAGAAAAAGTAAATGACAGACAAACCAAATATACCCCCCTCTCGTGTCTGTCTGTTTGTACTTCATTTTTCTTTGACAGGTGAATACTTACTGATGGACCCACTCAAACGGATAATTCCACACTCACAGACAGAAGATCACAAGGTTATATCAGTGTCACTCAACTGTTTGCTGGCCGGTCCCTGAGACTGTAATTTGTTCAGTTCTACAGTGCTCTTTAATGTAAACGGTTCCCAAGGAGAAAAGACCATAGCTTGCTGATCCCTGACACAAAAGAGACCATAGCTTTTAAGTCCCTGGTACAAAAAAAGGTCAAGAAACAGTCTTCCTGGAACAATATAATTTTGATATCTGTAACTATATTTATGACCTATTTATTTTGTTTCCAACACAAGCCTTAAACAGTTATGGTAGGTGGAACAACTTTGCCACATAGACCAAACTCATGTCACAGAAATCGTTCAACATTGTTTAAATTACATTTTATTTCATCCAGGCTTGCTTGTGTGTTATAGTTTAATCTGATGAGAATGTCATTATGTAATTCAATATATAAACAGCCATCAGAGTAAGTATTATGTAACAATGTGCAGTTACACTGGACCTACCCATGTAACTCTACATTGTAAATACTGACGTGGACAGATAGGAATCACTTCTATGTCAGTCAACCAATAAGCCAGCAGAGGGCACACTGACATTCCTAGTGATTGGCTAGGGTTGAGAAATGCAACGTCACCATTCTTACTTTATTAGTTATTTGAGTTTTTCATGTCAATTTCCCCATTTAAAGTGTCTCATTCACATACTTTGCATTGAATTAGACATCATTGAATTATATCTTGTGATTTCTTGACTCTCTAGCATACCATCACTTCTGTTATCTGTGTTCAAGGAAAATGTCCATTGACTCTTATCTTCAAAGAGCACTCACAAACATGTCATTTTATTTGTGTTTCAACTCTGTGTGGCCAAATATTAACAGAATCTATCCAAATGAACTTTATTTAGTCAAAACAAAATTAAAGCAGTGTTGTCTTTTTGTAAATGATCAATGAGGACCCCCCCCCCCCCCACACACACACACACAGGAAACTGTTGAGCGTGAAAAACCCAGCAGCGTTGCAGTTCTTGATACAAACCGGTGCGCCTGGCACCTACTACCATACCCCGTTCAAAGGCACTTAAATATTTTGTCTTGCCCATTCCGTCTCTGAATGGCACACATACACAATCCATGCCTCAAGGCTTAAAAATCCTTACTTAACCTGTCTCCTCCCCTTCATCTATACTGATTGAAGTGGATTTAAGTAACGTGAATAAGGGATCATAGCTTTCACCTGGTCAGTTATGTCATGGAAAGAGCAGGTGTCCTTAATGTTGTGTACACTCAGTGTCTGTGTCATAGTGTCTCATACTGTGGTTAGTCCCCTGTAGCTCAGTTGGTAGAGCATGGCGCTTGCAACGCCAGGGTTGTGGGTTCGTTTCCCATGAGGGGCCAGTATGAAAAATGTATGCACTCACTAACTGTAAGTTGCTCTGGATAAGAGCGTCTGCTAAAATGACTAAAATGTCAATGTAAAATGTTTGTCCTCTGGGGAAGTTCATGGTATTGTGTTTTCGTTGACGCCTTTGAGCGCGTCATAAAAGTTACATTCTATGGTAGATGAGATCACCTACACTGACTATTATAAGACTATGATCATGGAATAGAAGATAGTAATTATAAATTACTGTTAGGATGTGCATTTTCACATTGACAAATGAAAAGATAAATGTATGTTTTCATAATACATTCCTTTATTTATAGTTCACATAAAGCTCTGCAGTTTACAAAGACAAGTGTTGATAACATTCCTGAGGACTTGTAGCTTGAGAGCTGGTGTACTTACAGCTGGTGGGCTTGAGACAAAAAGCGTACAAAACAAATACAGTACAAAGTGCTGACGTAGGACATTGCACTAATGAACTGAATGGACAAAAAAATTCTGACAACTCAGTGTAAGGCACCTTCAATACATTGTGTATGCATGTATGTATCCATGTCGGATAATATATTATTTTGACCAAATTACAGATTCAATGACAAACTTTCACTTGGTGGAAAGACATAAAAAGCGGCTGTACCATAGTAATGCAGACATATACTCTGCCAGCAGAGGGCAATCTGGGTTGGTAGTACATGATATATTCACAATAATAAGATAAGAAACTACAAAGAACTGGGTAATACATTAGCTCATGTCCAGCTGAACATGCCCCCATATACTGCATCTATAACAGAACTGGGTAATACATTAGCTCATGTCCAGCTGAACATGCCCCCATATCCTGCATCTATAACAGAACTGGGTAATACATTAGCTCATGTCCAGCTGAACATGCCCCCATATCCTGCATCTATAACAGAACTGGGTAATACATTAGCTCATGTCCAGTTGAACATGCCCCCATATCCTGCATCTATAACAGAACTGGGTAATACATTAGCTCATGTCCAGCTGAACATGCCCCCATATACTGCATCTATAACAGAACTGTACCAATGTAACAGTGTTTCTCAATATGAATGAACATTTGTCGTAGTTTTCTAGAAGTAGACTGTCCAACTGAAAACATTCAGGAAGAAAAGTCATACATAACTGAAAACCGAACACATTAAGTAAAAATTATTACCCGATAATAATTCCTATTCCAAAATTCAAATTTCCAAAATGTATATTCCATCACAGGACATTTCTCAAGATCTTAAAACACACACATTAACATGTATACACAGTACATACTGGATTTATATACAAACATACAGTAAAATGGCTATAAATAATATGAAATATTCACATTTGGAGGAAACTTGTCTGCCAGTGCCAACAAACACAACAATCGACAGCGTGGTACTAAGACACTATGACAACGTGTTCCTAAAACAACATAAAAAGGTTGCCAGCCAATCACACTCCATCGTCCCAGTGTCCATTTAGCAGGCCTTGGCCAAGCCAACGAGCATGTCCTGGTTCGCCCGGCGGTACTGAGCCTTGGTGTTGGTGACTGCGCCGTGCTTCTGCCGGAGATGCAGCCTCAACTGGCTCTTGTGGCGAAAGTGGAGGTCACATTTCTCGCACTGAGGAAGAAAAAGAACGAACGCAATGAGTCACTAATTGAATCAAACTGCCTCTCAATGGGTTCATTCATACATTAAACTAAGGGTTAGCAGGAGGACAGAGGATATAGCCACTATGCATTTAAACTAAGGCCCTGGGTACTCGGCTTAGGCTATTGATAGGCAGTCACAGGAAGCCAGGAAGGGATTATAGGAAATGGAGCAGTCCAGATTAACCAGATACACACTGGGTCAAGTGAACGGAAAGACAAGGCACTTACATGGTAGGGCTTTTCTCCTGTGTGGATGCGTAAGTGGCTCTTGAGGGTCTGAAGATGGCGGAAGTGCGTCCCACAAATCTCACAGGGATAAGGCTTCTCCCCTGTATGGATCAGCACATGGGCCCGGAGGTGAGCTACCTAGGAACGAAATACATAAGATACTTTCGATTTGTAGGAGACAAATTCAAGTATACATAATTATATATGAATTATATTTGTCCTTCATGAGTGAATGACAGATCATAGCTGTTTCCTCACCTGTACGAAGCAAGCGCCACATGTCTCACACTTGTATGGCTTCTCTCCTGAGTGGATGCGGGTGTGGGTCTTGAGGTTGGCCGGCCGGTTGAACTGAGCGCCGCAGATGTTACAGCGGTACGGTTTCTCTCCTGGAATACAACAGGCATAAAGAAACCATGAAACACTGATCCCACCCAGGACCCTGTAAATACGCTGTTATTAGTTACAGTATGTGGATCCCACTTTTGACACCAAAATTACGTTATTAGTTTGACCGTACAGATATTAGTTAAGATGTAACAGAAGTCTTACCAGTGTGGACAGTCTTGTGGCTGGCGAGGTTCCCTTTGTAACGGAACGCAGCCTGGCATCGGTCACACTTGTATGGCTTGTCAGCATGGACCTGGAGCATGTGGCCTTTCAGGGAGTCCGCTTCCGCAAACTTTGAGTCGCACTCGTTGCAGAAGTAGGAACCATTCTCTGCAAGGGAAACTTTGAGATTTAGTCAATTAAAACAACATGAATGTAACTATACTGTGTGAACGTTTATTGCATTGGCCCCACTCATTGAAACACACTACTGACCACAGCTTGAGTCGGAGTACTCAGAGTGCAGCTTATTGGTGTCCTCCCCGCTGTAGGAGCCAGGGGAGTGGGGACACTCCTCCAGGTGCTGAGCGGCGTCCGTACCACAGGAGGAGCATCTCTGCTGGCTAATGCTGTGATGGCTGGCCTGCGGCACAAGGATCTCTTCCCCATGCTCGTTGACTATCTCTCCAGTCTGCAGCTCTTCAATGGGTCCCTCTGATCCACTGGTCCTGTAGGGGCCCTGTGGAGGGGAGCAGTCCCCAGCCTCAACTCTCCCTACCTGGGACTCATCCTCCTCGGAGGTCTGGTTCATAACGATAAACTTGTACTTCTTCCAGTTGCGGGCCTTGGGCTCCTGGGAGCAGCCAGATGGCTGGGTCAGGGCCGGGGCTGCGTTCCTGCTGCAGCCGCTGGACTCGGTGGGGGAGTTGGGTTGGCAGTCAGAACGGAGGGGGCTTTGGGGGTTGCAGATCACCCCTTTGCTGAAGCCTGGGGACAGGCTGAGGGAGTCGGGCTGGGGGTGCTGGTTGCTGTCCTCCTCCATGGGGGAGGCCCCTCTGTGTTCAGGCCCCTGGAGGCCGCCAAATGACCCCGACTGACGGCTGGAGCAGGGGAGAGGGCGGATGATCATAACTGAGGAGGAAGAGGAGTCGGATGACAAAGGGTGGTGGATGATGGTGGTCTCTGTGCGATTCGCGGGAGAGCAGAGTTTCTGAGAGACGGCGCCCCCTTTGGGAATGTCACTGACATTGCAGGCGTCTGGCATTTTTCCGATGGGGATGGGGACGTGTTTTCCATGGACGTGGTGGGAGCTACCCGAAGCATTGATACCACTGAATACACTGGGGGAGTAGCTCCTCCAGTCTCTGAGAGGAGATATGGATGTGTGGCTGGGGCTGGTCACCACCCCATCCAGAACCCTGAAAGCAGGGAGGTCCTGAGAGAGACGCATTGGGCTGGCCAGTACCTCCTCTCTCTGCAGACTCACAGACTGCTCTCTAAAGGGCAGAAAGGAAGATAAACTATTTAGTTCCAAACTGATACTATTTAGTTCCAAACTGATACCATTTCGATGTGAATAAGAAAAATAGGGCCTGGAAATATTCACAGACCTGACCAGGAAAAGTTCCAGGCACTAGTAGGCTACATTTTTACATTTCAGTCATTTAGCAGACGCTCTTATCCAGAGCGACTTACAGTCAGTGAGTGCATACATTTTCATACTGGCCCCCCGTGGGAAACGAACTCACAACCCTGGCGTTGCAAGCGCCATGCTCTACCAACTGAGCTACAGGGGACTGTAGGCTACAGACCTAGTATAAATAGATGAGCAATTATGCATTTTTTCCCGTACCTGGACTTGATGAACCTGCGACAGGTATCCACCACATGTTCCATCTGGAGGTACGAGGCTGTGTTCATGGTAACCAAAACAAGGCTGTCCTTCAGGGTCAGGGTGGAGGTGTACATGAAGTCCAGCAGGATGGCAAAACCATCAGGGTCCACCTTGGGGTCCAGGCTGATGGCACTCAGGTTACTCTTCAGGGGGTCCGTGAATATGGAGTAAAAGAGCCCACTATAAAATCAAAAAATAACAATCACATGTTACGATTATAACCCTTTTCTCTCACAATGACAATCCTATAGCACAAGAAGGATGATTGGCCTAAAAACTGGTAGTTGGTCTTGAACGTACCTGCAGGCCACGAGGACCGTCTTGTGAGCGCAGAAGTGCTGACCGTCAATCTGGATAGTGACATCCGTCAGGATATTTCTACTGCGGAGTCGGTTGAAGTTGAGCAGTACATCACCGGCATGGCGGGTAAATTGAATACAGCCATCTGCCAATGAGGCCATAGTGTCAGAATCTGAGGAAACATGGGAAATACCTTGTAAATTAAGGACAATCTGCCAAACACAGATTGTGAGAGTTGCAGAATGATATTAACATAAAGTAAGCAAAGCTGTTCTTTTTTATTTAAATATGTAATATTCTCTATATGAGGACGTAGTACTATCACTCTATTACCATTGAACTTGGTGTGTGTCAGAAATATTTCCTCAATAGGTGGCGCCATTTCAATGTCCAACAAAGTAAACATCATTGGGGGAAAGTGGACCACGTTTCTGCGAGTGAGGCTACAGACAGATATTCCTAACCATATCAACTATAGGGTATAGCCTACATCTTAGAGGCATTGAACTGATGTTCATAACATAGTGACAAGCCATGATTGTTGTGGCCAGTGGGAAAGTAGACTTTGTACAGGCTACAGTGAACAAGTTAGGCTATCTGTTGGTGTCCATAGCGGATTACATATTGCTATTAGACCTTCCAACGACAATTTAGAATTAAACCTTACAATAAGTTTAAAAAATAAAATATTTTTACATTTAGAAATTGTGAGTTTTACTCAAATGCAAATGTTTTACTATAGGCTACATTACTTTGAAACAGTTTGATAAAACTTCACGTTTAAAACCTATTTCATCCGTTAATAGCTCGGTGTATTCGATTATGACCGATTTGCTTTTGGCATATATCCAAGCCCACCTCAAGAGGAGCCCGAGTTTCGCGCATGGAACGTGTCTAGCGTTTAGTACATTCCGTCTTGGGTGCGCACAGATTAGGTTGCTTCTAAATAGGCTTCCTGTTTTTCGATAGGTCTAGAAGTGGAAAGACACCTGGTTTAACCCATGACATTAGACCCAACTTATTTTTACCTTGAAAAATAAAATTCTAAAAAAATTGGAATATGGCAAAATAGGCCTATGCGTAAAATAGGGTGTAGGATTTTAGGAGTTTCAAATGCATGTGCACATAGGCCTACACATTGCACAGAGGCTCCATGTAAGTTTAGTACAAAACTAGTAGGCAGTTATTGATAATAACGGTCCATAAAAACAGATCAAGAATGTACATCTGCGTCAACATATTGTTCGATTTTTGTTTAAACTCACTACCGATCGAAAACGTTGTCGACAGTTTAGCAGTCGAAATCTACCAGCGAAGTGAAACCACCATCAGAGAGAGGGAAAACAGTGCGCAAAGCTGAAAAGTAGTACGCAGTGATCTAACCAGACTGGCTCGCCCTGTTGCGCTACTTTTCTTGCTATAGTTTACTGATATTTAACGACTATTAAATATATACTTTTTGAGAATATTAAATTCATACTACCCGGAAAAACTACTTTGATCAATCTAAAGAAATCTGACTATATAACACAAAAGTAATATTTCTGTACAGTAGGATAGGCTATAAACCAACTGCACATTATGACTAATATATTATCTCTCGATAATATCTATATTTCGATAAACCAACATGATCAAAGTAGGACCATTGGCAATGAAAAAACCCCAATAGTTTCGCAATGAAAGACGAACTTCCGAGAAAATCTCTCGCACACATGCTGCTTAAGCAGATGATATACTAGACTACCTGACCATGCATCAAGTATAAACATCAGCAAGACGTCTAACAACTGTAGTCTAAGAAACCCCACTGTTCACAAAACGAAAGAAAACATTAGAAATCAAAAGTATTTAAGTATTTAAAGTTGATCAATAGAGCCAATGAGCCACAACGCATGTCTACCACTACAAGTAACTTCTGATATAATACTGTCAAATAATGGAGAAAAAAATCACCTTGTAAAACTTTCCTGGAAACTTCGTGCATCACCAGTTCTCAGAATGCAGTTCTAAGAAACTCAAGGGCTTAATTCTCGGAATTCTACCAGTGGGCCATACCATTTCCAAACCAATGAGGAGGGTACATGATGTTGTGTGTGTCGTTTTATCGTCATTACAGGAAATATATTTGGATATTCAATTTAGACTGTAAAATACGCGTTATATACTATTGATTCAGATTCGAAAATAAACGGTGATATGGATTTGAACTATGACAACTATTTTATTATTGCTCTATTCTCCCTCTTTAGTGGAACTGTCGCAATACAAGGTCACCTGACCATTATGTAGACCTCGAAGAATTTGAGCTCGTTCACGAGGCTGGACACGAGCACGGCTTGCGCATGAGCATTTGATCTATAAATCAGGCGATAGGTGGCTTGTAGTTAGAAACTTGTTTTTACTTTTACGCGGAATCCTACAATTAATAATTGTGGCCGAACATTGTCAGACCTGACTTTGTTGACTTCATCACGTTCAGCTATCGACCTGGGATTTTAACCTTTTACCTGTGCGTTTTTGTTTGGAAGTACGAGTGATTACATTCATTTTGGTATTTTGGGGGACTCAATAATGAACGTTATAATCGTTGATGGTTGCGCACGCTAGACTTTGGAAATAGCATAGCACCCAATGGCAAACAATGGCAAACGTTGTAAATTAATTGGACTCTGTGTTAATAGTAATAGTTAATAGTAAGCGCAGCCAAAAATCTGTTGTGAAGGCTTGCCTTTACAGAAATCTCCACCTATAGGCGTGCGTAAAACTCTTGCGCAAGAGCTCCAAAGGCAGCAATGGTTAATGCGCTATAGTAATGCGCATCATGCGGACTGCTCTGTGTGATTTATCTGTTTATTAAATTATATTAATTTCTAATACACATGTTGGAATAGGTTTACACTTAATCCCGGTTATTTACTGTTACTTTTACATGAGTCGTCGACATTATCAGCCTCCACTGATTTAACTTGAGTAGCCTAACCCATTAAGGTGCCAGGCAAAATGTAAACAAATGTGATATTCACATGGCGCAGCCCCCACCTGTAGTGAACCTTACAATAAGTACAATATGTACTTGAAATGAAGTAACATTGTGTGTGTGTATGAGAAAGAGACTGGCTTTTAGATTAGACCTAATGCTGACTCAGAAGCATTGCTCTTTGCAAGATTCTTCTTCTTCTCTGATGTTCATCATATTAGCCTTGTTGTTGATGTGGAGCGTGCAAGATTCTTATTGCAATGTTTTCTCTCTAAATCACCTCTTTGACACACATCCTCTAGATAAATCTTCAAATCTTCAACAGCAACAACTGTGGCCTGTTTCACATGTTTTTAGATCACATTCGTCTAACTCAGTTGTCATTTTGAAATGTGTTAACTTTATTAGTAATGAAAGCCTTAAAACATTTTTATTTGAACAACATGCATTATGACACATTGTGACATAATGATATAAAAAAAGTACAATAATGCTTATTGTAAAGGAAATGCTTATTGTAAAGTAAATGCTTATTGTAAAGTAAATGTTTGTTGTAAAGTAGTGCTTATTGGAATTTGTCAAATAAAACACTAGAATCAATCTATTCTGATAAGCAAATAGCCTAATAATAGGAAAATATTGACATATTTGTATACAATAAATACAATATAATGAATACATGAAATAATAACACAAGGCCAACCCAAACATCCCATTCAAAGATACTTATTTACAATAGTGTTTTTTTAAATCGTATATTTGTGCTGTCGTTTAAGCCACTATTGACCTCACTCCAGTATCTCAGAGATTTCATTTTTGGTAAAATGGAGCGAAACGAAGGCCAAAGGGACTCCAAACATGCTTCCTCATTCTTTAAAACAGAGCTAATTCAAGAAGCTGCATGCAACATATGGCAGTGATGCAATTCTAGCTATGAGTTCTAAAACATTTGGGAAAAGCCCTCTCTGGGTTGTCAATTTGATCTGCATTCTAATCTATATTATGATTCTTGAGTAGGCTAATCTAGGAGGGAGTGTGGTAACTAACCTGGGCAAATTTGGCAAAAAATCCCAATGATGTGGCAAGACTGAGGAGGTGGAGGAAATGTTATAGCCATGTAAAAGGTTCATTTCATTTCATAATAGTTGCATAATGATGAATCCTGTTTCTCATTAAAACAAACACTATTACTCACCATATTCGACCTGTAATTAAAGGGATAGTTCACCTAAATTACAAAATTACATATTTGTTTCCTTACCCTGTAAGCATTCTATGGACAAGGTATGACAGCAATCCGTGCTTTGGTTTAGTGTCCCTGGCACTGCTAATGTTTTAGCATTTGTGGCACAAATCTCATTCAAGTCATAGGACCGATATTAGCATTTTTCACGCATCATGTTCAAATAATCTTTAAGTGACATTGTTGAGCTTCACAATCAATTTTAGATACTTTTGGATGATTTTTTAAAGCAAGTAACAGCAAAATACTAATTGTTACTACATAATTGCTTAGTTAATAACAAACATCAGCGGAAATGTAAAATAAAATGCTACCCTGTACGTAGTAAGTCAAGGGCTTAAAACAATAATATTTGAATTAAAGCATATGAAGTGGGAACATCTCCTACATCTCTTCTCAATACTACATGCTTAAACAAAAGGTAAAGAGGTTTAGGTGACTATGGTAACTGAGAGGTCTATTTCTAGGACGTGATGTCTCCTCCATAGGCCTATGTTGTCCTCGCTTATCTTTAGTGGTTGAAATATCATGTGGTTTAATCATCTTAGCATCATCCTTTCGAGACTCAATGTACTCTTTGGTGTAATTGAACACGGGCAAGAAGAAACCCATACATACACAGCTTGTGGTAAATACTTACTCAAGCAAAATACCAATAGTCAGGGCTTGTGAGGTTTCGAAGTCCCACTGGTGTGCAGTTGTTTTGTCTTCCTTCCACTCAGCACAGTGACAGTGAGGCAGCCATATTTCCTGTGAGCTGCAAGATTAACATGCACCAGAACTGTTAATCTTCTGGCCTCTTCTGTTCTGATATCAGTGTAGGAGCTAAACCTTAATGTACAGAGAGTCAGGCCTATGAAAAATACACTTGAGGTAAACGTATGCAAGACTCAAATTGATTTAGTCTCAGACAACATAAGAGGAATCAGTCAATGTTAAGTGTGAGAAACATATTTTTTTTAACGCTTGTCAAAAGTAAGGCTACTGGATGGCTGAAAATATGCAGTTTCCTGTATCTTGAAATCAATTATTGTTGGTGTCCTTTAGTCTTGTAAGAGAGAAACATTTGAGGCATGATGTAAGAGGGTTGTAACACTGTTGGCATGTAAAAAAACATTGGCAGTTCAAAAGAGAAAAATGTCAAAGGATGAGGCTAGCTTTGTCTGCCACTAACCACGTATCTTCTCGCACAATGCAGGAAACATCTCATCATGACATTACATCATGTATATTATGTTCATACAAATACAATATACATTGTGTTTATAATGCTCTTTTATGGTCATGGACTTAGTGTAGTTTAGACAAGACAAAGTCTTTGTAAATTGGTTGCGATTGTCACGCCCGGGCTCTGGGACTCTGTTATGTTGAGCCAGGGTGTGTAGTTTCTATGTATTTGTGTTCTAGGTTCTTTATCTAGCTCATGTGTTTCTGTGTTGGCCGGGGTGGTTCTCAATCAGAGGCAAGTGAGTGTCAGCTGTTGCTTGTTGTCTCTGATTGGGAACCATACTTAGGCAGCCTGTTTTCCACAGTGTTTTGTGGGATCTTGTTCCGTGTTGGTTTGTGTAGGTAACCAAGGACTTCACGTTATCGTTTTGTTTCGTGTGGTGAAATAAATAAAGTATGTTCACTTATCTCGCTGCGCATTGGTCCACTTCCTTCAGCGATCGTGACAGCGATGTCAAGGAGAATGTTCAAACACTTCAAGGTCAAAGGTTCAGATTGACAAAAGCACAAGGCAGTAATGTGTTGTTAACAAAGACTGAACATACTGTATATTTTACAACAACATTCCATAGGCCCATCTCTGTTTTCAGTTATATGAAAATGTGTAATTCTCTATAGACATTGTTGAGGGAGGCAAACACATTATTGCCTCAGGATATTCTAGATTAGGAACGACAGTAATAAAGTGACATAAAGCTACTAGTAACATGATGATAAGAGAATGGTTTATTTACCAGATTGATATGTCAACACCTATATATAGTCTGTTGTGTTGGTCTGAAAGTATATTTGTTTGAAACCAGTTTGAGCTCTGTGAGAGAGCTTCCCTGTTCCACCCTTGAACTGTAGATACTTCAAAGTATCTACACGCCCCCCTCTCACAAACTTTACCCAGGTGCATAGTTACCTGACAGGGGTCAAAGGTCATGTTTACAAAACATGACACTGGAAAAACACCCGCTCAGTCATTACGGATAGTGTGAAGGTAAAAAAGTCCAAAGCTTCAGAGCAATGCTTCTGCAGAGAATATTTCAACCTTACAAAATTGGCAAGGATGACAGAATTATTGCATACATTTGAAAGTGATATGTTGTTAAATTCTCTTTAAAAAAATAGTTCGTCAGATTTATTTTCTTTGTTCTTGGTAATTCTTTTTTTTTTTTTTTTTTTTTTTACAGAACTTTGTGTTCCAGGTAGTTACTTAGAAATTACATTACCTAATATTGCATTGTAATTACATTTTGGTTTCTTTGAGATAAGCAAATATATTTGAGTTTTTGAGGTAAGTACCAGAATGTATACATTGTTACCATGGTAATAACATTTAAGTAACAGCTTAAAACCCCCTAGAGCACCAGTGCGTCAATCTAAGTTGTCACAAGTGTCACAGGACTCGTCTAAAGGTAACCCATACAAATGAATGGAAGTATGGAGGTAGTTTTGTGCCAACAAAAATAAAGTGGTTAAATACAGTACCAGTCAAAAGTTTGGACCCACCTACTCATTCAACGGTTTTTCTTTATTTTTTTTACTATTTTTTACATTGTAGAA